CTCAACTCCATATCATCCATCATGTCAAAAAAAGATTTAGGCCATTTAGCCCGTGTTTGAATATTTGGCAAAAGGGTCTTTTTGTCTTTTTTAGTGTCCAATACACCATTCCAATCACCCATCATTATACATGATTTGTAATCCATTTGTATTAATTTTTCATGCAAAAGTTTGTAAAATTTCTCTTGTTGTTGATTAGGTGCATATACTCCCACTAAAAGTATTTTCTTCCCTTCTATTAATAATTCAATCATTATATATCTTCTTTGTGGATCTGCTTCAATTAATTTAGCCATTAAATCTGTTCTTAGGTATACAACTATACCATTTTTCTTCTCAGGAGCTGATGCAACAAAATGTTTGCCCAGTCTAGCATTTATTAGGTATTTCTGATCACTTGTTCTAATGTGTGTTTCTTGCAAACAAATTACATCATTTTTAAACTGTTTCAAATAGTGAAATATTTTTTTCCTCTTTTGTGGTGAGTTTAAGCCATTAACATTCCAGGTCAAAAATTTATTTGCCATCCTTGACCCCTGAAAGCTTATGGAGCACCCACTGGAAGTCCTCCTGGAATTTCCTCTTCGGTCTAGCTCCTCCCACAGCTTCCATATTTGTAATTGCAATTTCTTGGGTTATTATCTGACTTTGTTGCTTCTTTATGTCTGGTTGCTGCTCAAGTTTGTCTTTGATCCTTGGGGTCTTCCATTTTTTCAAATAAATCCAAAAGTTGAACATCCTCTGAGAGTTGCAATAATTCTTGTTGAGTAGTCAAAACACCTCCTTGAGCTTGTGCCTGCATAATTTCCTTTTCCCCCTTTCTGGCCTCTCCTGCTTCTTTCCTTCTTCTGGCTTCTGGAGATGGTGGGTTTCCAGCCCTTAGTATGGTAGTGTAAAAGTCTCTTGCCTTCCAAACTAAGTTAAGATGATGTCTCTCACCCAAATAATTCACCACTAATCCGGCTGGAGCTTCCCATCTGTACTGCAACTGACGCCTTCTAAGTTCATCAAATAAAAAATGCATAGTCCTTTCGAGATCTCAACATTTTTGGGGGAATTTCCTTTTCCTTACTGAAACCTCCTATCCTGCCACTTGAAGTTTCTTCTTATAAGAAACTTGTAAAACTTCATTTCTTGTTCTCCATGTAACAAAGTAGATCACAATATCTCTTGGTAGTTGCCTCTGTCTGGCAATCCATGAATTAACGCGATAAATTTTGTCTATTTGCCAGTCACACTCTGCTTTAGATTATCCAGTAAACTGAGCAAGGGCTTCTGCAAAAATCTCTCTGAGATTTTCCTGGTTATTTTCTTTCAAGCCTCTGACCCTCACTGCCCATTCCATCACTCTGTATTGTGTCATTATGAGTTCTGCTTCCGCCTTTTCCATCTTATTTTGAGCCTCTCCCAATTTAGCTTCCACATTCAAATTAAACTGATCAATTTCATCCACCCTTTCTTCCAATGATGTAACATGACCCACCAGTCTCTTAAATGCTTCAACAATATCTTCTCTTATTGCATCATTTTGGGTTTGAATTGTTTCTCAGACACTTCTTTAATTTTTTCCTCAAAACAGAGTGTGATTTTTTCTTCCAAATCAGTAGACAGTTTTTTTAAAGCTCCCTGAAGAACTTCTAGTGTCAGTGTTTGTGTATCTGGTGGGGCTAACAAAGACTGCATTTTTGATGTTTGAGCTGGAGAAGTCCCCGCACTTTTAGTCACAACAGTTTTTATTTGCTTCGCAGCCATCTCCAAACAGCACTTTCCCACCAGCCACTCAGCAGAACCAACAGGTCTTCTTAATCTCAGTCCTTAATTATTATTATGGTTTATTGATAAGTCAATATTGTATTCTTTAATTTCCAATCCTCAAAATTCCCCAACAAAGTCTTTTTAAAAAGTACTGACAGCGTTAACGAGCATTAATGAGTGTTAACAAGCACTTTCTCTTTTAACTTTCGTTTTCACGCCCTTAAGCAACTCAGCGCCATCTTTTTTAAGCTTTCTCCCGTCACAAGTTCCGAAATAAGTAGTAATTTATTAGAGTTAAATTTAGTATTTGCAGTTGTGATTTCTCCTGTCTTTGCTCTGCCTGCTTTAAAATCCAATCGATGTAAAATCATTTAGTTCGCAGGGGTGGTCGCGGCGCCTTGTTCTGTTTGAAACAGAAATGTCCCGGATCTGGAGCTTCTTCAGGTGCTTGAGAAGCTCTCACCCTCTGCACCCCAGGATTAATCCTGGAGGTCTTGGGGAGCTCTACCCACACCTGCCTGCTCACCTTTCCCTCTTCTCCCGAGGGGAAAGTTCAGAGCCACTAGAACAGCTGATTTTCGCTGCTCTAGCGGCTTTACGAGATCGCGGGGGTTAGCGCTCCCGAAGGAGCTGCCACCGATGCCTGCGGTGCCACCGGAACTCCATGTGATTGTCTTTTGAGTGCAACTGGCCTGCATTTATGCAGAGATTTGATTACGATTTACTGTGCTTTCTAGCATGGAAAAATCAGCCAATGGGTTTGCTTACTGATTGTGGTATTTGCTTAACAAACAAACAAATTTGCTTAACAATCGCTGCAAAAAAAAAAAGTTGTAAAGTTGAATTGGTCATGTGGATGCCTCAATTTACGCCATCATAACTTACAACTGGAAATCCTAGCTCCATTACAGTCATAGGTTGAGGTTTACCTGGGCACAGAAACTTCCAGTATAAGGATGGGCACTAGGGGTTCATTTCTTGTTAAAATGTTAACGATCCTGAGAATCAAGGAGTTAGCAACCTGGGTGTCACCAGAAGGAAAATAGTTAGTATAAAAGCTCCTTTTAAAGGGTACATTTTTTAAAAACAGTCAAAATAGATGTATACAAATAAATAAATGTATAGTTTATTACAACAGTTCATTTAGTGACCATTCAAAATTACAACGGCACTGAAAAAAGTGACTAATGTCCATTTTTCATACTTATGACCATGGCAACTTCAATGATCAAAATTCAGAAGCTTGGCAACTGACTGTATTTATGATGGTTGCAATGTACCTGAGATCACGTGATCTGCTTTTGCAGCCTTCTGACAAGCAAAGTCAACAGGGAAGCCAGATCCATTTAACAACTGTGTAACTAATTCAGCAACTGCAGTGATTCACATAACAACTGTAGCAGGAAAGGTTGTAAAATAGGGCAACATTCACTTAACAAATATTAGCAACAGGAATGTTGGGCTCCGTAAATTGTGGTTGTAAGTTGAGGACTACCTGTATTAAGCTTCCTGGAAGTTTAACAAACCTGCTTTGATTTTACACCTTGTTGGTTTAAAAAATAGGTTGCACTGATGAAAAATATTCATTGCTTGCTGAAACATTGTTCTTGGCAGTGGAATCTTAAAGAGTATTGGGGGAATTATGAATTAAAAGGTACCTGATTTGGCCTGTAGATTTCCAATCTGGTTGAAATGGATGGAATTCCCTTATTAATGTACAGAAATGATGGTATCATCTAAGGAAGACATAGCATTGTCTCTAGTAGAAATATATACTCTGCTGGAGGATGGAACTTCCTGGAAAAGAGTGGGTGGCCCAAAGTTTGAAAATATTCAGTAGGGTCTTGGATTTGAAGACAAAGCAAAAACAAAAAAACACCCTTTTGCAGCTCCTTAAAGGAGCTCATCCTTTTTCAGGATTGTGCAGCTGCAGAGCAGTTTTGAAAACAGATGGTATGGTCTTAAGGAATTCCCAACAGACACTACCTGCAAACTTTTTTTAAAAAATTTGATTTATATGCCGCCCTTCTCCGGAGACTCAGGGCGGCTTACAATGTGCTCAGCAATAGCCTTCATCCTTTTTGTATATTTATACAAAGTCAGCTTATTGCCCCCACAACTGGGTCCTCAATTTACCTACCTTAGAAAGGATGGAAGAGCCTAGTTTAGCTCTGCAGACTAAAGCACTGTAATTAACATCCAGCTGTCTGCAATTACACCAGTTCGAATCTCCCCAGGCTCAAGGTTGACTCAGCCTTCCATCCTTTCTAAGGTAGGTAAATTGAGGACCCAGTTTGTGGGGGCAATAAGCTGACTTTGTATAAATATACAAAAGTATGAAGGCTATTGCTTAACACATTGTAAGCCGCCCTGAGTCTTCGGAGAAGGGCGGCATATAAATCAAATTAAAAAAAAAAAAAATTAAAAAAAAATGGAAGGCTGAGTCAACCTTGAGCCTTGGTGAGATTCGAACCTGCAGTAATTGCAGGCAACTGGTCTTAATAACCAGCTTAATAACAGGGTGGCTTAGACCACTGTACTACCAAGGCTCTTTTGGCTTTCCACAGCTAGAATATGTGCTGCTTGTAAAGAAAGGCAATGGTTTTTCTATTGAGCCACCTCATCTCAGTTGGTTTTTCGGCAGGTTTCTTCTCCAACCTTTTCTCACTTCCCCTTCTTTCCCCCACCCCCACCCCCCGGGTCAACTTGAAATTTCATATTCTCTGACTGATCTTAAGACTGAGTTAAATCATGACTTATCTGTCACGAGTAGGCCGACTTCTGGCAGGTGTCTGATGATGAGCAAAGCTGAACCCTGCCCACCCCTCTGAGGTCAATCTAGTTTCTCATGGAAAGGAGCAACACAATTTTTGCCTACAGAAACCTTGAACGGTTGCAAACATTTCAGTCTTGCAGATTTTTTTTGGCCTTCAGGTAGCAGGATGACCCATCATAATTTTTTTTTTTACTTTGGTTTAAAATGTCATACAAAGCTTTAGGGCTTAGTCAGGTGTCTGGACCCAGCCAGTTGTGCTATGTTCAACAAATAGTGGTTAAGCAAACAGTAGCTTGGTATAATGTACAATTCAATTCTGTATCTCCTCAACTTTCTTTGCTGTTCACAGAGGTTATAAACCCTGTTGAGACCTTGGCGATAAAAGACAAAAGCATTGGTGGGGGAATACAGGCTATCATGTCTAGACCCTCTGAATTCACTCCAGATCCCATCTGTGCTTCTTGTTCAGGAGGCAATCCAGTTAGACGGGGAGATCTTCTTTGCGCTTCTCCGACGAGCATCTCCCATTGCCTATCGTCACCTGAAGAGATACAAGATCGACCCCATCTTGTATATGACTGAGTGGTTTATGTGCATCTTCTCCCGGACCTTGCCTTGGTGTTCCGTGTTACGCGTGTGGGATATGTTTTTCTGCGAAGGTGAGCTATGACTTTCAATTCTCTTTGGATTTCTGTCAATTGCTGCACGCCTGTTTCTTCCCTTACACAGATTCCATCAGGAAGGGAAAAACCCACAGTGATTCTGCAATGTCTGATTTTTTTGCCCCCTGAAATGTTTTTAATTCACTTGAGGAGAACCTCCCTCAACCATTATTTAAAAAGTCCTGGCCAGCATCTTAGCAGTCTCAATGGCTGTTTAACAAAAAAACAAACAAACAAACAAACAAACCAAATGGATAGAAGGAGAGAAAGAGAAGAATTATATGATGTCAAATCTAGTCTAACATGATTATTCTCGAAATGATACTGGGAATCATTCAATCTCTTTACCAGGAGAACTAAGCTGATGAGTCAGATGTTTGTGAATTATGCATGGTATTGAAAAAATTGATTTTGTCTGTCTCAGCGCTGGTGCATTGTAACTTAGAATTCCATTGCATTCCACAAGGCTTGTCTTTGCAAGAATGCTTGGAATGCATGGAATAATAGCTCCAGTATTTATTTTATTCTTATTTATTTATTCAATCAAGCCCTCCTCAACCAAATGACTCTTTGTGCTAGAACCCAGGATTATTAAATAAAAAATGTGGTTATAGCAAAACATTCAAGATAGGCCAAATGATTTTCTACACAGGAGCTTACAATTGAATCCTCTTTGTTCTACAAGGTAATGGTGATTAGTAATTCAGTGAGCAATAAAATGCAGATTAGAGCCAGGGATAGGTGGTATATTTTCCTAGTAGCTGACAACATACACCTTCACAGATACCCAGGGGCCTCTGAATGGTTGCACTTTGTATAAAATGGGGTGCTGGATTTGAGAGCCAAATTCAGCTAGGATTGTTTTAAAATCTTACAACATTTCTCCTTTAATGGATTTGGTTTCTTCAACGGCATCAAATCTTGCATTTGTGACCATATCCTTGGGCCTCTATTCCAACTTTCTTTCCCCTTTTTCTTTGATTTGATTCTTTCTTCCTTCTGTTTATCTTTTTGCAGGAGTGAAGATAATTTTCCGGGTGGGCTTAGTGCTACTCCGGAATGCCTTGGGCTCAGTGGACAAATTGCGGTCTTGTCAAGGCATGTATGAGACGATGGAGAAACTGCGAAATCTCCCGGTTCAGATCATGCAAGAGGAATACTTGATCCATGAGGTGAGAATCCCAACTTTTTTCTTTGTTGCTTCTCTTTACGTATATTGCTGCCCCAAAGTTTTTTGGCTGGGTAATAAAACAAGGTTTTCAAATATAATGTAAACCAAGAATGTGAACTATGGAAATTTTACAAAAAGCGGATTTCAACTCCCAGAATCCCTGAGCCAACCATGCTGCAGGCTATCTTACCTGACCATTGGGCAGCATCTCTTCTCTTCTCCCAAGGTCATCCCACATATATCACATTACATCATCTCAAAACTCTCCATTTCCCTGAGATCCTCAAGCCTGCTGAAATAGTCACGTTTTGAATTTATTAATGGATTTTAAATTCAGAAACTTAGTTGGGATGCTTAATGCTTTCTGAATGTCACATTTACACAGTAATTTGAAATTGACCGATAAGAATATCTGTAGCTTTTCTTTAACTATGTAATTAAAAAATATTTAAAAAGCTTTTCCTGGCTTTAATGCTGTGATGGGCATTGCTAGGGTTGTGTATTTGTGGGTGTGTTGTTGGGGCAATGTGCTGATTTTGTAAACAGCTAAAAAAGAATGCTGTAAAGCACTTAGAAGTAGTATATAAGTCTAGGCACTATTGCTTTATGTATAAAAGCAAAGGATCTGGTTCTATTAACAAGGATTTTGAATGGGATCTGCTCCTGCTTGCATGTACTTCATGACAAAGTCCTCAGCTGTAGAAGGGAAGGTGGATCAAAAGATGCCACATATAGTTATTCCTCCTTCCCCTGTTTCTTTCTTCCTCTCTGATTCAGGTGATCAATCTTCCAGTTACTGAAGCCCTCATTGAGCGAGAGAATACCACCCAGCTAAAGAAATGGCGGGAAACTCGGGGGGAGCTCCAGTACAAGCCCTCCCGCCGACTCCATGGCTCACGAGCCATCCAAGAGGAGCGCTACCGTATGAACCCTCCCCTGACAGCCAGCGCCAGCCTCCTGAGCCTCACAGGACTAAAGCACAGGGTTGCCCTAGGCAGCATCAGCGGTCCCTCCTTCTCCCCAGCTCATTCCATAAGTACCCTGGCTGAGTCTCCTTCACCTTCCCGGGTCCCTGTTGCTGCCCAGAACCAGGTGGTGGTATCCGAAGGTCTTCACGCTGCCCTGCCTTCCCCTACCGGGAATAACACTCCCTTGGGTGGCCCTAAGAAAAGCAGCATTAGCAAAGCGGAAAAGCGAAAAGAAAAAGAACGGGAGAAGCAAGAGAAGATAGAGAAGGAGAAGCAGAAGCTGCAGAAGGAGCGGGATAAGAAGCTGCAGAAAGAGCGGGAGAAGCAGGAAAAGGAGCGGGAGAAGCAGGAGAAGGAGCGGGAGAAGAAGCAGCAGAAAGAACGAACCAAAGAGGAAGCCAAGTTAAAGAAAGAGAAGAAGCTGTCTTTGAGGAAAAAAGAACCCAAATCGGCCCCTGAAGATGGAAGAGATGGAGAAACCTCAGGGGGCTCTGTGCTCCAGGACACTTATTTTTGAATAATACTAAAGGGGTGGGACAGCACAAGGCTGAGCAACTCCCGAGGACCAAAAACATGGTTGCCTCTAGAGGCATAATGTGGTTGAAGGACCCAAAGGAATAGAGGAGAGGTACGCCAAGGGGAATCGCAACTGGAAACGGAAATCCCCCAGACTGAGGGTCAGAGGGGGTTGGAGGAGAATTACCTGGAGTCCATGGGGTTACCTCTTTTGTGTGCCTGAGGTGGGCTTGAGTCCCCCATCCTGCTCTCCTCGACCGTAAGGACCAGAGAGAAAAAGTCCACAATAGCTGCTGTGCTCTATGCATAGATATGGAACTTGGAGGCCCCCATGTGAATTTCACCACAACCGACAGATGTAACTACGCAACACGCCTCTGTCCCCTCCAAGCTGGGAGCCTAACCAAGGAATCAATTGCATTCTATACAAGTACTTTGTACAGAACCGCTTCCCTTTAAAACTGTTTACCGCTCCACAGATGACATAATCTCCCTCCAGAAAGGCAAAGTATGGACTCTGCCCCCTCCCCGATATTAAGAGACTCTTCTGCCATTGCAAAGTGGATTAGCCCTTTTAACATTATCGCATATTTCCCCCTACCCACCCAATTCTCTTCGACCTGATGGGCTCCACAGGGCACTTAGGAAACATCCCATATAGATAGGTACTCTCTCTTCCCCCCCCCTTTTGCATGGCTTCTTACAGGCTAAACTAGCTGCCTTGTCTCCTGGCCAAATCGCCTTTCTTTTCAGAACCATTTGTTGATAGGCAGACATGGAACCAGGGTAGCTTCTTCGAGCTTGGACCTTCAAGAAAAGAAAAGCTTGGTCCTGTTGTTTTTTTAAAATGATGTGTGTCAAAACTGTGGCAGAAGATTAAGGAAGCTAGTTCCCATATAAGGGATTCCTAGCAGTCAACAAGGGAAAAAAAAACCCTCAGTTTCTAGAAAAGTTTGCTGCATTGGTGCAGAAAAGAGAAGTAATTAGATTGGGTTCGAAAGAGAGGCTGCATTTTCTGGTTTTCTGATTTTGACATGTAGTCAAATAGTTTCAGTCAGAACAAAGGGGAAAAAAAGGTCAATTTCCTTGCCCTTCAGAAATAGCTTTTGGCAGAAACATTCCTGAGAAATCTAGGAGTGTAACCTTTATCTGACCGCTTGCTATTTTATCCAAAAGAGGTATTTACTTTTGGGGAGAACTTCTGTCCCCTACAAGAGATTTTGGCAAACTGTGTCTCCCCAAATGGATATAACTGTAAATTATTGAAATGTTTGTTACATTTAGCTTTTAATCCTATCCCTTAAAAACAAAAGATCCTTCTCTATTACAGAATAAATTCCTTAAGAATTAGTTTTTAACCTCCACTGATTACTTAGATAGTTCCTGGGGTGTACTTTTTGAAGATAACTGAAAATGTTTTCCAATTTTAGCGCTGCTCCCCTGTCTTTTCACAAAACCAACAGGGTTTCTTGAGCAGTGGCTGATAAAGCTGGTTTAAAACTGGTTTATAGCTTGTTGATGTAGATATTAACAAATATGATGCATGCCTGATTTCCTTGTCCCACAAAAATGGGCCTTTAAAGCAGTATTTCTCAACCTTAGCAAATTTAAGATGTGGGAACTTCAACTCCCAGGATTCCCCAGCCAGCATGGGAAATGGTTGAGGAATTTTGGGAGTTGAAGTCCATACATCTTAAAGCTGCCAAATTGGGAAACACTATTTTAAAGTAATCGGAATGTATTTTGCTCTAAACATTTTTTTTTTCTGTGGTTCGCTGTGCGGCCACAATGGAGATCTGTTTCCTTTTAAGGAACTACGTGCCGATAACTGCCTTGCAAACCTTTAATGGTGGAGCAGAAGGCAACTGTCAAAACTCTGGGTTTCTATTCTATGCAGTCTAGGAAAATAATATTGGCAGGTCATAGGGTTGATAAGTTTAGGAATGGTGGAAAGAGGTTTGGGGAGTTTGAAACTGGAAGATAAATTCTTGCTGCTTTGGAAGTCAGACTGGGCTACAGTATTATGAGTCCATACTGGATTCGTGAGTTCCCAATTCTTCCGCAGCATCTTTTCCTTCTCTTGTGTCATGTTCTCTGCAGTTGTGAATAGTTTGAAAATCATGAGCCTGTTTCAGAATCTCACTTCCCCAAATATATCTGTACCAAATAGCAGTTTCTCTTTGGATTCACATCCCTAATGAAAATGTTCTATTAGTCTATTCTCCTCTTTGTATATACTTTTTCTCTCTAACACATATATTATATATATGTTTCAGTATTGTAATTATGTATACAGATTCTTTGGGGGTTTTTCTTTGACCTTGTGCTCTTATTTAATGGGACAGACACTGGAAATTAGGAATCCATCATCTCCCCATGCCTTATTGTTATTTTTAAAGTTTTTTTTTAACCGCTGCCCCTAATTTGGTCAAGCAGTAAATTACAAATAACAACTCTTCGCTGTCCTACTTGTTAATACTTTTTCTTTGTTTTTTTAAAATAATTTGTGCTTCATTTTTATTAGATTTCCTCCTCCCTCCTGCATTGCTTTGTCTAAAAATGTTAACAAAACAAAATGGAGACCAAGTTTGTTGAGTGACTTTGTTAAGGATGAATTGGACTGAAATTCCAACACTGGAGGGTTTTTAAGGAAAGATTGGACAACCATTTGTCTGAAATGGTGTAGATTTTCCTGCTGGAGCAGGGGGCTAGATTAGCATACTTCCAAGGTCCCTCCCAGCTCTGTTTTGTTGTTATTCTGAATTAAGCTATTTATTTTTATGGGATGGTTCAAATCGAAAACAATGGTTTGTTTATTGAAGAAGTCCGGGTTCAGAAAGTCTGTATCACACAAATTTCAGTTAACCAGAGGGAGATGGATTCAGACCACCCAGACCCAGAGTGATGTAGATTTAGTCCTAAATAGACCAGATTGTCCTGAGAGTCAGAGAAATTCCTTCTGGACAGCTAACTGCATTCTCTGACATTTGTGACTGAAATCAAGTCCTAGAGAGGTTTTGCTAAAACCTGGTTTTTCTAGGCACTCCATCTTGTTGTACATTTCATCCCATGCCCTATGAGGGCAGGGGGCAAAATGGATGTGAGAGTGGCTGATTTTCCCCTAAACTGTCCAAGGTTGTTCCATCTCGTATGGTGCCACCCCAGATTTGTTTTCCCCTTCAGAGGGAAAACTGTAGGAAATGGAAAGGGAGATGGCGCCTTCTTTGGCAGCTGCCAAATGAATGATCTGATCATCCAAGACTCGTGTGGACAGGCCTGGCATGGGGGAGAGGTGAAATCTTGGTTCACAGCAAAGCCTCCAGTTGGGTCAGCCCTTTGAAGCATTTTACCCTCTGGGTCTGTTACAATGATTTGGACACATTGCACATCCTGTTCTTTGAATAATACCTGGGTGGGCACCTGGTGGAATTTCACTTTGCTCTCTTGCTGATCAGTAATATGAATATGAATCTGCCACAATTTGAACTTGCATTCCCCTCCACACATTTCTGTTGCAGTTCCTTAAGCATTTTTATGAGTTTAATTAGGCTGGGGAAACTGGGAGGGAGGCTGTGAAGCTGATAAGGAAATATAGTGGTACCTTGGTACTCATCATTAATTGGTTCCAGGAGGCGCAATGAGTACCAAAAATTAATAAGTACCAAACAAATTTTTCCCATAAGGAATAATGTTGTGAGTCGCAAGCCAGCCAACACCAACAAATTCTAGCTGGTGCACTGAATGCCAAACAAACAATGAGTTCCCAGGACAAAAATTTTCACATCAAAATGTATTGAGTACCAAATTGGGTGAGTTTCAAAGCAGTCCAGTGGCGAGATACCACACTAAATATTTCACATCCCTTTTTTTCTAAGAGTAATTTCCATGAGATTCCTTTCCTTCTTCTTAGCCCATACATTCTGTGATTTTGTAGCCCTCCAGATGTTGAAATCAATTCCTTGGGCACAGCCCAGAGCTCCAATCTTTCTGGCTTTGCAGACTGGCAGGGATGGCAGGCAAGTGTGCTCACATGTGCAGTTCTACTTGTGTGAGTGGTGGGTATGCATGCCTGCTGTGTGAGCTCGCCTACCACTTCCACAGCCCAGTTCCGAATGGCTCAAGGCCCAATAGTGAGCCGCGGCCCAGGGGTTGGGGACTCCTAGTCTAGCCAATAGGGAAGTAACGACATCATCTGGACAGTCATTTGTCCCTCACATTTGTGAGTGTTCATGTTTCATTGGAAACATGGCAGAAGTAGGAAAGGAAAATGAAGCACTATATTCTGGAACCTAAAACAAGGAGTAAAGTATAAATATGCTGGGATTATAATTACACCTAAAATTATATATATGTCAAGTTTCCGAAAGATGCCCTAATTAATTCATGAACCATGATCCAAACTTCAAAGGAAATGTATTCATTTATTAGAAGAACCATTCCGGCAATACTCGGATGCAGTTAGGACTGATCCTACGTAGATTTACGTTCCCCTATGACCCTGTCTCTCCCCTTCTCTCTGGTCATGTCATAAATCACGTTCTCCAATTAACCACTTTGGCTGGCTGTGAAATCTAACACCCTCCTTCTGATTGCGGTCAGAAAGAATTTATGGAATTCACTTCAGTTCTCTCTCCCTCCTGCTCATGGTAACTTGAAAGCTTTGCAAATTGACATATAATTATACTGGGATTATCCTGTGAACCCGATTCTTTATTCTCTTTGTTGCCAACTGAAACCTCCCCCCAACTAAATTTTCATTCTGGTAATACATACATACATATATTTGCCTTAATTTTAAATAAAGTATAGTAGTTTATGCTAGGATTTAGGTCATAGGACACAGTTCAGTTTTATCCTTTTTTGTTGTGCTTAAGAATCTGGACAGAAAACTTTGAGATTTGAGATTTTCTTCAGAATAAATAGTATTCAACATCTCATCTCTGCTGTGTATCAAGAGTTTCCTGCAAAAGGGAAGCAGGTATTCCCAGGGTGCACCCCTTTCATTGGCTCCCCAAAGTTAGAACATCCTTCAGACTCCAATCTGCTACTACAGGGAGATCATGTTGAGAATCGCCCAATGATTCTATGCAGAATCAGATTTCAGAAAAGGTGTGGGTTCTTCTTGGAGTCTGAAGTAAGGATTTTTTTTTTTTCTAAAGCTGTACTAAATAAAGGTAGAGCATCACAAATGCTGCAACTTGTAGTAAAGCTTGAGGAAATCCTTAATAAATGATACATAGAAACAGTATTTCCACTCAAAGTAGAAGAAAAAGATAATCATTGGGGAAACATTATCATCCCTGGTTTATCTACAGTGGTATTTGATAGGCCAGAGAAGATCCTCTAAGATGGATACTGCTGACGTCAAACTAATAGCCCTGGTGGCGCAGTGGTTAGAACCCAGTATTGCAGGCTAATTCTACCCACAGCCAGGAGTTTCATCCTGATTGGCTCAAGGTTGACTCAGCCTTCCATCCTTCCAAGATTGATAAAATGTGAACCTAGATTGTTGGGGTCAGTATGCTGACATTTGTAAACCACCCAGAGAATGTTGTAAAAGCACAATGGGGCAGTATATAGGCCTTAAGTGCTATCGCTATTGCTAATACTCATTTAATTAGCATGCCTGCACCCCAGTGGCTTTGCTGCCTAGAAATTGTCAGTTGTAGCCCCAGCTGTCTAGATAGTATCAGACAGCAGAAACCAGTATAGACAGACTTTTTTCAAAACTGCATTCCAGTTGCTTTATTCTAAGCATACATTTGGGAATCTATGTGTCAGTGTTCCAGGTAACAGACCCAAGGAAATCAAAACTCTTGAGGCTTAGAATTTCCTCAAAGTTTGAATTTATTAGGAATGTCCTATTGGCACAGCTGGTGAAGACCTGCCTCTGAAGGACCTGGAGTTTTCCCCACCCAAATCAAAACCCCACGTTCTTGCCCCCAGGTCACACGTTCACCACATGACCCAATCAGGTCATAGTCTCAGCTCCAGCTGACTCTTGTCCAAGCTCTTCCAATACCTGGTACAGCGTCCTTGGCTCCCACAGGAAAGAATGTTATTTTGGCTATACATACCCCTCAGCTATCTCTTATCTCCCGCCTCACGTCCCCACAGCTTCAACACACCTGAAGATGCTCCCAAAATGGCTTCAGAGCTGACACTGGTTATTTTTGTTAGTAATAGGCCCCTGCTGTCTAGTATAGATCAGGCTGCAGTATTCGTGGATCCCAATCCTACCTTAGTGGAAAACAGTATGTTGACTCTTCCTGGAAAAGATTGTGGCGGGGAACCACTCTTTCATTCTGGATAGGTGACTTTGTTCACTAGACATTGGTGTAATTAAAACCCACAATAAGAAACCCACAAATGTCCCTTTCCTAAGAAGAGCTCTTGTTCTTCCTGAGTGCTGCTGCATTTCGGTCAAAAAACCTCGGCTCTCAACTTTTTCCAAAGACATATTTATTAAAAGCGTTTAAAGAAGAACCAATATTTTGAAACAAGAATTATCTTTTTCACCGATAGCGACCCCACTGAAACTGAAATTAGGTGCCTCCAAATTTATTGGTCACAGCCAAATGTTTGGGGATTGCTGATTGCCCTATTTAAAATGCATCAAATTCTCTATTTCTGGGACATGCTTCCCCTTTCGCTCCTGCCACTTTATCCTAGCCCTTTTGACATCTTTCCCAAATTCTTGATGGAGGCAAGCAAAATCCATGTTGAAGAACCTTCTTTGTTCTACCAGTTTCGGAAGCGACAGGGATAGGTCTGTTGCCTTGCAGCTTGCTTCTTCCTTAGAGTATTGTTGGCTCTTCAACCGGTGAAATTGGCCTTCTAACTCGGTAACCAATGCTCGGAAGTACTCGAATCCCGCCGTGCTCAGAGCTCGCACCCAGTCTTCCATGGTCTCTTGATCCTCAGCTGCCATCATATAAGACTGGTCAGGCAAGTTATCGGGGTAGCAGATTTTAAAAGTATGAAGCTCTGAGGTGGATTCCTGCAACTCCACTGTGCAGCCTTCTAACACAATGAGTTGACTAGGAGCCCTGTCTCCAGGCTGTTCCCGGAAGAGAAGAAGATTTCCTCGGAGCTCACACCAGCAGCACTGATAGGAAGCGGTGCGGTTATTTTTCTTATAAAGCATGCCCTGCCGGTCTGGGGGCTGATCCAGGTGGGAAGAGGTAAGGATGCTGGCAATGTGGAGTTTGATGGCGGACTGGCTCTGAAACTGGAGAGAGATGAGGAAGCATACAGACAAATAATGAGGAAGATGAAGGAGCTAAAAGAGGAACTGAGCTGAGCACTTTTCCTTAAGCAAGGCTTCCACATGTGTGGAATTATATTTCCCCCAGCAACCTGGGCAAGTTATAGTTCATTAGCAAAGGATGTTTAAGTCATGCTTAAAGAGCCGTGGTGGCACAGTGGTTAGAATGCAGTATTGCAGGCTAATTCTGCCGACTGCCAGCAGTTCGATTCTCACCGGCTCAAGGTTGACTCAGCTTTCCATCCATCTGAGGTCGGTAAAATGAGGACCCAGATTGTTGGGGGCAATATGCTGATTCTGTAAACTGCTTAGAGTGGGCTGTAAAGCACTGTGAAGTGGTATATAAGTTCTATTGCTCCCTTTGCTTTAAGAAAGGGTAGAAAGCCATTCAAAACTGTCTAGGGCAGGCCTGTCAAACTGGCAGCCTGGAGGCCGGATGTGTCATGTGCAGGCCACGCCCACCCCAGTTCCGCAGAGGCAAAAAATGTTGCGATACGTTATATGACGTGATCGATTTTGACACCTGTGATCTAGGGGTTTTGAGGCACTACAGAGAAATTCCTCCTCTGGCCATGATTGTCATCTGCCACCACCTCCCTCTCAGCTATTGGAGTTGTGAATCAAAGAGCACTAATATTTTTAGTGCCTCATGACCTACTATGCAGAAGGGGACAGAGAGATGTAGCTACAGCAGTGTTTCTCAAGCTTGGGAAGGTTAAGATGCATGGAGTTCAACTCCCAGAATTCCTCAGCCAGCATAGCTAGCTAGGGAATTCTGAGAGTTGAAATCTACACATCTTAACCTTCCCAAGATTGAGAAACACTGAACTAGAGCATTATGCATTTACTCCATGAACCCTCTTTGTCAATCACTCCAATCTCAGGAATATCATAGGAATATTTCAACCTCCAACACTGAGGTGCCCAACAGCTGACTTAATTTTGACCACAGGGTGGGTGGGGGGAATTACCATTTTTTCTGTTGCTTGGTTTAGAAGGAGAAAATGGCAGAATTCTTGTCGATTTCACCTAGTGGAGAGAAAAAAAAATGCAAGTCCAGTTTTTGAGACATTTTAGTTTTTCAACAGTGATTTTTTATTTTGAAAAATCAACTGTTCTATTTCTTTGGTTAAGTTATTCTTTTTTTAAAAAAGGAAAGTGACAAGAGAAGGGGAGAGGCATGTTTCTGGGCCACATGCCTCTCCCCTCCTCTTGTCAGTAGGTAGGTTGGAGTGGTGTTTGCTTACCTTGAAAGGAAATTCAGCATATGAACCAGGTATTACTGCTAGCACTACTAGACAACACTACTTTTGATACTTAATAGAAAAAGAGGGAGGGAGGGACCTTTCTGGTGAGCTGAGGGGGGCAGAGCAAGGATGACACAATGCAATTAAACCATAATTTACTTGGGTTTGGCTGAAGTGTGACTTCACTGGACAGCCAGTTTGAGGTAGTGGTTAAGCTAGAAAGTAGCAGACCATGAGTTCTAGTCCTGCTTTGGCCTGGGAACAAAGCAATGGCAAAGCGCTTCCAAAAACCCTTGCCAAGAAAATTGCCAGGACGTATCTAATGAGTCACCAGAGCCGAAAACTGATCTGAAGGCACCAAAAATTGCCAACTTCAGCATTGTGGCTTGGAACCTGTCAAACAGCCCTATGATTTATTTACTGCTGCATAGCAAAGGTAAACTGAATAGGTGGCATCCCATGAGCACTAATGGGCAGCCAATGATCCGAATCTACAATAATCTCAGAGGGAGATTAAGAAGCAGATAAGAAGAAAATTCTCCTTGCTCCTATCATTCTGTATTGGAAAGTTTTGTTTGAAAATAAAGACAGAGGCTCAGAGCCAGGGAAAGAGAATGGAAATAAATAGCATCTTCCTTCTGATGGAGGTCTGAATCTATTAGGGAAGTGTTTCTTAAGCTTGACATCTTTAAGAGGTGAGGATGTCAATTACCAGAATTCTGGGAGTTGAAGTCCACACCTCTTAAAGTTGTCAAGGTAGAAAACTATTGTATTAGGAAATGGGGGAAAAATAAGGGAAGCAAGCAAAATGTTTTACTTCAGGAAACTGTGTGTCCCAGAAGATTAGATATACCTCTAGACAAAACTAACATTTTAAGTTTTATTGTGTCTGAAATGTATTTTTTCTATGCAAGCTCAGTATTTGTATTTATTTATTTTTTTGCAACTTTATAAGCAGCTACTTCTACACTGGATCCAGACCAATGGCTCTGCTCAGACATATTTTCCTTTATATTTTTCTAAAGTCCCTTGGAAATTGAGTAGCTATATATTTTCCCCTGTTTTTGCCACTCAATCTTTGGCATGGGAGGACTTAAAGCTAAAAATTGTCTTTCTCAAGTTGCATTTAAATTATCTCTAGAGGGACTGTTTCCAAAGGGGAGAGGAAAGTCATGTACCTCAACACTAAAGACCCAGGATTTGGGACTCTATATTTTTTTTCCTTTTAAATTGCCAGATGAGCAACATAGCTTGTGAGAATCCTCTGTCCCACATATGCCGGAGCAGGATGCCAAGAGTGATGCCCCTTTGAAAACACTTGGTATCAGCAGGAACTACCAAGCCTATGCATCAAGACAGGAGACAGAGGTAATCCTCGATTTACAACAATTCATTTAGTGACTGTTCAACATCACAACAGCACTGAAAAAAATGACTTATGATCATTTTTTAACCATTGCAGTCAATCAAAAGCGATCAAAATTTGACTCTTGACAACTGACTCATATTTATGACAGTTGCAGTGTCCGAAGGTCACACAATCTCCTTTTGCAACCTTTTGACAAGCAAAGTCAATGGGGGAGCCAGATTCACTTAACAACCGAGTTACTAACAGTTACAACTGTGGCAAGAAAGGCCATCAAATGGGGCAAAATGCACTTAACAAATATTTCACTTACCAACAGAAATTTTGGGCTCAATTGTGGTCGTAAGTCAAGGACTACCTGTATAGACTGAGAAGGCTTCTAGTTTCAAACTTCAGCCTTTCATCCTAAGGGCTCAGCCAGGCCATTACATGGAATTTAATGCATACAGTTGGAAAGGACTTTTAAAGAAGAAATAGGATGTAAAAGTAAACACAAAATTGAAAGTTGAGGACAATGGAATAAAAGGAAAAAGACGGAGAAAAAAGAGAAATTATTTGAATGAGGAAGTACACAAATTGTTTCACAAAATAGTGATGAAGAAATACAGAGAGACTTCAGAGAGTGGAAAGCCCAATACAAAAGAAATTTAAAATCTACACTGAAGTAGTACAAAATAAATGTCATTAAAAAAAAAAAGTCTAAGCTTTTGAGTTTGAAAGGAAAGTGGATTGCAAGGAAAGGGAAAGGGACCAATTTTGTAATCTTACATCTCCTAGATCATATTGGTTGATGAAATGACAGGCAGCCTTCAGACATGCCCAAATGGGGACTCAAAACAGTGGTGCAAGATTCTGAGTTTGCAAAAAAAAATAAAATTCAAAAGAGGCTAGGTAGGCCATTTCCAGGGATATTTAAAGTAAAGAAGATCCAGATAGAGTAATGAGAGAACAGTATGACATGCGAGCACTTGCTGAATGCATTCAGCCCTTACCTTTGGTGCCAAATTCATCAGGTTTTCCCCTTAGATTTTTCACTGGGACAGTTTTCCTTTCCTCTCAATTCAAAAGCAATAATTTCCTAGATGAAGAGGGTGGGGCTAATGCTCACCTATGTCCTCTATCCAAGTGGCATTAAAAGTCATTTGATCTCTTGGTCCAGAGTGACAGAGATAAGAGCAGGAAATGACTTTGATCATGGTTTCTTGTTTTCTTCATCCAGACCTCCCCACAAGTGAGTTTGAAGAACAAATGGCTAGAAAAAAAGGAAGATAACTTGACCACAAGCTGGAGTTCTCTCTGGTCCTAAAGAGAACCAGTTTTAGGAGGAAAATAAATTGAATATAACACAAATTGCTCTGCAAAATAGAATCAAACAGCTGAGGTACTAATGGGTTTTTATAGCACTCTGTTTAAATGTTTGGATCTATCAAATTTTGCATGGGTGAACCTTATATTTGTTTCTAATGTTTTTTTCTTTAAAAAAACTTTCTATCCTCCTTTTTATTATTCATACTGTAAATTACTCTGAGGTGGAATCATGAACTGGTGAGGTATAGAATGATTAAAATCCTAATCAGAAAAACAATTCTAGAAATTAACTTTTCTGCTTGCTTCTGGAGGGCAGGTAGTTCAGCTTCAGAGTTACTGAAAGATAGGTGGAGTTTAACTGCTAGGTGGTGTAGTCCTCATTTAGCCACAGCCTCGACCATTTGCAATTATGGCAGTGAAGAAAAAGTAACTTTATAACCAGTCCTCGTATTTACAACCTTTGCATCAGGGGTGGGTTGCCCCCAGTTCACACTGGTTCTATAGAACCGGTAGACCCCCAACGTCATCAGAACGCTTCTGCACATGTGCAAAAGAGCGCATGTGCGAGCAAAGCAAGCTGCAAACCGGTAGTAAAGGTAAGTAAAACCCACCCCTGCTTTGCATGTGTGCAAAGCAAAGGAAAGCTGAAGTGAAATCATAAGCACAGTTACGATTTTACTTAGTGACCAGTTTGCTTAACAATCAGGTTGTTGGTTCCAATTATGGTCGCTAAACAAGAAATGGGGGAGGGGTGTGTTGAGTATTGAGTGACCGGTTCAAATGAACCAATCAATAAACGAGACTCGGGAGCGGGAAAGTTAAGTAAATGTCAGTGGCTGAAGCCGCGGACAGCTCTGGGCTATAAAAGGGGCTGCCGCGGCTGAGATTGCCATTGCAGTTACGGAGCTTGAATAAAGAGTTCGTTCACACTTAGTGTCCAGTCCTTCTTTTGCGCCCATACTTAACACTGGCGACGAAGGTGGGATTCTGAAGGACAATGAACACAACGACGCAGTTCCACAAGCAATTGACAGCCACCCCGATCAATGACTACTGACGGGTCAGATCATCGGCAACCAGCATGTCTTCGATCAGCCTACCCGCCCCATTCAACCCTGCTGGAGAAGACTGGGAAGCGTACATGGAAAGGTTCTACATGTACATGGAGGCGAACGACCTACTGAGCTTGTCGGAGCAGAGAAAGAGAGCCGTATTCCTGACCCATTGCGGCCTGGCCGTCTTCAAAATGGCAAAAGCCCTCACTGCGCCGGCGGAGTTGAGGACCATGACCTGGACGTCCCTGCAAAGCATCCTGAAGGCACATTACGCTCCCCAAGCATCGTCCCTGGTAAGACGGCACGAATTTTACCAAAGGGACCAGAAGGAGGGCGAGATGATCAGTCAGTTCATGGCAAACTTAAGAGAAATTTCCGCGGCATGCGACTTTGTAAGCCTAGAGAAAGCCATGAGGGACCGTCTAGTGTTAGGACTAAGGGACCTCACGTTGCAGAGTAGATTGCTGGCCAGGCCCCAAATAACATTCAAGGAGGCCCTGGAGGAAGCCTCAGCAACGGAGGCCTCCCAGAAATCCGCAGCAGCGATGAAGAAAGTCAACAAGGGGCTGCAAGGGAAAGAGGAATCCGCAGTCCATTATGAAGAAGCAAAAACGGAATCGGAAGAAGAGGGAGAGGAGAACGAAGTGTACCACCTTAGCCCGGACCGGAGAGGACAACCAAAAGTAAGAGGAAAGAAAGACTTTTGGTGTGTGGGATGCAAGAGCAACCACCCCAGGGCAGAATGAAAGTTCCGCGACGCTATATGTCAAAGATGTGACCGAAAAGGACATATAGCGAGAGCCTGCAGAGCTACCCAGCCAGCATCCCGGAGAAATCGGCCGAACTGACCACCCAGCTCACCACAAAAGGACCAACAATTCCAGACAAATGGGAAACGACAAACATTCAGAAGACATCGAAGGAGTGAGGATTCAGGACTGGAGAGGGGAGAAACCCACCAGTCATCGTAGGCCACGCGAGCGCGGGAAGATCAAACAAAATGACGGCGACTGTCCTCATTGAGGTGGGACCCTGCAAGATGGAAGTCGATTCGAGGTCACACCTATCCATGGTATCCTGGAAGACCATAAAGCAGCTGGTTCCGGACATCTCTACCCACGTCCTCAAACACTAACGGCTCACACTAGTCGATTATCAAGGGAACTGGATTCCGGTCCTGGGCACAAAGGACTTCAACATCCAGTTCAAGGCCTTCAGAGGGAAGCTTCTGCTCAGCATCGTGGACCGGGACAGGCCCAGCCTTCTGGGCCTAGAATGGTCCGAATCTTTGGGACTAGCTGTAGTCGGAATCGACCACATCGGAGGTGACCAATGGGAGGCTGACCTGATGGAGGAATTTCCGGACGTTTTCGATGGGAGTTTAGGCAAGTACAAGGGGTCCCCAATATCTTTCAGCCTAGACCCCCAGGTTGCCCCCATTAGAATAAAGCCCCGGAGGGTCCTGTTTGCACTGCGACCTAAAATAGACGAACAGCTAGATAAGCTAGTCGCCCAAGGAGTCCTAGAGCCAATCGACCATGCCAGGTGGGAGACCCCCATCGTGACCCCCATCAAGCCGGATGGGTCAGTGCGTCTCTGCAGAGACTATAAGAGCACATTAAATAAGGCTTTGCAACAAAGCGCATATCCCGTGCTGGTGGTCCAACATTTATTACACTCGTTGGGCCAAGGATGAATTTTTGCCAAGTTCAATCTGGCGCAAGCCTACCAGCAGCTCCCCGTAGATGAAGCTACCGCAGAAGCACAAACCATAGTGACACACCGGGGGGCATTCAAATGTAAATGCCTGCAGTTCGGAGTAAGTGTAGCCCCCGGGTTATTCCAGAGTTTAATGGAGCGGTTACTCCAAGGAATCAAGGGAGTAGTCCCGTACTTTGACAATGTCCTAATCGCCGCGAAAGATCTGAGGCAATTACGACAGCGAGTGAGAGCAGTGCTAACCCAATTCCAAGAGGTGGACTTAAAGTGAAAAAGGACAAGTGCCAATTAGCAGAAACAAAGTAGAATTCCTGGGCTACTTAATAGAGGGCTACGGAATATGTCCCACTCCAGGCAAACTGAAAGCAATTAGAGAAGCACTCACTCCCACTAACAAAACAGAGCTGCAAGCGTTTTTGGGACTATTGAATTTTTATAACATCTTCCTACAGAAGGCTACGATTGCTGAACCGTTGCACCGGCTCCTGGACAGAGTGACGGAATGGAAATGGGGAAGACCAGAAGAGACCGCGTTCAAAAAAGTGAAGGACACGTTGATGTCAGACAGAGTGCTGGTCCAATACTATGGAACTTTGCCAGTTAAACTAACGTGCGACGCATCCCCGTTTGGCGTTGGAGCGGTCCTGAGCCATTGCATGCCGGATGGACGGGAATCCCCTATTGCATTCTATTCTCTAACTTTGTCCAAGCCGGAAAGGAACTACAGCCAGTTAGACAAGGAAGCACTGGCTGCAGTTGCGGGAATAAAGCGCTTCCATGAATATTTGTACGGTCGGCGATTTCAGCTCATCACCGACCACAAACCGCTATTAGGAATTATCGCGGGGGATAAACCCACCCACCCCCATTCTGTCCCCACAAATGCTCCAGTGGATAGAATTTCTGGCAGCGTACGACTACCAATTGATCTACAGACCAGAAAAGACCATCTCCCATGCCGACGCCCTCAGCCATTGCTCATTACCGGACAGCATAGAAGACCCAGCACCCGCTGCCTACATGCTACTAATTGAAACAATGGAGAACGCACAAATATCGGTGAGAGATATCGCGAGGGCCACCGCGAAGGATGGAACGCTGGTGCGCGTTTTGAATTGGATCTGGAAGGGATGGCCGGACGGAAACCTCAGCAAGGAATTCCAACCGTTTAAAACAAGACAAACAGAACTCTCAGGGCTACGGGGGTGTGTGCTATGGGGAGACAGGGTAGTTACTGAACCACTAAGACAAGACATTTTGCACACCTTACACGAGGGCCACCCAGGGATTGTGAAAATGAAAGCATTGGCCAGGAGCTACGTGGCCAGGGATGATAAGGAGATAGAAACCTGGGTGGAAACCTGCAAACTATGTCAAGAAACCCAACCAGCACCACACTCAGCCCCCACACACGATTGGGAAAACCCGGGAGCACCGTGGTCCCGTATACATATAGATTTCACGGGCCCATGCCAAGGGAACATATTTCTCATTATTGTGGACGCATATTCAAAGTGGCTAGAGGTCAGTCTGATGCCATCGACCACGGCAGAGGCAGTCATCAGGGTCCTCAGGAGACTTTTTGCAACTTACGGATTGCCCGACCTACTAGTCTCGGACAAGGGACCCCAGTTTACGGCTAACGTCTTCGAGATGTTTCTCACTAACCAAGGAATATGGCATGCATTGTCATGCACCAGGAAATGCATTGGCATGCACCAGGAAAACCATCGACTAATGGTTTGGCCGAACAGATGGTGAGATCAATGAAAGAAACATTGACCCGACTGGGCCCAGGGGACCTACAAGCCAAGATCTATAAACTTCTAAGCATTCAACACATTATGCCAAGTGCTACTACGCACCGGAGCCCAGCCGAACTTTTAATGGGAAGGAAATTGAGGTCCACACTCGACAGATTACACCCTCAGTTTAGTACAGAGAAGCCTGTCGATTCTACAAGTAAAATTAGACAATTCCAAGTGGGGGACAAAGTTTACGCAAAAAACTTTAGCAGGAACCCCCTATGGATACCAGCAGAGATCACTCGGATCACCGGCCCACTATCATACAGGCTTTCCACAGCAGACGGCAAACAGTGGAAAAGACATGTAGACCAACTGAGGGGACGAATCACAAGAAGAGACACTGAATCAACTGAAAGAGCCCTTGAGCACAGAGAGGATCGACCACCAGATGGAAACACCCCTACACCAGTACAGGAGCAGACAGAGCGAGTCGTGAGAGACCAGACAAATAACAGCAGACACTTACCTGAGAGTTGGAGCGAGGAACCGAGGAACCAGAACAGCAGTCCAGTCCAGTCCGGGGAGGAAGGAGTTAACATTCAGAAAGATAAGACCATGCCGACCACCGAGTTCGAGAGAGTTCCAGAGGCAAGACCAGAGGAGCCACGGAACTCGACCTCACACTCGGAGAATAATGGACAGACTGATCTGCACAGGTCCAGTCGCGCCCCAAGACGACCCACCTAGTTGCGTGACTACGCAACGTAGTAGCCAAGGGATTGGACAATGCCAACTAGAGGGGAGAGGTGTTGAGTATTGAGTGACCGGTTCAAATGAACCAATCAATAAACGAGACTCGGGAGCGGGAAAGTTAAGCAAGCGTCAGTGGCTGAAGCCGCGGACAGCTCCGGGCTATAAAAGGGGCTGCCGCAGCTGAGATTGCCATTGCAGTTATGGAGCTTGAATAAAGAGTTTGTTCACACTTAGTGTCCAGTCCTTCTTTTGCGCCCATACTTAACAGGGTGTTTCAAAGCTCAGCGGTTAAAGATGCTTAGCTTATCAGCTGGAAAGCGTAGTGCCAGCCATGGAGCTATCTTTAAGTTGGAAACTTCAGGGCTGCCACAGCGGTGGATGGGCAAGCTGTGGCAATGGGAGGGGGAGGGGAGACAGTGTGGGGTGTATAGCCATAACAACATATTTTCCCTTGGGAGGAGGAAGGACATTCAGCTTGCACCTGGGGAGGCAGGACTGGGAGTCAACTACAGTTGGGACAGCGACCTGATTGGACTATGTGGCGCCCATGTGGATGCAGGGGGAGGAACTTTGACTTTATTTTGCATGGGGAAAACCCGGGGGCTTCAGATTCGTGTTTTCCCAGATGTGCCAAAATGATATCTCTAATAAATTCAGGGTTTGAGGAAAATGCCTGCCTTGGAGTTTTGATTTCGTTGGGGGTGTTACTTGGAACCTGACACCTAGGTTTGAGACCTGAGCGTTGCATGATGGATGAGCTCCTGTTACTTGCTCCAGCTCCTTCCAACCTAGCAATTCGAAACCATGCAATAGCAAGTAAATATATGTACCACTTTGGTGGGAAAGTAAGTGTTCTGTACATCTCAGCTAACAGTCATGCTGGCCACATGACCATGGAAGCATCTTTGGACAATGCTGGTTTCCCTTGGCTAAGAAACAGAGATGAGCACCACCTCCTAGAATCAGGCATGACTGGACACGTGAAACCTTTACATGTATTACCTTTAAAGTCCTATATGGCTCAGGGCCAGCTTATCTTTGAGACCGCCTTCTGCTGCATAGCTCCCAGCGACCGGTAAGATCCCACAGAGCTGGTCTCCTCCGGCTCCCGTCAGCGAAACAATGCCGGCTGGCAGGCCCGCAGGGGAAGGCCTTCTCTGTGGCTGCTCCAGCTCTCTGGAACCAGTTACCTCCTGAGGTCCGGACTACCCCCACCCTATTGGCCTTCTGAAAAGCGATGAAGACCTGGCTTTTCCAGCAGGCCTGGGGCCATTGATCTTGCTCTTGTGATCTGGCGAGATCCGGCCATGAATGGCGTGAATGAGTTTTTAATGTTTTTAATTTTTCAATGTTTTTTTTATAATTATTTTTTAAAATGTATTGTGAGCTGCCCTGAGTCTTCGGAGAGGGGCGGCAAATAAATTTAATTAATTAAATTAAATTAAATTAAATTTATCTTCTAAACAAGAAATAGCTACACCCAACAAATTTTCAATAGTTTCATTTGCATATGTTTTGGTAGATTTCCTCAGATTTCCCAGTGTCCTGATGTATTTGATATAAATTCTAAAACCTTTGGCTAGTTATGCTGGTTGAGAATTCGTATGTTTTGTGAAAACTGGACTAAATAAACTGCGGGTATTATGGGTTAATCATGGGTATGGTTTATCTGTGTGCAAACAGATCTTTGCAAAAACTATTATATGACAGAATTGTTTCTGTATATCATTACTCACTCATCTGTGGAGTACCAAATTTCGGTAAGCTGCATTAGAGGAACATCTGGAGAATCCTGGCCTTTGTCTCATTTTCAAAGTATGAAGTATAGAGAAAAGGCAATTAGAAAGAGTGCAGAGAAGAGCAACAAAGATGATTAGGGGACTGGAGGCTAAAACATATGAAGAACAGTTGCAGGAACTGGGTATGTTTAGTTTGATAAAAAGAAGGACTAGGGCTGACATAATAGCAGTGTTCCAATATCTCAGGGGCTGCCACAAAGAAGGGAGTCAAAACTATTCTCCAAAGAACCTGAGGGCAGGACAAGAAGCAATGGATGGAAAACTAATCAAGGAGAGAAGCAACCTAGAACTAAGGAGAAATTTCCTGACAGTTAGAACAATTAATCAGTGGAACAACTTGCCTCCAGAAGTTGTGAATGCTCCAACACTGGAAGTTTTTAAGATGTTGGATAACCATTTGTCTGAAGTGGTGTAGGGTTTCCTGCCTAAGCAAGGGGTTGGACTAGACCTCCAAGGTCCCTTCCAACTCTGTTATTCTATTCTATTCTATGATGATATAGTATTGAATTTAATGCCCATCAAGCCATCAGCCAAGTAATAGCCACAATCATGTATATTGTAAAATAATGTTTTTCAAATTCGGCAACTTTTAAGATTTGTAGACTTCAATTCCCAAAATTCCACACATTTTAAAAGTTGCCAAGTTTGAAAAATATATATGTAGACCCACAGGTTCAGCAATGAACTAAAATAAGGAAGGGCAGCAATCCTTGACAGAAAGCAAATGCGTTCTATTTTTGTGTAAAAACATAGGATGTGTTCTACCTCAATAAGACCTGTTGAATATTTCCAGCAAACTAGACTCTTGGGCTGAATGTCCTTTATTTCATGGCACCCAGGTTACAGAGGAATAAGAGCTGAACAATAATGTAAAAGTGAATCTACACTTTGCTTAAATGCAGCAACTGGTTTAATAGGATAGTTGTAGTGCCCAGTCTTTTGTATTCCCCCATTGTTGTATAAGGATCTCTGCATTCTGGTGGAACTGGTGGAACACTGGAGGATAAACTACCTTGGCTGATCTCAAAAAGCTAAGCATGAACAGAAATGATTAATATTTTACTGGAATCAATCAGGAAATTTGAAAGCAATAGATATATTGGAAAGGCAAAAAAAAGGGGGGGGGGATTAGCAAATCATTTCCTTATTGTTGCCAGACACAAAAACCTTATCAAATTGCGAGGAGCCAAGGTTAACTCAAGGAAGTTTCCCTAAGGGAATTAAATGGTTTTACAAAGAGCTATGAAGATTCATTTAATTTTGGATTTTGTGTACAGGATTTTTTTCAATAACTTAGAAACAGGGTAAGGTAATGTAGGCTTTTCTTGTCTGTTTGGTTGTCCCAAAGGTGCTTTTTCAAAAGGCAACTGGACTTCTGTTTTTTCTTGAAGACATTTCGTTTCTCATCCAAGAACTGAAGGCTATTCTTCCTTATTTAGAGCTTAATTAAGATAGATTTCCTTTGGCCATGGAGTTTTTAATCTACCAATTAGAATTAATGGTCAGCACATCTTTCACAAAGTTGTTTATTTAAAACTCTTCTGCCCACCTTTCTTGAATGTTCTAATTTTCTGAAGGGAAGGAATTTTGTTTTTTAAAGTTGTTCTGTTTTTCTTTCTTTTTCAAGAAAAATATTGCTGTATTGGAATATTACTTGGGATCTGCAAGGCTGGTTAAATGATATGCATGAAAATCTGCATATGGTTATCATTTAAATCCATTTAAACTGTAAAAAGTATATTTGCTGAAGTTTTTTTTCCTGTTAGAAGAATTTAGGGCAAATTTACTATTGGGACATATAGGGTATAGCTAGTCCTGGGTGAAGTCTGCTTGCATGGTCGGCCTGGGAAGGAATTGGAGGGATTGTCTCCGTGTGGTCTCTTTTCCAGAAGTGTCACATCTTGGATATAACACAAGGTTGTTGAGTGCTCCACAAAGCAACACATCAATGCATCATTCCCTTTGGGGCACACGATATCACAGGTAGTCCTCGATTTATGACAACAACTGAACCCAAAGTTTCTGTTGCTAAGCGAGATGGGGGTTGGACTAGATGACCTACAAGATCCCCTCCAACTCTTGTGTATTCTGTTGTACAACATTTATAACGCCGCCTATCGTTCAAAAATCTCTGGGAGGCTCCCAGACGGGATTTCTTTACATTTCTTCAAGTAGTCTTGGAACAGCACCGATCCTTAACCGCAACGACCACCCCACTTGCGTTCATTACACGTCCGTCATTGCGCAATTACAGACTGAGAAAAGGGCGGGAAAAAGTCAGCGAGGGCTGAAAATATAAATATACTAATCCCGCTAACAGGAGAAGCTCCAGAAAGGGCGAAACTATTATCGAGCGCGGATATTTAACTTTTTTTTTAAAATCCTCCTCTATCCATCGCGGCATTTTATCAAAAAGAGAAAAAAAATTCCGCCGGCTTGCCGCCATCATCGGCCTCATCACACGCAGCGCTTTTTATCAGTTTTGCCCACACTTTCCTTCGGCCGAGCTGGGCGGTGAAGCCACGGGGTTGCCAGGAATAACGTCACGTCCTGTGCGACGAGTTGGGTTGGAGGGGGAGGGAAAAAGTCTCTAGCTATGGCGTCATATCCGGCTCGAATGGCAGCAGGAGTCTGATATTGATTCCTACGCAGTGCTGCTGGGAGGCTTCGGGTGCTGTTGTTGCAGCCGCCTAGGTACGACCCGGGTCGTTTGTCCGGGGATGGGACGGAAAGGAAGGTGCAAACCCGCCAATTCTAATTTAGGGTCCCGCGGGGCCCCCTTGGAGAGTCAGAGGAATGGGGGCTCCAGAGGTTCCCAAACGAGTGTCGAGGTCGCCTCCTAAATTGACTTCAGACGTGGCTGCTTTGGTGCAGACTTGATTAGATGCACGAGAAAAATGGTGGGGATCCCCCTTTGGCTTCGATAAGTTCTATTAGAGCAGAGTTTCTCAACCTTGACAATTTTAAGACATGTGGACTTCAACTCCCAGAATTCCCCAATCAGCCTGGCTGGCTGGAGAATTCTGGGAATTGAAGTCCACACATCTTAAAGCTGCCAAGGTTGAGAATCACTGTATTAGAGGATGGGGGGTCGATAGGCGTCCCTTACATCCAATTCTCCATTATGCCCAGTTGAGAAAGGAGTGGGTGGGCTTCGGTTGAAATTGATGGAGACTGTTGTGGAGTTCAGGAAGTGTAGAGATTATCAGTCATCCAGGTCATGGTTGTTCCAAAGGTGCTTTTTCAGGAGGCAATTGGAATTTGTTTTTTCCCCTCTCTTTTGAAGAAGTTTTGCTTCTCATCTAAGAAGCTTCTTCAGCTCTGACAGGATAGTGGGGAATGGAAGGATTTATATTCCTTGCAGACAAGCTGGTCATTTGCATCCTTTTAGAGCAGTGGTTCTCAACCTTCCTAATGCCGCGACCCTTTAATACAGTTCCTCATGTTGTGGTGACCCCCAACCAGGGGTGGGTTCTAAATTTTTTTACTACCGGTTCTGTGGCCGTGGCTTATTTTGTGGATGTGGCTTGGAGGCCATGTGACTGGGTGGGCATGGCTAGCTGGTCATGTGACCGGGTGGCCATGGCTATGTGTATAGGGACTACTCAGAGGGCTGAAAAAAGTCATTTCTGACAGGTCCTCGCACTTTTGACTGGTCCTCACACTTATGACCATCCTCACATTTATGCCCGTGCAGCATTTTTAACAACCATGTCACTCATTTCACAACTGCTTCTTTTCACCATGGTGATAAGATAGGGCAAAAAACGTAAAATGTGAGGACAGTCATAAATTTGAGAACTGGTCAAAAGTGCGAGGACCAGTCAAAAATAACTTTTTCAGCCCTCTGAGTAGTCCATGTGCACAAAAGGACTACCCAGAGGGCTGAAAAAAGTGATTTCTGACAGGTCCTCGCACTTTTGACCGGTCTTCACACTTATGACTGGTCATCATTTATGCCCATTGTAGCATTCTTAACAACCATGTCACTCATTTCACAACTGCTTCTCCACCATGGTGACAAGATAGGGCAAAAACGTAAAATGTGAGGACAGTCGTAAGTTCGAGGACTGGTCAAAAGTGCGAGGACCAGTCAAAAATAACTTTTTCAGCCCTCTGAGTAGTCCATATGCATAAAAGGATACAGCAATAGAGAGGGATGAAGGAAGGGAAGGGAAATTAGAGTAGGAGTGAGGGTAAGAGAGGGAGGAAGAGAGAAGGAGAAGGAGAAAGGAAGAGGAAGTAAGGAGGAGAGGGGGGGGAAAGAGAAAGTAAGAAGGAAAGAAAAGAGAGAGGTGGTAGGTTTGAGGAGAAAGATTGCTGTACAAAAAAAAAAAAGATGAAAGGGAAGAAAACCAACCCCAAACAAATATGAAGATATTAAGATAAAGAATAAATTGTTAAACTTTAAAGAATAAAAGAGAACAAATATGAATAAATAGCAATAATTAGAAACACACATACAAACATACAATGTATTTTCTTTGAACAGAGTATTTGGCCGGTTCACAAATTTAAACAGTGTTTAGTCATTTCAATTAAATTTATAATTTCTATATTTCCTTTTTGCCATATTTATTCCTCATCTATTTTAAAAAAAAACCAATATTACCCTTCATCCTCATCTCTAATCTTAATCAAATTCAATTTTTCCCTTCTATTCTATATTATACCCCTTCGCATTGTCATCTATTTTTATATCCATCCTCACATTGGTTAATTATGTAATTATGTAATACAGTTGTTTAATACAAATTCAACATTTTAATATAAATCAATAAGTTATAACTATGTTTTTTGTATATTAATCAATATGAACATGAATATTCCAATTATTTCCATGCAATCCAATTTCTTACAAATCAATTAATTATATTTACCAATAATAATAAACCAAATAATTTCCCCCATATATTCCTCCAAACCACAACTTAACCATTTCTGCTTTCAACACAATATACAATTAATAGTATCTCAATAATTACAATTCCCTAGTTAAATAGAGCTTTTTTTCTTTTCTGTTTTAAAATCTTGAACCTCCTCTTTTGCCCTAAATTTCCCATTGTTTGCAGTTTTGCACCTACTTTTTTTGGTGAGGAAAAAGAAAAAGAAATCTCTCTCTGCCTCATTTTGTCACATTGCAGCAAAGACCCTGCTTTACTTTCAGTTTCGTTTTTTCAGCATAGCTAGGGGGAAAAAAATCTGCTCCAGATTTTTTTGCAGCTAGCAGCAGAGCCCTCCGCAAAACAGCTGAGAGCAAATCAGCTGAGAGTCGAGGCTGATCTAATCAACTTATGCTAATTAACCTATCCTGAAGCTGAAAGGGGCTGTTTTTTCTAATTTTGCAGGCACCGGTCTACTCATTTGTTTTCTTTTAACACTGATCAGCTGTGGGGTGGCGCTTTGAAGCCCCACAGCAAGAATTTAAACAGTTTTTTTCCCTCTAGCCATCAGCTGGGACTCAGGAGGCAGCAATAGATTGAGAGTGGGCCGGGTAAGCGAACGGCCGGCGATCCAACAGAGGCAGAGGGTGAGGGTGAGTGAAGGCATGGGGGGGGGTGAGAGAGGGCTTTGGCGATCCTTGTGAAATGGCCGTTCGACCCCCAAAGGGGTCGCGACCCCCAGGTTGAGAACCGCTGTTTTAGAGGGTCGTTGAAGTACTTGGAGGTGGATCTTTGTCCTCAGGGTCACCTGAGTGGTGCTCCCGGTAGTGCTTCAGGAAGGGAAGTAGCCTTACTTTAAGAGATGGCAACAAAAACACCGTTTTTTTGCAAGTAATGGTTTTTCATCTTTCTGTCTACCAAAGGAAGTGGAGAATTGTTATTCGCAAACCGTGTTTAGCCTGGTGCAGGTGGCAAACAGAACCAGATACGAGAGGTGGTTCAAGGAACTTTTATTGAAGTACAGGCTAATAGCACTTCATTCAGTGACTGTTCAAAGTTAACGGCACTGAAAAAAGTGACTTAAGACTGTTTTTCACAGTTTTTATTTATTTATTTGATTTATATGCCGCCCTTCTCCAGAGACTCAGGGCGGCTTACAATGTGTTAAGCAATAGCCTTCATACTTTTGTATATTTTATACAAAGTCAGCTTATTGCCCCCACAATCTGGGTCCTCATTTTACCTACCTTAGAAAGGATGGAAGGCTGAGTCAACCTTGAGCCTGGTGAGATTTGAACTTGCAGTAATTGCAGGCAGCAGATGTTAATAACAGTGTTAATAACTGTTAATAACAGTTACTACCTTTGCAGCATTCCCGATGTGATCAGAATTCCGATGCTTGGCAACTGGTTTCTACTTATGACCGTTGCAGCATCCCGGGGTCATTTGGTCAACTTTTTGCAACCTTCTGACCAGCAAAGTCAGTGTGGAAGCCAGATTCACTTAACAACTGGGAGACTAACTTATCAATTGCAATGATTCACTTAACAACTAAGACAAAAAAAAAGTCGTAAAATGGGGCAAAGCTCACTTAACAGATGTCTTACTTAACAACAATACATTTTGGGCTCAATTGTGGTCGTAAGTTGAGGACTACCTGTACGTCAGCAAAAGGAGCCGAGATCCTGAACTATACACAAATACAAATTTTATACAGTTATAATTAAAAAAGTTAACACCCTAAGAATCATTCATTGTTTGTTTGACACTTGTTTCTTTTGATTGGATTCTTGTACTTTTCCCTCCTTCTTCATACATTGCATGTTTATGCTAATAAGCTTTCTTATCAAAAGGGGTGTGTGTTTTATTATTATAATAAGCTAGAGATTACCAAAGTTTATGTCTACCCTGTTTCCCACCAAATAAGACATCCCCTGATACTAAGCTCAATCGGGCTTTTGAGCGCATGGCAATAAGGCCAAGCGCTTATTTCAGGGTTCAAAAAAATATAGACAGGGTCTTATTTTCAGAGAAACACGGTATGTGCTTTAGCTAGCATCCTTTTAACAGCGTCCTCCTAACTTTAAACTTTCTTATAACTTTCTTGTTGCTAGACAGTAGTTGTCCCATCATTCGTTACTGATCTTGTTACACTCATTGCAGCTGCAATTTTCTGCCTCTGTAATTCCTTTAACAAACTTTCCTAATTCTAACATGAGATCTTCAGAATGCAGGATTCTTCTTATTATAACATTTGGGAGTGCCTGGCAGCTATTTGGACTAAAAGCGTTATGAGGAAGTATGCAGGATTATTTTATTTATTTATTTATTTATTTTAAATAGTTTTTATTGAATATAAATATTAAAAAAGACATACGTAACATATACACAACAAACATTTATACAACATATACACAAAAAGAGTGTAATTTCTTCTTAAGCATTTTTTCAGAGTGACGTTCTACAATTCTACTTATAATATATTCCTTCACCTCTCTTTAATCTAATAATATTTTTTATTACATATATATGTATCAATCGGTAATATATCCCCTATATATTTTGTATATTTCTAATTTTTAACCAATTATACCAATTATTCCATATTTTATAATAGTCTGATTCTTCTTTTTCTTGTAATTCTTTGGTTAACCTATCCATTTCAGCGCATTCTAAAATTTTCCCTATTACTTTTGTTTCACTTGGTATTTTTTCTTGTTTCCAATTTCTTTATGCAGGATTATTTTAAATTGTGTTTTTTGGGGCACTGTTTTGGTTCTGAGGGCTTATCAGATTCTTCAGTTATATTAACCTATCACTTCATTGATGCCAAAAGAGTAGACCATATGTATTGCGTGCATCTACCCTGGAATGGGTAGCAAAGGCAGACTTGACAGCTGCTTGTTTACAAACTTTCCCCAGAGGTAGTGTATAGTAATGATAAGGTCCTTATCTGTAGAGGAACCAGCATTCTGGTAAAGCTGGATGCGACACTTATCAGAACTGCCAAGTTCATGTTTTGAACACAGCAGTCTCTCTGCTGTTGATCTGGGTTGCATTTTACAGGGTCATCATGTCAAAACGGAAAGTCACATTTGAAGACCAAGGCGATGATGATGAAGAGGAGATGATCCTCCCAAAGAAGAAGGTGAAATAAATCTTTATAGCATCTTTGCCTAATCTGACTTCTTCTGCCTGTTGTTGGTTAGAGTTCCTATCAATACTGGCCAATCTAGTGGTAGGAACTCCTAGAAATTGTAGGACAAACCACCTGATGGAACCCAGGTTGAGGAAGGTTATTATTTAACTTGAGATCCAGACAACAAAGCCTAAGGAGGAACTGTTCATTACAGTGTTTTTCAATTTGGCAACTTTTTTTTTTTTAATTTGATTTATATGCCGCCCTTCTCCGGAGACTCAGGGCGGCTTACAATGTGCTCAGCAATAGCCTTCATCCTTTTTGTATATTTATACAAAGTCAGCTTATTGCCCCCGCAACTCGGTCCTCAATTTACCTACCTTAGAAAGGATGGAAGGCTGAGTCAACCTTGAGCCTTGGCGAGATTTGAACCCTGCAGTAATTGCAGGCAGCTGGTCTTAATAACCAGCTTAATAACAGGGTGCCTTAAACCCCTGTACTACCCCTGTACTACCAAGGCTTTAAGACATAGATGGACTTCAACTCCCAGAATTCTCATGCTGGCTGGGGTATTCTGAAACGTGTGAAGTCCACAAATCCTAAATGTCTATGGAGATTCTCAGTCATCCAGGTCATACCCTGTTTCTCCAAAAATAAGACATCCCCTGATAATAAGCCCAATCGAGCTTTTGAGCGCATGCACTAAAATAAGCCTCCCCCCCAAAATAAGCCCTCCCCGAAAATATTTAAACGCAGAACTGAAAATCAGGTAAGACTGCAAAAGGAGCCTCATCTTGTGCTACGTGCCCCCAAATAATAAGACCTCTTCGAAAATAAGGCCAAGCGCTTATTTTGGGGTTCAAAAAAATATAAGACAGGGTCTTATTTTGGGGGAAACATGGTAGTTGTGCTTTTTCAAGAGGCACCTGGACTTTCTTGGGGTTTTTTTGAACCCTCATGTTTTGCTTCTCCAAGAAGCAGCTGAGAGCTGAGCTCTCAGTTGAAGAAGCTTCTTGGATGAGAAGCGAAATGTCTTCAAAGAAAAAAAAAAGTCCAGTTGCCTCTTGAAAAATCATCTTTGGGACACACATCCTAAAGTTACCACATTTGAAAAACACTGCACTGTGAAGTTGCAGTCTATAGCTACATACTTAAATTCAGGTAGTCCTCGACTTACAACATTTGTTTAATGACCCTGTGAAGTTACACATCACTGAAACAAGTGACATGATATTATTTTTGTCACCTATTACTATTGCAGCAACCCCATGGGCACATGATCAAAATTTGGATGCCTGGCAACTGGTTCATATGCAATGTCTAGGGGTCATGTGATCACCTTTTGCAACCTTCTGTCAAGCAGAGTCAATGGAGAAGCCAGATTCACTTAATAGCTATGCTACTAAGTAACAACTGCAGTGATTCACTTAACTGTGTCAACAAAAGTCATAAAAGAGGACAAAACTCTCTTAACTGCTTCAGTTAGCAACAGAAATGTTGGGCTCAATTGCGGTTGTAAGTCGAGGACTGCCTATAAGGACCACAAGTTATCAGTGAAAAAAATAGAGAAAGTTACAGGGAGTAACTTGCTAATTTGAGGAATTAGCTAATTTTCTAACTTGACAATTGGGGGAAAACACGTAAACTCTGAAGGTTCTTCAAATGCTGAACTTCTAAATTCACTTCATCTCTTGAATAGCTGGTGGAACCTGCTATTGGAGGGCCAGGCAGCCGCTTTAAGGGCAAGCATTCGTTGGACAGCGATGAGGAAGATGAGGAGGAAGATGAAGGGCAGGGTAGTAAATATGACATCCTTGCATCAGACGATGTGGAAGGTAAGTAGGGAGCTGTATTGATTATAGATTTCAGTAATCAGAACTTCTACATTCTTTCTTCTCTAAGTTAAAAAAAAATTCAGTAGTCCCCAAGATTGTGGATTTTTTTAGTGATGACAGTTAAGACACTCTGAATTATGTGGTGACCCATCACATAATCTTCAATCTCAATAAGAAAAATGTTTTCAGACTTTATAATTCAAGTAAAATGATAATTTTGGAGCAGGTTTCATATTTGCACTTTCTACTCCAATAATTTACTGTTTGTTAACAGTTTTAAAAAATTAAGGTTAAATAATATTTTTATTGGTGTCAGGTCAATCAGAAATTAATCTCCTTACTTTATCTTTTTAGGGCAGGAATCTGCCACTATTGACTATGAAGATGGTATCCGGATCACCCCTTTCAATTTGCAAGAGGAGATGGAAGAAGGTCATTTTGATTCAGAAGGCAATTATTTCTTGAAAAAAGAGGCAGTGATTCGGGACAATTGGTTGGACAACATAGATTGGGTAAGTCTTTTTAGGTAGACTTGAAGGGAAGACAGCCAGTGCAATATAGATAGATAGATAGATAGATAGATAGATAGATAGATAGATAGATAAGATAATAGATATAGATATAGATATAGATATAGATATAGATATAGATATAGATATAGATACTATATATATAGATATACTCTCTCTCCCTCCCTCTCTCTCTCTCTATCATAGGATTTAGGGAATTTTAGTTAGAAAGAAGGCAAATAAGAGATGAGTACATTATTTATTTTTGTTTATTTAGTTTGATTGTCCTCCATCTCCTAAAGTCTCACAGCTGCTGTGGAAAAAGTGTGCATATACATTATTTGAAGTAAATGTAGGGGAATTTCAGGAGTGTAAAAGGAAATACCATGGACAAGCCATAGAATCCTCCGCCATCTACTCTGATTATCAGTTTAAACCAGTGTTTCTCAACCTTGGCAACTTTAAGATGTGTGGACTTCAATTCCCAGAGTTCCCTAGCTTCCCGTACATAGTACCCCTCCCTCCACCAATAAAATTGAGACCAATGTTGACAGATGGAAAGTATGCTTGCAAAAATTGGAAATGATTGCAAGGATAGATCAGACATTTGCGTTCTTATTCCGGACCTAAAATTCATTTTAATCCATAATACATCACTTTTCTTTTACCTAATCTATCCTTTTCTGTTTTTTACCAGGTCAAGATAAAGGAACAGCCTCCCGGTCAGAAGAAATCACTCGATTCTGCAGATAATGACGAAGAAGATGAAGATGATGAAGATCTTGAGGTGGGCCGGACACCTCTGGAGAAGAAGGAACTTCTGGAAAGGATGGTAGACTTAATGTTACCTGGTGAGACAGTAGCTAGAGCCATTCAAAGGTTTGGAGACAAGGGTGGCCCGAAAAGTAGTGGACGTCAGCGGAAGCCCTGGACCCGCCTCAAAGTAGATGAAGTTGATCCAGCTGAGGAAGATGATCCCCAGAAGCCAGGGTCACCTGAGCGGAAAGAGCAGCTAGAACAGCTGTCAGGGCTGGCTGACCAAATGGTGGCACGAGGAGTCTATGAAATCTATCAGGAAACCCGGGAGAAGCTGGCTGTGAGACTCCGGGCGTTACAGCACCCTCCTGCAGCACCTTCCTCTGGTGAACCAGAACTCGACATGTTTGCTGAGGAGATCGACGAAGCCAAACTAGGAGAGAAGACATCATCAGGTGAATGTCCTTGGGGAACTGAGTGTTCCGGGATTGGAAACATACAGTCAAGACAGTGTGCTGAATATTATCATAGCAGGTGAAGGATCACTTGTTGGGGTGTTTTTCATTATGTCAAGGTTCGGGAGGAAAATTCCGCTCAAACTTGCAAAGCTGTGTGTCAAGAGCTTATTTGGGGAAGCCTTGAAATATACAACCCCTCATCTAACACGTTCAACTATCCTTAACTCAGTACTTCTCAACCTTGGGGACTTTAAGAAGTGAGGACTTCAATTCCCAGAAGCCCCAGCCAGCCATGCTTGCTGATGGCTTCTGGGAGTTGAAGTCCACACATCTTAAAAGTTCCCAAGGTTGAGAAACACTGCCTTAACTGTATGATGTTCTATTGGGGGGTAAATTCCCTATTATTAGGGAACTTAGGAAAAATACTTCTGACCTATGTGTTTATTCTCCAACAACAGGAAGTCAGACACGTGGGGAGAGTGATGACAACATACTCTCTGAGGTGATGTGGGAATATAAGTGGGAAAACACAAACACATCTGAACTTTACGGACCCTTCAGCAGCTCTCAGATGCAGGTAAGAGGCCAAAAGAGGATAAATGAACTTCTTGTTCACTTCCTCACTTTGTGTCTATTTCTCTCTACCTATTCACTATCCTAGTAATGTCCTTTTTTCTTCATTGGTACAGATAATCCTTTTCCCTTCTTTCTCCAATATCTCATTTATCTTTCTTTTTTCCTGAGTGACTTTTTTTAAAAAATGCATCTTTCTACCATTCTATTCATTTTAATTGCCATCTATTTAGTGTTGCTGGTTCTTCGATTTTGCAATTGTATATAAATCCTGGCTTATGTTGAATACTGGTAGTCCTTGACTTGGACACTTGGTGGCTGTTTGAAGTTACAACAGCACTGAAAAAAATGGCCTATGACCCTTCCCATGGTCATGTGATCAAAATTCAGCCGCTTGGCAACTGACTCGCATGTATGATGGTTGCAGTGTCCCGGGGGGTCATGTGATCCCCTTTTGCGACCTGACAAGCAAAGTCAATGGAGAAACCAGATTCACTTAACAACTGTGTTAGTAGTTCAGCAACTGCAGTGATTCACTTAACAAACATGGCAAGAAAAGTCGTAAAATGGGGCAGAACTCACTTAACAAATTTCTCACTTAACAACAGAAATGTTGGGCTCAATTGTGGCCGTACATTGAGGACTATCTGTACCGATGGAAGGATGATTCTGTTGATGCACCTTATTTCCCTTCCTGGCAATTGTGAGAAGAAAAACGTATTCCTTGGGAGATTGCATCAGAGGGATTTTTAATCATTGTCACATATTGTTTTTGGTTATAATTTATTTCCTTGGTCAGAATTTTTTTCCTGGACAGTACATTTGCTGTGGGGATGGTGCTTGAGAATTAATTTTGACGGATATAGTATCACTGCCCCCAAATCCATACTAACATACCCAATGTGCATTTTTTAGAATCTGTTCTTTTCCTGGCATCTTTCTTTTATTCTTTTATTAGATCTTTTATTAGTCTTTAGATTAAGAAATCTAAATCGAGGGCAGCATATTGGGCAATCTTGAATATAGAATCAGAAATGATTTGTGGAAGCAAAATTACTTATGTTCTTTTCTTTAATCAAAGTAGTCAATTTTGCCATTTCAGCCAACTCCATCAACTTCTGCAACCATTCGTCCATAGTAGGAATCAGACTGCTTTCGAACTTCATGCGTGATGTGGAAAAGAATGAAACTTTGATTTCGGGTTTTACCGATTAGACTGATAGATCTTTACAGAAATGGCTTGTTCATATTATTATGAAAAAGCAAAAAGTTGTGATTTTTTTTAAAATTTGATTTATATGCCGCCCTTCTCCGGAGACTCAGGGCGGCTTACAATGCATTAAGCAATACTTAATACTTAATACATACTTTTGTATATTTATACAAAGTCAGCTTATTGCCCCCACAAACGGTCCTCATTTGATGTTAATGCCTTATTTTACTGTAACAGAGAGAGTCGGAAGTCAATGCTTCTTTTTTTCTTCTTATCTTTTTTCACTTCTCTTCCCCCTTCCCCCCTCCTACTGCTTTTCTATTTACTTTTGTATTTTGTATTTTACAATATTTTATAACTCAATAAAACTGTTAAACTAGAATCAGAAATGATGTGCAGCATTCAGTTTCCTTGCAATACCAGATTTGATGATAAATGATCTTCTACTCCCTTATTAGCAAAACGTGCAATTAATACGGTTTCATTTCTTCTAATATGGTCCTATCAAATACCATATTGGCTGAGTGCGTTTTGGGATGACCCTTTTGTTAACACTGCCAATTAAGCGTGCCTCTTTGGTTGCCTCTTTTGTGATATTCCATACCAGATGGTTTTGTTTTCTTTCATGAATGAAGGCGAATATATGTGTCCCAGGATAATGCTGCAGGATCCAATCTGGATCGGCCACCAGGACCAGAGGTTTAGTCTTCCGAGCTTTCGGATTCGTGCTGGAGCCTCATCCTCAGGGAACTTCTTTCTAGCAGAGTCTGTTTTCTTTCCTTTTCTTCTTTTCCCTGCCATCCTTCTCTCTTCCCTTTCAAATTCTTTTTTCTGTCTCTTCAGGACTGGGTATCCCAAGGCTATTTCCCTGATGGGGTTTACTGCCGGAAGGTGGAAAATTCCGAGGGCCAGTTCTACAATTCCAGGCGGATTGATTTTGATCTCTACACATGATCGGAACCCACCTCCGGTCCTGCCAAGCACGAGGGACAGAGTTCAACCCAGCGACAGACTGAAAGAACTTGCCAGACTGTGGGGTGGGGTGGGGTGAGGGCAAGGGGATATTATGTGTGTGCCTGCGTGGGTGGGTGCATTTGCCGAGGGGAAGAGAGGTTCCCATTTAAATCTAAGGATGTTTGGTATTTTGTGAAAAATAAAATAACCTTAAATTGGTTTGGGTAGTCAGCCCTTTCTATTTTCCTGCTGGCTATTACATCCCATCGCTGTACATTTTGTGTGGGGTAATGGTTGCCAGAGACAAATAATCTTGTACAGGTAGTCCTCGACTTATGACCACAATTGAGCCCAATGTTTCTGTTGCTAAGCAAGACAATTGTTAAGTGAATCTTGCCCCATTTTACAACCTTTCTTGCCACAGTTGTTAAGTAAATCGCTGCAGTTCTTAAATTAATAATATGGTTGCTAAGAGAATCTGGCTTCCTCATTGAATTTGTTTGAAGGTTGCAAAAGGTGATCACATGACCCCAGGACACTGCAACCGTCATAAATGCATGCTAGTTGCCAAGGGTCTGAATTTTGATTATGTGACCATGGGGATGCTGCAGTGGTCATAAGTGTGAAAAACAGCCATACGTCACTCTTTTCAGTGCCATTGTAACTTTGGATAGTCACTAAACAAATGGTTGTAAATTGAGGATTACCTGTACATGTGCTGGATTACTTGATCATGGCTCATTAACCAGAGCTAGTGGATTATTTGGGATCACATGCATTATATCAACTGCAGCAGTCAACATGATTGGTTGCTGGAAAATAAGATTTTTCCATCACTAAATGAATGGTTGTAAGTCGAGGACTACCTGTATGCAAGATAGTTTCTTTCAGCCCAGAGTTTTTAAGTTTATCCGGTGATATTTTAAGTTTCTTCTACTCACCAGTCCAGAGCTCGTCAAACAAGGAAAATGTTTTTTAATAGACAAATACACAGATTTAAAAACACAAAAAAGCATAGACGACTAACCTAAAATAAAATCAACATATTTTCCACCCAGTCTTGCTTAGTGGGCAGCCTAATAATTAGTTCTCTTGCCACATATATTACACATGAGCAGCTGTGTCCTTAGATTTATAGAAAGGAAATTATCTTTTCAAAAGAACAGATTGATGTTTTTATGGCTACAGAAGTGGTAGGCAATCTGATGGAAAAGTTTGATAATCATCTTGAAATCGATATTTCCTGAAAATCAACTTGAGCCAACTCATTGGCACAGGAAGGAAACTATGGTAAATTATTTCAGCAATCGGTCCATTGAAGCCAGCTAGAGATAGATAGGTGAGTTTTATGTTATTTTTATTTTTAGAAAAAGAATGGATCAGGAAGGGGATAGGAACCTCAATTTTAAAGATGGTTTTGGTGTTTCTTATCCCTCTTGTAGAGATGAACCCTATCTCATGGTATCTTCATAGAATTTCTGTGAAAGTTGTGATTGGTTAGTTTGTTATAGCTTTATTCTTGGAAGATGAGCTTTTTGTTTCCTGTGAATTTTATTGTCCCTGCCAGGAAGCAGATGTCGTATGTTCCAAAAACGTGTGCGATTCATTTAGCTGATTTTTCTGAGTAAATTTGGCTCTTTTTGTGGACAGATTTGACATTGACCTGATTCGGTGACTCAGACTGAAGTTCTAGCTCATGGGTGCCAAGTTCACGGTGTCATGTTGCCGTCACGTGACATTTCACGATGTTTCCCCCCTTTGCGGAGCTGGGGTAGGCATGGCCTGCGTGTGACGCATCCGGTCCATGGGCCTCTAGTTTGACATCCCTGTAAATCTAGCTAGTCTTGTTTTTTTAACAACTTCGAGCAACGCCATCTCTAGAAAGCTTTCCTGCCAATATCCATCTTTAGGACACAGATAGTCTTTGACTTATTCGTTTAGTGACCGTTTGAAGTTAAAACAGCACTGAAAAAAGTGACTTACAACCATTTTTCACATTTACAACCATTGCAGCATCCGGTCACGTGATCAAAATTCAGACACTTGGCAACTGACATGTATTTATGACAGTTGCGGTGTCCTGGGGTCATGTGATCACCTTTTGCGACCTTCTGACAAGCAGCATCAATGAGAAAGCCAGATTCGGTTAATAACTGTGTTATTAACTTAACAACTCCAATGATTCACTTAACAGCTGTGGCAAGAAAGATGGTAAAATGAGACAAAACTCAACAACTGTTTTGGCTAACAGTGGAAATTTTAGCTCTGTTGTAATCACAGTCCAGTTGGCAATTTTGACTAAGAGGTGTTGATAGAATTCCCTGTCAATTTTTCTTCATTGAGCAAGATTTCCCTAGGATGGAATTACAGAAGCGAAACGAGCATTGTCTGTTAAGAGTTTTGCCCACTGGGTTCGCCTACAGCAGTGATGGCTAACCTTTTGGGCTCGGTGTGTCAAAGATTTAGAAAACACCTATTTTGACTCTTCTGCTCTATCACACACACACACACACACACACAAGCACAAAGCATGGACAAAGGAGACCTCTCAAGACCTCCTCTCTGGACTCTGAAAGTCGCATGAGAAAGTCCTGCTCTCCTGGTGCCTCTGGAAACTCCAAAATCTGCATAGGGATGGTCACACAATTTTTGGAGACCTCAGCGGCCAGACAAGAGCAGGACCCTCTTGAGTGATTTCCAAAGGGTCTGGAAGCCTCACCAAAAATGACCTGCCAAATCACTTGTGACACGTGTGTCGTACGTCAGCCATTGCCGGCCTACCACATTAAGCATTCCCTGGTCAGGAGGAGAAAGGGACCATGTAGTCATCCCAGTGCTCAATATACCACAGGAAGTGATTTAGAAATACTTTAGATAGAGATTACACAAAGCAAGGCCGAAGCAAAAGTTGGAGGAACTAAGAATGTTGGGAGGAAATATATATTGGTGTACGAAGAAAAGGAAGTGAGATGCAGAGTGGAGTCAAGAGAAGAAGCTCCAGAGAGGTGAAACCACACCATGGGTCCTATCACTGAAGTGAAGCTCTTCTACCAAGCCGTGATCCTTCTTTGCCTTGGCTGCGGTAGGTAGCAGATCCCCATTGGGTTTAGTAGCTCAGGAACAGGGCAACAGGTTGCCTGAAAAGCATCTTGCCTTTAATAGATTTAAGAGCATTTTCCAGCTTGGGGGAGAGGGAGAGGAATTATTATTTCTTTATAGAACTGGATTAATATCTTTCATCCAGAATTGGCTGGATAGGAAATCCAAACTAAAGGTTTGAGATACAAGGGTTGAGCCTCCCTGCAAAACGGAGAGCCTAGGTGCTCTTGAATTAATTTCAGTAAGAATCACTAGTTGATATTTTGAAAAAAGAAAAGTTAATATTAACACAGAGGCCTTTCTTAAGTGTTGTGCTGGCTGAACAATTTTGAGAGGATCGCTAAATATCGTTTTGACTTAGCCTTTCTGTCAAGCTCTGTAAAGTAGGTTTACATAGACTGAGCCATGCAAACCAGGTGGTGTACAATGGTGTGCTTAGAATGGTTTAAATTCACTCACGTTTGAAGTAGTGCTTTCTATTTCTTATCCAAACTAAGCAGTTTGTATAAAATGCATATTTATTCAATACCTAATATAGAAATCAGTACTAGAAAGGACTGGGTGCTCACTGCCCCCAGCTACGGAACTAATTTTCACTGATAGCCTGTTTTGTTTTCTGCCTAAGGAATTTTCAAGACAATTATTAAAATAGGAGATTGCTTCTAAGTTTTGTTAACTTTTTCTACGGGGTTATGAAAAAATCACTGCTTGAGGCGATACAACATAAGTAACATCCCAAGACTTAATAAAATGTCATGTTATCCATTTCAGAACATGAAAGATGTAGCTTAATAATGCCATCAGTTTATATTGTATCTTTCAACTAGCTGTTTTCAGATTTCTCTAGCAGTGGCCTATGAAATTAGCCAAGTTTAATTTAGCCATTATATTGCAGGTAGTTTTGTCATTGATTTCACTGGTACTTTTTACCTCAGTGTGAATAATCTTCATAAGAAGCAGTAATACCAGTTTTTGAACCGTAGCAGAACAGCCTTATAACCTTAGACCAATTTAAACGAACAGTAGGTTTGATTAAAGTTGCATTTTATATATATAATGCAATTCCACCCCGCAAAAAATAACAAACTGCATTTGTTATATGCTTGAAAAGGGACACAGTATTTCATCCTACTGAATTCTAATTTAAGGAGGTCTGGTTAATCTGGAGCACTCTAAGCATCTTAAACTAATCCTAGACAGTAGCTAGGAACTTGTGACGCCAGACCAAATACAAGGAAAAGATACTGCCAGCTTTTAAATACAATGATTTCCCAGGAAGGGTGTGTAAAACACATAATTTCAAACTGTTTTGAGCATGAAATTTCCCATTTTGAGATCAAAACTGCTGTATTGAACATTCTGGTGATATTTTGAACTTGGAACAATAATTTACAGAGTGTGAAACATTTTCAAAACACTTGGAAACAGCCCATATTGTATCAGAAACAGCCATTTCAGATTTGATATGCTTCAAAATAAGATATTTTTAGTGCTTTGCATAATTCAGAGTGCTTTGACTTCCTTTTCTGTAGTAAATTATATTCTTAACCCATGCCATTTGCATTCCCTTTTTATCTCTATCGGGTTTTATTCTGCATTTTTATAACCTTTTTTTTTTATTTCTGTTGATTGATACTTTATTCTAACCCATTTTTTATTACTTCTCTGAATTCCAAAGTAAGGAGCAGGTGAGGGGAAAAAAGATAGTAGGTTGTACCACTTTCATCTGAATATGGATATTTTATTTTACTTATTTTAGTCAATTTGGACACCATCCGATTCTGACTGGCTCTGAGCAGATCACAAATAATAAACCAAAACCAAGATGGGATCCAGGCAAATATTCAGATAGAAAACAAAAGTAACAAAATGAGGATTCCTGTCTGATCTCAGGATCAAGGAGAAAAACCAGGTCTTTAAGGCCCTATGGAACACCAACACGGTGGGAGCAACATGGATTTTGAGGGAGATGGGGGATAGGATATCATTCTAAAGGCCAAGCACCACAACAGAGAAGGCACACTTCCTGGGTCCCAGTGAATGGCATTGTTAATTGAAACTATCTAGAGCAGGGGTCTCCAACCTTGGCAACTTTAAGACTTGTGGACTTCAACTCCCAGAGTTCCTCAGCCAGCTTTACTGGCTGAGGAACTCTGGTAGTTGAAGTCCACAAGTCTTAAAGTTGCCAAGGGTGGAAACCCCTGCTCTAGAGTGTGCAACTCTGCCAATATATAATGCTCAAACGGAAAGTTAAGTAACTTGGCTAGTAATATTGCCTAAAAAGTTAAGTAACTTGGCTAGTAATATTGCCTAGAAAGTCCTCCACGTACGACTTTATAGGCAATAACCAGCACCTTGATTCACACCCAGAAACAGACTGGCAACCACTGCAGCTTGGCATGCTGAGCATCTTGGCTATGCTGAGGTTATCTTCAGATGATATGCTACCTTTGAGTGAGGAAGTGCTACCATATCTAAGTATGGATGGAAAGTTCTTGTGTCCCTGAAACCCACATTCAGGTCCAACTAGAGGTCGCCTTCCTGGCTGCCTTAACAATCCAAGGTCTAACAGCAGACAATGTTTTCCTCAGGTGTCACCAACCCAAACCTCTCCCAAATCACATAACAAGACTGAGCCCCAGGCATTTCAGCCCAAATATTCTTCATAGAGGCCCTGTAGATGTACTTACCTGATCCTGCTCATCAGGGCTGGGTCATCCATGACTATCAATGAACATGATGAGGGCATCGGCAGCAGCAATTCCAAGCATGACCTTAAGCCCAACTCAACAAGAAGACTTCATATCCCGTTATCTCCAAAGAAGAACTACTAAAAGCCTTGTAGTGTAACAATATTACTGAGCATACTCAAAAAAACCATCTTTCTGTTTGTGTCTACATGCTCGAGAGAGAAGAGTGGTTCTTTTTCACGAATATAATTGGGACTGGTAACTCCATTGCTAAGTAATGCAATTGTAAACTGCAATGTCATGTGACCGCACAGACTTACAAAGACGGTTGCAGCAGTTCTGGTTGTCATTGTTAAGCGAGTCACCTGCAGTTGTTAAGGGCGACGTTGAGAAACTCTGACTTGTGACCCCTTGCTGGCTTTCCCGGAAGCTGTCAGTGAAGGTCACAAACGACATTCACATGATTCTGAGACTCTGTGACCGTCATAATGGTGAGCCTGAACTATGAGGATCGCTCCTCATCTCATTCAGCAGCATTGTAACTTCCAATAGTCACTGAAGAACTGGTTGTTAGGTGAGGACTATCTATACATTCTCACTAACGATTTTGAAAATTCAAGGATATTATCCCTCAGATTGAAATGATATAACTGGGCTTAATTCCAATATGTACCACACTTGAAACAGCCAAAATGATTTTTTTTAGAGGAATCTATGCAAGCTAAGTAACATTTATTTACTTGTTTATTTAACATATTTTGATGCTTCAACAATTAAAATTAGTTTGGGTAGCTCACACAGGAAAAGAAAATACTAGATGAGCGGGACAGAGATTAAGGTCCTGCAAGATTATACAACCTGTCCCTAAAATACAGAGCAATTGTGTTTAAGTGATGTATGACGGGACGTGTGTTTTGGTGTTCACTTGTGAATAGCTATGTGGCATGGGGCAAGATTGCCTGTGTGGCCTAAATTCTCTCAGGGTTGGTGTTTGAGCTCTTCACCAGATAAAAAATGTGATGTCTTTAGCTGCTCTTTGCCAGAGTGTGGTGGAATGTAGTCTGGATTCCCAGGAGGGAGGAGCTGCATTCCAGAGAACCAAGAGACAGCGAAGTTTTGATAGTTTGGTTGGGAGAAATACAGAGGTTCTCAGAGTATATCTTTCTTGATGCTAATCGTTTGCTTTAATTTGATAAGATTTCGGTCCATAAGTGAGGAACAATAAAGGAAATTGCTTTGGGGTAACTCAGTATGTCTTTTTTAAAGTTTTGGAGCCTGACACAACTTCTTGCATTGATCTCCTTGATCAAAGCCTCTAGACCAGGGGTGTCAAACTCAAGGTCCATGGTCTGGATCAACCCGTGGGGTGCTTAGATCTGCCCCACTGGGCTGCCATGGAAATAGTGAAGGACCAGTCCATGGTGCCTCTGCCAGTGAAACTGGAGCAGAGGGCTGTAGGAGGATCCCCCCAATTCTGTCCGGGCCACCACAGGTATCCCCTGGACCAAATGACATCAAGCTGGCCATTCTCACCTGGGCTATGCTCATCCACCCTCCTGAGGTCAAACTCAACCCTGATGCAGCCCTCAATGAAATCAAGTTTGACACCCCTGCTCTAGACCTTCAGAAGAGCTTGCAATTCTTATCAACTGTTTCTCTGGTTCTTTCCTGTTCTTGCTGACCGTATTATCCAGGCAGTCAAAGAGGAACAGCGGGTTCATTTGCCTTTTTCATAAGGAGACATACTACTTGTCCTAACTGTGTCTGTCATCTGCTTCAGTTTGGGGTTTTGTTACACAAGATGGGTCACCAGTGGGCACTGAGGGCATCTTGCTCAAGAAAAGTCACAGAGATGTAGATAGCATGGAGACTTAGAGCCTGGAAATTCATTTCTAATGCAGCCCTGTGGTTTTAAAGAAAGTGAAAGAGTTATTCACAATAATGAACTTCTTCCCTCTAACATACAGTTCTGATGATTTTGTGGTGAAATATGCAGAAGTTCATGGCTTTAAAAAATTGGAATCAAATTGTCTGTCTATAGGGTAGCTGTAGAAGAGATATAGTTTTGTGGAAAAGAAAAATATGTGACTTACAGATTCTGAAGGAATTTGGGGCAGGAAGATGTTTCAAATACAGCCACTGTCCTCTATCTTCATATGCATGTCAAAACAAAGTGCATTTTGTGGTTTAAAAAAAGATGAAATAAAAATTGAAACAGAAAAAGTGAAAGCTTTGTATTCTAATGCAGCAAGAGAGAACTATGAATTTCTGTGGAGATTTTGTATGTTCAAAGCATGTGATTCATTTTATTGGGTATATTCACATGATACCTTCAACCACTCTGGAGAACATGAATACTTACCATCATTGTACCCTGAGTGGCACTAATCACACTTCTTGATGACCTTTCTGTGGGAAATTATTACTTTTTTTAAAAAAATAAGACTTTAAAAATTGGACACTAAAGGAATAAAGGTTAATTGAAAGTAAAGTTTGTGTTCTCACAACAATGAAAGGAGAAGAACACAAACTTGATGTTCAATTATTAAATGAAGCAAAATATTCTAACATTGGATTTATTGTAAAATATTTTTGAAAAATGGGCTCAGAAGTTAATATTAATAGTGACATCTGCCTCTGTGAAGAGACTGTGTCTGAAAGATGTTATAGAAGAGGAACATGTTTTACCTGACTAGACTGAGATTGAGTTGAAAGTAGATTTACAATTGATAGGATACTAGAATGACATGGAAAAAGTGTTACGCTGGACCTACAAACCAGCTGATTTTTTAATAGTTAAAAGACATATACAAACAATTACCCACGAGAATCACCTGGACAATTTTCCTATCTTTGATTTACAAAAGAGGGACAATGAGAAGGGACAAAGGAAAAAAAATGAAAAGAAATCAAGTTCTGCAATATGATTTGAATGGACTAAACATTTTTTAGTAATAAAAGAAAGAAATATAAAGTTGGTTTATTTGATCAGGTTTAAAATAGATATGTTGTTCATTCTGATAGTCTTTAATGGGCTTTTGCTGATACTAGAATGATGCTCTATGGATTTGTTTATATGTAAGAGATGGAATATGGAAAGAATAGATTGTATTTTAAGAGGAGATAATGAAGAAGGGGGCTAGTAGGGACTTTGGAGGTCATCTAGTCCAACCCCCTGCTCAAGAGAGTAAGACTTGATCAGTGTGAAGTCTACTTAGTTGAATATTCTTACAATGGCCAAATTCATATTGGAGACCCACAAGCAGACACAATAAGTAACCTGCCCCTTATTTTACAAATAGCATTTAGCTATGTCACCTTGATGTTTGCATTTTCCACTTCAAAGACACTCAAAATGTTAGTGACCTCATCACCATGACATACCACAAAATCTCATTGCATGGAAATTGCCAAAGGAGGGAAATAATTATTATTCAACCTCAGTGAATTATCTTTTCATGTTATAACTCACGGAGTTAGAGTAAAGGTTATTTCCTTTGTTTGGCAACTCCTTGTGCTGGTTTATGGGTTTTTACCAGGCTGACTAGCTGTCCGGTGTGGCCACAGATTTGAGTCAGAGGAGCAGCTGAAGCTGGGTTTAGTAGAGCACGAGAGGTTAGCATTCAATGACCAATACAGAGTAAGCAAAATAGATAATTGTCTATGGAGATTCTCAGTCATCCAGGTCATGGTTCTCCCAAAGGTGCTTTTTCAAGAGGCAACTGGACTTTCTGCTTTTTCTTTGAAAACATTTTGCTTCTCATCCAAGAGTTGGACAAGCTTCTCCGAAAGCTGAAGAAACTTCTTGGATGAGAAGCGAAACGTCTTCAAAACAAGTCCAGTTGCCTTTGTAAAAGCCCGTTTGGGACAAAATAGGCAATGTTTCCCCACAAGGAAATACAGATAGTCCTCACCTTATGACCCCAATTGAGCCCAAAATTTATGTTTCTAAGCGAGACAGTTGTTAAGTGAGTTTTGCACCATTTTACTACCTTTCTTGCCAGAGTTGTTAAGTGAATCATTGCAGTTGTTAAGTTAGTAACACTGCTGTTGAGTGAATCTGGTTTCCCCATTGACTTTGCTTGTCAGAAGGTCGCAAAAGGGAATCACATGACCCTCGGACACTGCAAACCTCATAAATATATGCCAGTTCCCTAGCGTCCAAATTTGGATCAAGTGACCATGGGGATGCTGCAATGGTCAAAAGTGTGAACGAAGTCATAAGTCATGCTTTTTCAGTGCTGTTGGAATTTCAAACACTCACTAAACTAACTGTTGTAAGTTGAGGACTACCTGTACTACAGCTTTCTGGTACAGGTAGTCCTTGACTTACAACAGTTCATTAATGACTGTTCGAACTTACAGCGGCACTGAAAAAAAGGGACTCATGGCCATTTTTCACACTTATGACCATTGCAGCATCTCCATGATCACGTGATCAGAATTCAGACACATGGCAATTGACTCACACTTATGACAGTTGCAGTGTCCTGAGGTCACGTGATCCCCTTTTGCGACCTTTTGACAAGCAAAGTTAATGGGAAAGTCAGATTCACTTAACAACTGTGTTGTTAACTTAGCAACTGCAGTGATTCACTTAACAACTCTGGCAAGAAAAGTCGTAAAAATCTTAAAAGCCTCCAAAGTTGGAGCATTCACAACTTCTGGAGGCAAATCATTGCAATGATTAATTGTTTTAACTATCAGGAAATTTTTTCCTTAGTTCTCCTGACATAAATTTAAGATGCTTGCAGCTCCTCTGAGCCACATGATTCCCATTTGCAACAGTGGTGAATGTAAAATTGTTACTACCAGTTCTGAAGAGGTTGTAAGAAAAATGCTGTTAAAGCCTCTGATGATCGCAGTTGACTTGCCTGATCGGCAGAAGCTTTTTTTTTTAAAAGCCTCTGATGATCCCAGCTGACTTGCTTATTTTATTTATTTATTATTTAAATTTATATACCGCCCTACTCCTGAAGGACTCAGGATGGTGAACAGCCATAAATAAAACAAATATAATATAAAATTTAAAAACAAGTTAAAAGACATATTAAATAGATTTGGCCCACTAATTAAAACACCCCTATTTTTAAGAACAAATCCAAATTAAAAATTAAACAATTAAAAAGGGTTAGGACAGCCCCGCTTGATGGAATAAAAAGGTCTTGAGGGCACGGCGGAAAGTGTGCATATCTGGGATCCTCCGTATCTCTGGGAGGAGCTCGTTCCAAAGGGCAGGTGCCCCCACAGAGAAGGCTCTCCCCCTGGGGGCCGCCAGTCAACACTGTTTGGCCAACGGCACCCTGAGAAGTCCCTCTCTGTGGGAGTGTACTGGTCGGTGAGGGGCTACCTGTGGCAGAAGACAGTCTCATAGATAACCAGGTCCTGAGCCATGGAGTGCTCTAAAGGTGGTAACCAGTACCCTGAAACGCACCCGGAAGACCACCGGGAGCCAGTGCAGCTCGCGCAGGAGAGGTGTTACGTGGGAGGGCCATGTCGCTCCCATAACCATCCGCGCGGCCTCATTCTGGACCAATTGGAGTCTCCGGGTACTCCTCAAGGGGAGCCCCATGTAGAGAGCATTACAGTAGTCCAGACGGGAAGTGATGAAGGCATGACATCTAAGGACAGCCGTGTATCCAGAAGGACGCCCAAGTTGCGAGCCCTCTCTGTGAGGGCCAACGACTCGCCCCCAATAGCCAGCGATGGCGCCAGCTAGCTATATCGGGACGCCGGAAACCACAGCCACTCGGTCTTGGATGGGTTGAGCCTGAATCTGTTTCTCCCCATCCAGATCTGCATGGCCTCCAGGCACTGGGACATCACTTCAAGGGCATCATTGGGGTGGCCCGAGGTGGAGATGTACAGCTGAGTATCATCAGCATACTGATGGTACTTCACCCCGAAACCATGGATGATCTCACCCAGCGGCTTCATATAAATGTTGAACAGAAGGGGCGAGAGGACCAACCCTTGTGGCACCCCACACACAAGGCACCTCGGGGGCGACCTCTGTCCCCCTGTCAAAACAGACTGTGACCGGTCTGAGAGAAAGGAGGAGAACCAGCGCAAAACGGTGCCCCCCATCCCCAGCTCTTCCAACTGGCCCAGCATAATACCATGGTCAATGGTATCGAAAGCCTCTGAGAGGTCTAATAGGACCAGGACAGAGGAACAACCCCTGTCCCGAGCCCTCCAGAGATCATCAACCAACGCGACCAATGCCGTTTCCGTGCTGTACCTAGGCTTGAAACCCTTCTTGCCTGATCGGCAGAAGCTTTTTTTAAAAAAAGCCTTTGACAATCCCAGCTGACTTGCCTGATTGGCAGAGGCTTTTTTTCCCTTTAAAAACATTTTTTCTATAACCTCTTCGGCTGAAAGAGGTTGTAGAAAAAATGCTTTTAAAAATAAAAAAAAGCCTCTGATGATTGCGCGACTCAGCTGGGCAATGGGGGGGGGCAGGGATTTTTGCTTCCGGTTCTGCGAACCACCCGCCTCCATCGCTACTGGATCGGGCGATCCGGTCCGAACCAGGAGCATTTCACCCCTGATTTGCGACCTTCCCAGCTGACTTCCTACAAACAAAGTCAATGGATTCGCTTAACAACTACAGTGATTTTCTTAACGACTGCGGCAAAAGAGGCTGTAAGATCAGGCATGACTTATTTAATGACCGCCTTGTGACTGAAGTTCAGCCCCAATCGTGGTTGTACACTGAATTATTCATCTGTGTATGAATAATTCACTATCCTACCTCCATTACTGTCATCAGCCCCTTTTTGAAGGAAAAAACCCAGATGGGCTTCTATGCTGATTGATTCTATGCTGCCTTTCCTCTGTTGCAGGCCTTCAGTGCTTTTCAGCTTTCAATCTCATCGATTTTGAGGCTCCTGTGATTTTCCTTGGGGAGGAAACTGACCAGTTTGGCTATCGCGTCATCCAGACAAAATCCAACGGCAATTCCTGGTGAGGATGGAGCTGATTACGTTAAGAACATGGATCTCTTGCTTTTCTTGAAGTGATCTGCGTGTCTCAACTACTAATTCTAAAATAATATTTAAATATTAATTCTAAAATATTATTTAACATCCCTTCAGGTTGGTAGTGAGTGCTCCCTACGCAGGCAACCGGACAGGCTCTCTTTTCCAATGCTCATACGATACACAGAGGTGTCAACCAATTGTCCTCAACAGTAAGTGCAAGCTGAAATACATTTATGACTCTCCCACATATGGATATTTTTTTCCATTTTATTTTATGAAAAGAGAATTTCTTAAAGTACACTGGCATTGAAAGCTTGAACTGGCTTTACATGTTACTGGGTTCACATAGATCCCTAAACCGTAATATAGTTTGATTTTTTGTTAGCATGTTACATGAATTTAGCTATTTTAGTTTGGATATTATAGATTAGCAGGTCCATCAACCCAGTTAATAGTGATTTGTCAACAAACCATGATTAAGAAAAAACATGAATCATTACGATTTGGAATCCAATCCAACTGTAATCTAAGGGATTATATTTTATGAGATTACAGGTAGTCCTCAATTTATGATCTCAACTAAGCCTATAAGGCACTCTGTTATTAAGCTGGTTATTAAGACCAGCTGCCTGCAATTACTGCAGGTTCGAATCTCGCCAAGGCTCAAGGTTGACTCAGCCTTCCATCCTTTCTAAGGTAGGTAAATTGAGGACCCAGTTGTGGGGGCAATAAGCTGACTTTGTATAAATATATAAAAGGATGAAGGCTATTGCTGAGCACATTGTAAGTTGCCCTGAGTCTCTGGAGAAGGGCGGCATATAAATCAAATTTTTTTAAAAAAATGTATTTTGTTACGTGAAAAATTTGTTAAGTGAATTGGTCTCATTTTATGACTTTTCTTGCCATATTTGTTAAGGGAATCACTGCTGTTGTTAAATTAGTAAATTAATTTTACTAATTAATTTACTAATTTAAATGAACCTGGTTAAATAAATTTAACCATTCATTTATTAAATTTATTAAATTTATTAAATTGTTAAATGAATCTGGGTTCCCTATCGACTTTGCTAGTCAGAAGGTCACAAAATGACTCCTGAACACTACAACTGTCATAAATATGAGTCAGTTGTCAAGCATCTGTATGTAAATCACATGACCATTGGGATGCTGCAATGGTCATAAGTTGTGACAAATGGCTATAAGTCACTATTTTCAGTGCCGTTGTAACAGTCACTAAATGGCTTAGGGCCAGGGTACTTACGGGACCGCCTTCTGCCACCAATAGCCTCCCACCGGCCGGTTCGCTCCCACAGAGAGGGCCTCCTCAGGGTGCCGTCGGCCAGACAATGCCGGCTGACGACCCCCAGGAGGAGAGCCTTCTCTGTGGTGGCACCTACCCTATGGAACAATCTACCCCCAGAGATACGAATGATCTCCGACCTTCGGATTTTTCGTCGGGCCCTAAAAACTTATTTTTTCCAGTTAGCCGGTCTGTCTTGATTTTAGGGTTAGTTTTAAAATTTTAATATTGATTTTAAATTGACAAGTTTTAAATTATGGGCCAAATTTATAAATTATTTTAACTTTATTTTTTAACTGTGATGTTTTGTATAGATGTTTTTATCTTGGCTGTTCACCGCCCTGAGTCCGAAAGGAGAAGGGCGGTATAGAAATTTGAATAAAGTAAAGTAAAGTAAAGTAAATGAACTGTTGTATTTCAAGGACTACCTATATTTTCTTAGGGCTCCAAGTCTAATTTTCTCAGTCTCCTCCGAAGACAGGGAGTATGATTGCAGTATGATCTTGTGGCGGGAATAAATTTCAAAAACTATGAAAGGCTTGATGTTCTCATAGGAAATAGGACACAATGATTATTATGATTCTTCCCTATGCTATTAATTAACCAAACTTTATTATTTCTGTTTTTATTTTTTCTATATATATTTTTGCTACCTTTGCAATCAACTTGCAGAATGTCAGTTATTGGACAGATTAGAAATATAATAGTAAAATCATTTTTTAAAAGTGCATTCTTAGTCATTAGCATTTGATCTGAGCAATTCCTGACAGTAATGCACAACAGTGCACATGTGGATGTAGGTCCTTGCTTCAATTCCATGCACCTCTTCCAAAATCTCTTAGCCAGGCAAAGTTGCAGAATGCATTTGAGCCACTAATAAGACCAATAAATCATGAAATATTATTTATTTTTAAAAAAGGCTGCCTTGGTTCGACGTGTGTGTTTGAAAGTGATAAGATTATGAAATAGAGACAAACAGAATAACAGAGTTGGAAGGGACTTTGGAGGTCTTCTAGTCCAATCCCCTGCTCTATCTTTTCAGATGCTAAGGTCGTTCCTAGAATATCTTTAGGTCTTTCAATGGCTGCTGATGAAGAGTCTGAATCCAAGATAATGGTAAGACTCAAATAGAATTTTTAAAAAATCTAAGCACAATAAAAATATTAGTACGAATCCTAGAATCTATGTCGGTTTGCATAGGATGAGAGCCCATTGCTCACAAAGACTGAGCTGTTCTGGGTGTATAATGGAGAATTCTTGTTGATTCTGCCAAAGTTTACAAGAGCTATTTGTGTTGGCTCTTCCTACACACAGGCCTGTGGTCCCACTTGGGAACGAAGATGTGGGCAACTCGATTATCTGAACGGCATCTGCTATATTCTGAATGGCTTTGAAGGAAATGTGAAAGAGATCCAGCCAGCTTTCCAAGGTCAGATGAGAAGTTCACATTTGCACATTTGAAAGGTAGATTGTGCCAAGATCTTTGCTATTTGAGAAAGGATAAAAATGGCACCCATCTCTCTCAGAAGCTAGCCAAGGCAAAATGTTCTGCAAGGAATTATTCTTCTCCTTGACAGTAAAAATGCTAACAATAGCACATTAAATAATTATTGGTGACATCTTGGGACACCCACAATTTATTGCCAGAGATATCTATCTCATTTTGCTTCCTGGTCAAGCCAGCCATGATAAGAAACCAGGTTGGGATGTACATGTAATTCTTAACTTATGACAAAATTGAGTCCAAACTTTCTGTTGCTAAGCAAGACAGTTGTTAAGTAAGTTTTTCCCCATTTGCGACCTTTCTTGCCACACTTGTTATGTGAATCACTGCAGTTGTTAAGTTAGTAACACGGTTGTTAAGTGAATTAAGTGAATTCCCCATTGACTTTGCTTGTCAAAAAAATCTCAGAAGGGGATCATCTGACTCCAAGATATTGCAACCATACTAAATATGAATTTATTTATTTATTTGTTTGTTTGTTTGTTTATTCATTCATTCATTCATTCATTCATTCATTCATTCATTCATTCATTCATTTATTTACTTATTTATTTATTTTATATTGTTGCCTATTTGCACATGGCAAGGCGGCCTACAGAATATAAAACCTTATATACTTAACAAATCTCTCATTTAGCAACATAAACTTTGGGCTCAATTGTGGTCGTAAGCTAAGGACTACCTGTAATTATATGGAAGAAGGAGTTAAAAAAAAGAAATTTCCTTTGGATTCTACTACCAACCATACAGATCAATTTTCTTTATAATGAGTGAATAATGTTTGTTTGTTTGTTCTTTTGTTTGCTTGTTTCCCTATCTATCTATCTATCTATCTATCTATCTACCTACCTACCTACCTACCTACCTACCTACCTACCTACCTACCTATCTATCTATCTATCTTCTATCTTTATCTATTATCTATTAACCTTTCCCCTAAAATAAGACATCCCCTGATAATAAGCCCAATCGGGCTTTTGAGCACATTCATAAAATAAGCCTCCCCTGAAATTAAGCCCTCCCCAAAAATATTTAAACAGATGCACAGCCGGTCCCCGCCATTTTCTCTGGGCTTATTTCGGGGTTCAAAAAAATATAAGACAGGGTTTTATTTTCGGGGAAACATGGTATCTATTATCTATTATCTATCTATCTATCTATCATCTATCAATATATTATCTATCTATCTATCTATCTAAATCTATTATCTATTATCTATCATCTATATCTATTATTTATTATCTATTATCTATCTATCATCTATCAATATATTATCTATCTATCTTAATCTATTATCTATTATCTATTATCTATTATCTATTATCTATTTATCTTAATCTATTATCTATTATCTATCTATCTATCTATTACCCCTCTCTCTCTCGCTCTCCATCCATCCATCCACCCATCCATCTGTTAAATTTATATGCCAAATATAGGAAACCCAGGAAAATTTTCCGACCAACGTCTGGAAATTTGCTAAGGTAATCCTAAAGTTTATTCAATCTCTCTTCCTTCTTATCCACCCAGAATGCGTCTTTGGTGTGGACGCTGTGATTTTATACGATGATTCTGGGAGCATTAAAGACCCTGAGCTCCACATCATGAAGAACTTCTTCCTGAACCTGATGGACTCGGTGGCTGGGGCAAATGTGCAGGTGAGAGCAAGATTTGAGGGCATGCAGAGCACGTGGGACTGATAATTTCAATCCCTTTATGGAATAGCCACAGCTTGGCTTTGTGCAAATTTTGGTTTAGAGGTGTTCTATGCAATCCGACATTGGCTGGTTACATTCCGAGCCCAAATCTGAAGGGACACTAGAGGAGTCTTCTTCTTCTTCTTCTTCTTCTTCTTCTTCTTCTTCTTCTTCTTCTTCTTCTTCTTCCTCTTCTTCTTCTTCCTCCTCCTCCTCCTCCTCCTCCTCTCCTTCTCCTTCTCCTTCTCCTCTCCTCCTCCTCCTCCTCCTCCTTAAATACATTTTAATAAATTTTTCATTTAGCAACATAAATTTTAGGCTCAGTTGTGCTTGTAAGTTGAGGACTACCTGTAGTAATATTTTTAAGAATTGCAGGTTGCAGGAAGAAAGGTGAGGGATCATTAATATAAAATTACTAGACTTTCCCCAAAGTCTACTACTATGGTTCTGTAGCTCCCGTAATAACTGCAGGAGAACCAAACATTGTATCAGGAAGTTACTAAATATCTTTCTTTGGGGGGAGGGGGGTGCTAGGTCAACATTAAACAAAAAGGGAACTTATTTTTAGTCTTAGCCGCTAAGTCAATTACTCAATAGTGGAAATTCTTCCTTGATTTGTCACTGGACTAAGGTCACTGATAAAATTTTAATGTGAAATTCATAGAGAGATAAATCAGATTTTTATTGGATCTCAAAGAATGAATGTGTGATCAAATAACAGTAGCTGTACTTCTGACAACTCTGAGAATAGATGGGGAATATGACTAAATTTTGAGATGTGCCTGCTTTTGGTGGTTAGCAATAGTAATAGCACTTAGACTTATATACCACTTCACGGTGCTTTAACAGCCCTCTAAGCGGTTTACAGAGTCAGCCTCTTGCCCCCAACAATCTGGGTCCTCATTTTACCCACCACGGAAGGATGGAAGGCTGAGTCAACCTTGAGCCTGGTGAGATTCGAACTGCCAAATTGCAGCCAGCCAGTAGTCAGCAGAAGTAGCCTGCAGTACTGCATTCTAACCACTGTGCCACTGCGGCTCATGTTATCTAATATTCTTCTTTCTTTCCTGTCTTATATAATGTTAAAAGTATTTATATATACTGTGTATCTATGCATACAGTATATGTATGTGTGTGTGTGTGGATGTATTACACACACATATACACAAATATCTTTTTTCTTTTTCCATCCCCAGTTTGCAGTGGTTCAGTACTCCTCTATATTTACGCTTGTTTTTGATTTCGCGACCTATAACAACACTAGAGAGAAGATTAAAGATCTTATCCACAACTTCAAGCGTTTCAGGGGAGAAACCTACACTCCGTCTGCTATTGTCCATGTGGTGTGAGTACCAGAGAAGGGAAGGTGGGAGGGAGGGAAAAGTCTCCAATGTGCCTTATAGACCCACTCAGTTATGGTTCTCTTTACAGAGATGAAGTCTTCACAGCAAATCGTGGCATACGCCCTCACAGCAAGAAGCTGCTCATTGTCCTGACGGATGGCATCTCCAATGACAGAAGGACCACATTTAAACAGGCAACAGAAGCTGCCAACAAAAAAGGGATAATCCGCTATGCCATTGGGGTATGCAGGGAAATGGGGTGGAGACAGTGGTTCTAGATCAACGTTTCCCAATCTTGACCATTTCCAGATGCATGGACTTCAACTCCCAGAATTCTCATCACTGGCCACGCTGGTTGTGGACTGCAGATCCCAGAATTCCTCAGCCAACATGGTCATTGAAGAACTTTCTGGTACTTGAAGTCACATATTTGGAAGTTGCCAAGGTTGAAAATACTGCTTCAGGTGGACTTCAAACAAGGACGTGTAGGAATTTGTAATTATGGCACCTCTAGTCACTGCCATCTTGTCAAGAACTGATTTTATTAAACATAAAACTTTGAGCATTCCTTGTCTACAAAGAGAGGCTGGGCACACCGCACTGGGCAAAATCTAGACAACTTTAGGAGCTTCTTCAAAGGGTTCAAGACAATATTGAACAACCTCATGGTCTCTAAGTATTTGGCCATTGCTGGTTAAACATTTTAGAAGTTGAAGTCTGTCTGGAGAACATCAGTTTGAGGAAAGTTGGTCTAAGAATTTTGGAAGCTCAAGAGCTTCTTTAAAGGACTGGACACTGGCTGGAGAATTCTGGGATTTGAAGTCCATTCTTCTTAAAGTTGTCAAGGTTGGGAAACCCTGGTCTAGCAGAACAGAGATGATTCAGGAGTAAAAGTGCATAGGATAGGTGAAGTTATTGCGCTTTCTGAGGAATTAAATGTCACAGATAATGCTGAGTCAAAACCAAACAAGCTGCGTGTTGGTATAGCAAGATATGAATCCAGGTTCAAACAAAAACCATATTATTTTTTACATATTTCTGTCATAAACTAACATTTGTTATATGGCAGAAATATATAAAAAATACGGTTCAAGGGTACTTGTGGCCCATCAACATCACTTTAGGAGCTGTGAAATAATGCTCAAATGTTGGAAAATTCTTTTTTTTTTAATTTTTATTTTTTTGAGAAGTTGTGGAGAAGAGATTCCACTCCTCAAAACCTTTGATACCTGCCACCAAAATGGATCCCCTCGCTGTCCACTTTTGGAGGATGATTCTTTATCTGCTGCTCAAAGCATAGTAGTTGTGAGGTCCTGGTTTATGGCTTAACGTGTTTTGCAAGCCCAACCACTGTGGCCTATACATCTGGCTAAACCAAACCAAAGCTTAGTGAATGAAGGGGGAATCCCATGTTTGGGGAATCCCATGTTTGTCTATTGTTGGGCAGGATAACAAAGTAGCTCTTTTTTTTTTTTTAAGTTGTAGGACTAAAAGCAAGATAACCAATATTTCTGCTTGACTTCTGTCTTATTGACTATAGGAATGATGTATTGGTAGATTCATTGGAAGTCACTTTTAAGTCCAGGAAACATCCTGGATGAAATTGGCCTAATTGGTAGCTAGAAAGGGAAAGGGATGTGAAGTTCTGGGAAGTTAGTACAAATTTGTTCTTATCAGTAGTCCTCAACCTACAACCATTCATTTAGTGACTGTTCAAAGTTACAACAGCACTGAAAAAAGTAACATGACCATTTATCACACTTACGAGTGTTGTAGCATCCTCGTAGTCATATCATCAAATTTCAATTGCTTGGCAACTAGCATTTATTTGCAGTGTCATGTGATGCCCTTTTGTGACTTTCTGACAAGCATCTCGGCTTTTCTTGACTGCCTGTGCTGGACAAGTTAAACACATGACTCAAATCATGATCTAACCCGCTTTAATAGCAGCTATTTGACAGTTCATCAGCAAATGCTGATGTAAAGTTGGAGCTGAGAGCAGCTGCTACTCAGCTCCTCTTTATAAGTCTTCCCGCCGGGGTCCTTTCAATCACCTCCAATCGGCGTCAGCTGCTGTGTGGTTTGACTTTCTCTTTGAATCTGCCACCTGAGAATTACTCGTGTCGCTGGTGTATGACATCTTCAGTCCACGTCTACAGTGTCCCACTGAGCTGTCCTCCTATTTGGGACTGGTTTCCTAACCCCCAGCAGCCCACATTTAGCTGTACCGAACCCCACTAATCCCACCACCGGCATCGCTATATTTATCGCTTCGTTCCAGCCACCATCACCAGCACCCGTGTCCATTATCATGGCATCCATGTATTTCGCCGACTGGCTTTGTGTTTGAGTGCCCCTCCCGTTCGGTAAGGTGTCGAGGCAAAGTCAAAAGGGAAGAATCACATAACAACGATGTTACTAATTTCACAATTGCAGTGATTCACTAAACAACGGTGATAAGGAAGATCCTACCTTGGGGCAAGACTCACTTAACTGTCTCGCTTAGTAACAGAGATTTGGGGCTCAATTGTGATAATAAGTTAAGGACAATCTATATTATCTAGTCCCAAAGGTGCTTTTTCAAGAGGCAACTGGACTTTCTGGTTTTTCTTTGAAGACGTTTTGCTTCTCATCCAAGAAGCTTCTTCAGCTCTTCGCTTCTCATCCAAGAAGCGTCAAGAGCTGAAGAAGCTTCTTGGATGAGAAGCGAAACATTTTCAAGGAAATATGAAAAAAAGTCCAGTTGCCTCTTGAAACAGCACCTTTGGGACAACCATGACCTGGATGACTGAGAATCTCCATAGATATATTATCCAGTGTATCCCTCTCCCTCCCTCCCCCTTGTATCTATCAGGTTGGTCGGAATTTCTTGACGGCTCAAGATGAGCTGCGCAGAATTGCATCATCAAATGAAAATGTTTTCCCTGTGGAAAGTTTTGACACCCTTGGACAACTTCAGAAACAGCTGAAGGATAAGATCTTTAATATTGAAGGTTTGAACATCCTTTTCCAATCATTCTCCTAATGCTCTTCGGAGGGTGATTCATTTATTTTTTAATTCTTAAAGTTTCTTTCGTTGGCAAACTATAAGAGCTTCCCTGTTCTTCTCTGCTATTTATCTTAAGGCTGTGATAAATATTATTGGATAGAGACCCAACCCACCTTCGTTCTTCAGGGGAGCAATAATTCAGCCCATCCCTGGAGAACCAAAAAAGATAACAAAAAGATAAATGAAACTTTTAAAATTTGGCAAATGGCATGCTCATGAGGGAACAAGAGCATTTGCTTCATTTGTGACAGATTATGTTACTACAGGTAATGCTCAATTTCTGACCGGCCGCTTAGTGACTGGTTGAAATTACAACCTACCTCTAAGGGTACTTATAACCCGGATTCGAAGTTCTAACAGTGCCCCCTCCTCGTGCTCACATGATTGCACTTCAGGTGCTTGGTAACATGGAAAACTGGCATTTCTGCTTTTTTGGGAAAACCGTTACCATAGTGAATAATGGATTTGTTTAATGACCGCATTTGTATAATGGGCACACTGTCCGCATTTAATCACTGTTGCACTTGCTGCTGCTAAAAATGTCCTAAAGTCAGGTTGGTTATGTGACTGATCCATTTTACAACCCTTACAACTTATGACCATAATGGAGAGGCTCCATTATGGTTGTAACTCGAGGATTCCACCATCCTGACATCACATCCTTAAAGCAGAGAAGCTCATAGAAGCCACGGACAGCATTGGAAACCGCATAAATTTATCACATGATTTATAAAATTCAAGTATTTTGATGCTGTTGCCAATTGTTGCTCTTATTCGTTATTTTTCTTCTTTGAAAAAGGAGTCTCTAAACCATCACCTGATGCCTCAGACAGCAGTTTTTTCGAGAAAGAATTTTCCCAAGGTGGATTCAGCTCCCTCCTTACACCGGTGAGTAATTTATATCCTTTGTGAAAATATAAGCTTTTGTCATATTAAAAAAAAAAGGCTAAAAAAGCAGAGACTTAGGATTTTAAGGCATGGTATGGATGATTTAGGGACCCATTCTGACCTGGAGTACTTCTCTAAATCCAAAGGAAAAAGGGGGGAGAAAATTTTCATCTGTCTCTTTTCACAACTAAAAGTCACAAGTGACCCACAATTAGTTTACCACTATTTTAAGGAAAAGAATCATACTTAAAAAAAAGAAGAAGAACCCTGCAGTAGGCTGCTCTGAACCCATAGGGAAGAGTGAAAAATCAGTTATTAAAATCTGTATGCACCCTGTTTACCCAAAAATAAGACCCAATCGGAAAATAAGTCCTAGCGTGATTTTTCAGGATGCTCATAATATAAGCCCTACCTCAAAAATAAGCCCCAGTTAAGATCATCAGCCACATGGACATACTTAGTACCATATTTCCCCCAAAATAAGACCTAACAGGAAAATACACCCGAACTGCATCTTTGGAGCAAAGATTAATATAAGACCCGGTTTTATTTTCGGGGAAACATGGGTAGTTTCCTTGTGGGAAAAGAAATGGGGATTTATTTATTTATTTTTCACATTTCTGAACCATCTCACAGAGGGACTTTGAGTGCTATACAATAAAAAAACAAACCCCCGGCTCTTTCACATTTCTCCTGAATTTTTCTGGTATAGGTAGGCCTCAATTTGCAACAGTTCATTTGTTTGCAATTACAATGGCACTGAAAAAAGCGATTAATGACTGTTTTTCACACTCGTGACAGTTGCAACATCCCCACGATCACATGATCAAAATCCAGACACTTGGCAACCAGTTCATATTTATGATGGTTGCAGTGCCCCTGGGTTGTGTGATCATCTTTTATGACCTTCTGACAAGCTGAGTCCATGGGGAAGTCAGATTCACTTAACAACCGTGTTACTAACTTAACAACTGCAGTGACTCACTTAACAACTGGGGCAAGAAAGGACATAAAATGGGGCTAAATTCACTTAAGAAATGTCTCAGCAACAAAAATTTTGGGCTCAATTGTGGTTGTATGTTGAGGACCACCTCTGCTTGGTGACAAGGCTACATATGTGTATTGGGATAGATAAATTGTCCCCCTTTCATCTCTTCCTTGTTTCTTTTTCTCCTCAGGAACATGCAGTGACTGGGGCTGTCGGTGCTTATAGCTGGACTGGAGGCTTAGAAGAATCATCCTTTGGAGAACCTCCTCAGACCCAATTCCTGAACACCAGTATCAACGAGTCCTATATAGGTGAGTGATGGAGGCCAGTTATTTTTCTCCACCCTCTGCCCCAGAGTGCTAAATTGGTCAAATCCAAGAACCACAGGTTGTTTCTTCTCTTTTTCTGGATAGGTTATTCTGTGGCTTTAGCTCGCTTTCACAAAAGGACCTTCTACGTCACCGGAGCTCCACGGTTCCAGCACGTTGGCCAAGTCCTGGTCTTTGAAAGCAAGAGTGGACGCTTAACAGGAAATATTCAGGGTCAACAGGTAAAGGAGAATAGGAAACAGAATGCAGATCAACCTTCACTGTCGTGCCGGAAGGATTGTAAAACTTCATAGAACTTTTGTTTTACATCAAGGACAGAGTGTCATAGTCTAAATTCATAATTAGTCTACATCCAGCAGACTTTCTATTAGAATGTAGGTATAGATGAAAGAGAGAGAATTGTTACCAGAGACAATTCAAGTAGGGAAGTCCTCAGTACAGGTAGTCCTCACTTAATGACCAGTCACTTAACAACCATTCAGAGTTATGACAGACTTCCCCAGAGCTACTTACAACCCAGTTCTGAAGTTCCAATGGCTGCACAACCACATACACAACTGCAGTCCCGTGTTTGCATTTTGGGCACTTGAGATTTGGCTCAAATTTATGACTGTTTGCAGCGTTGTAGGGTCACATGACCACAATTTTCACAATTTTTTAAAAAAAATTTCTGGTGCTTACATCCTATTTCCAGGAGACCCTGTCCATTGACAAAAATACCATGTCTTCCTGAAAATAAGACCCTGTCTTATATTTTTTTGAACTCTGAAATAAGTACTTGGGCTTATTGCCATGCACTCAAAAGCCCAATTGGGCTTATTATCAGGGGATGTCTTATTTTGGGGGAAACAGGGTAGGTTCATTTATTAACCACTGCATTTGCTTAACAACTGCAGCAAAAAAAGTCATAAAATCAGGGACGCTCCTGTGGCAACCCAGTTAATGACTGTAGTGACTTATAATCATATTCCAGGCTCAGTTACAGTTATACAGTAAGCCAAGGATTACCTGTTGGATTTGCTGGCTGAGCCTAATGAGGATTGGAATGCAACACCAATTAGGCAATCTGATTTATTTACTAATTTATTTGACAGACCCCATTTTCCTACTCAATCACGAGCATTTTAGGTGGTTAAGACTCAATAAAAGGCAGTACAAAAATACAATTCATAAATCAAAATCAACTTTCATCCAGGGCATAGGACCTGGATATCTTCGAGACCGCCTGCTGCTACCAATGGCCTCCCACCAACCTGTGCGCTCCCAGAGAGGGCCTCCTCAGGGTGCCATCGACCAAGCAATGTAGACTGGTGGCCCCTAGGGGGAAGGCCTTCTCTGTGGGGGCACCTGCCCTCTGGAATTAACTGCCCCCAGAGATACGAAGAATTCATGACCTCGGTGCCTTCCGCCGTGCCCTGAAGACCTTTCTTTTTCAGCAAGCCGGGCTGTCTTAACACTTTTTAAAATGTTTTTAATAGGTTTGTTATTGTTCTTTTAATTATGGGGCCAAATGCATATATATCTTTTTTTAACTGTATTTTAATGTTTGTATCTATGTTTTTTACTTTGGCTGTACACCGCCCTGAGTCCTTCGGGAGAAGGGCGGTATATAAATTTGATAATAAATAAATAAATCCTGCAGTGGACAGACAGTGGCTGAAATGATGATGATGTTGATACACAAGAATTTAGTCAACTAACAGTCAAACCTAAATTGGTGTTAGTATGGTACTATGCTATCCTGTGTCTGATCTCTTTTTACACACAGACACACAGACACACAGACACACACACACACACACACAGAGAGAGAGAGAGAGAGAGAGAGAGAGAGAGAGAGAGAGAGAGAGAGAGGCCCCACCCTATGCCACCAGAGAGGAGGGATTGCTTAAACAAGCTATCTATTGCTGGGCAGCTTCTCTTTGCGGCACAACGCTTCCTTAAAAATGGCTGACCACAAAATAAACAGCTCAGCTCCGTGACCTATTTTCTTGCATAATTTTTCTATTAAGACTTCTGAAAAGGAGATTAAAAATTAATAAGAATTAATAGAGAGAAAAGAAATGAAAGAAAAGGAGGGGGGAGAAACAGCACAACAAGAAAGAAAGACATAGAAAGAAGTAGCTTTCTGTTTTCTTTGCACCAAATATAATCACAGTTACAAAATAAACTCTTGCAGAAAATGAAAGCTCTCTTTTTCCCCCCCATTATCTATTTCTTCTGATGGTCAAAGCCCCTGAGTCATAAGATTGGGTTTTGTTTTCTCTTTTCTGCAAAAGGTCACAAGACGTTTCTGGTCAGAAATAAATAGATCATGTGATGATAAACCAATAAATAATACAATGACTCAACAGGGTTGCCATGCTAAAATGGCTGGATATCTACAAAATGCTGGGCCTACAGACTGTGTGTTGTGCGATCCCACAGAACAGTTTTTCTTCTTTTTAGGTGGGTTCTTACTTTGGTGCTGAACTCGCCTCCGTGGACTTAAACGAAGATGGAAATACTGACCTCCTTCTAATTGGGGCTCCTCATTACTACAATGGAAGCCAAGGTGGGATTGTCCACGTCTCCTCCATCAACAACACGGTGAGTAAAACCATTGGAGGCTAGAAGAGAAATCTAGGATTGAGAAGAAGCTTTTTCACATTTGGTAAATTGTTTTTCATTTTTTGGAGGAAATGCTTAGTAATTTCAGCAGGTTTTCGGTATTTCTGCCAAAGGAGGCAGATCATAACAAAATCTTCAAGCCTTCTCCTTCACAGCTGTGTGACTATAGCCTTTCATTTTTTAGCTTCAAATGCCAAAATCTTTTTAATATATACATATACATATATATTACATACAAGCAATCTGTCAAAGTTCTGAGTAAAACATCCGCTAAAATCAGAACTCCGACGCAGGTAGATTCCTCAAAGAACATTTTTATTGGATACATCATATCGAATTGGTTTCCATCATAGTGGAAACCAACTCTAAAAGTCCCCTGTGTTTTTTCCCTAATTAAAAGAGCAAATATTTCACTCCCCAAATTTCACTGGTCACATTGTCCAATGAAAGTAGCTGGCAAGCTACTTTCAACTGCTACCTGTTGGGATGACCTTGGTTCCCACAAGAAAACATTTTGTTTTGACTATTAGACAGCCTATCTAGTTCCCCCTCCCTTCTCAGAGTTCGTGGCAACTATGAGGCAGCACAAGATGGCTTCCACCAGGTTCGCTTCAGAGTTGACACAATCCCATTATGGGTTTCACTCATGCAAATTTGCCTACTCACTAAAATGAACTTGTAGCCCCAAACTCAATCCTCCTGACATTATTGCAATTACAGGTTGTTCTTGTGTGTTACAATCACCATCGGGAGCGGAATTTTGGTCACTAAGTGATGCAGTTGTTAAGCAAGATGTCATTGGACTGGACAAGATTCTATGACGACTTCTGTCATGGATGTTCAGTGAATCACGCAGAACGTAAGCCAATCTAACTTCCACAGTTGATTCGGCTTGCAGTCACATGACGCCAAGACCCTGAATACAAGTCGTAAATACAAGTTGGTTGTCAAGTGCCCAAATTCTGATCAAGTGATGGTTGTGACTTTGAGAATGAGTCATGTAACTTTTTTTTAATGCCATCATAACTTTGAATCATCTTTAAATGAACTGAGGACTAGCTGTATTCAAAGACACGCCCAGGGCAACGAAAATTTTGAGGTGCCACTGCACACATCTGACTATTCTCAGTGATTTACTGGTTGAAATGGCTATGAAAATAAAAGAGTTTTTGATAAAACTTTTAAATGCTTCTTTTTAGAACTTTATTTGTAATACACATACACACACATTAAATACAGGTAGTCCTCGACTTATAACCACAATTGAGCCCAAAATTGTTAAGTGAGAAATTTGTTAAGTGAGTTTTGTCCCATTTTATGATTTTTCTTGCTACACTTGTTAAGTGAATCACTGCAGTTATTAAATTAATAACATGGCTGTTAAGTGAATCTGGTTTCCCCATTGACTTTGCTTGTCAGAAGGTCACAAGGGGCACTTGACAGAATGTCCCCAGGACACTGCAATCGTCAGAAATATAAATCACACCCAGATGATACACTGTATAAGAAAAGATGGAATGTTTTATATTTGTTTTGTTTTTTAAAAAATAAAAAAATATTAAAAAAAAGAAATATAAATCAATGTTCATGGGGATACTGGAATGTCCGTAAGTGTGAAAAACGGTCATAAGTCACTTTTTTCAGTGCCGTTGTAACTACAAATAGACACTAAATGAACAGTTGTAAATTGAGAACTAACTGTAAAGTGTCTTTCAACAAAAACACACATAAAACAAACTTACGTATGGATTACTTGACAAATACTGTATGTGACCAGAGAGTGGTAGGAACTTAATCCTGTCTTTTCTTAGGAAAAATGATTTGGTTTTGGCTAATGCAACATTTGCAGCATTTTTTGGAACATAACTACTGCAGATAGCAAGAAGTTATCAAATGTTAGTTTAATCCATCTACTGCTTTGACATATTATATTAGCTTATCTGCCCAGATGCTTTTAATGAGTGAGTTTTTGATATGAGTGCTTAAATATAGAAATGTATGGTTGTTTTTCACTTTTGTTAGGTCAACTGGATGACATCCCTGGAAAATGATTGATAAGCAGCAAAGTACTGTAGAATAGAATAGAATTCTATTCTGTCTCTCTGTGTCTCTTTCTCTCTTTCTCTCTCTCTCTCTCTTTCTCGCTCTCTGTCTGTCTGTCTCTTTGTCTGTCTCTGTCTCTGTCTCTGTCTCTGTCTCTGTCTCTCTCTCTCTCTCTCTCTCTCTCTATATATATATATATATATATATATATATAGAGAGAGAGAGAGAGAGAGAGAGAGAGAGAGAGAGAGAGAGACAGAGACAGAGACAGAGACAGAGACAGAGACAGAGACAGAGACAGAGAGAAAGAGAATAGAATAATTTGTTCCTGACCAATGATACAGTTATTCAGGCCGCTACTTTCTGGGCCTCAAATGCTATATAAAGTCACATAAGTGTTTAAAATTCCTTCCATGTTTTAATTATTATATTTCTTATATAGTTACTGAATTTTTTATTTAGATTGTTGTATTAATTTAAACAGAGTAGAATAACAGAGTTGGAAGGGATCTTGGAGGTTTTCTACTTCAACCTCCCTGCTCAGGCAGGAAACCCTACATCACTTCAGACAAATGATTGTCCAATCTCTTCTTAAAAACTTTGAGGGTTGGAGCATTTGCAACTTCTGGAGGCAAGTAAAACTACACTAACTAATGTAACTCACGTGCTTCATTCCAGGGTGAGCTTGTTCACCTTCAAACGCTACATGGAATCTCAGGTAATGGACTAGGCCGTTTTGGGGCAGCTCTCTCCACATTAGGGGATATCAGTGGCGATGGCCTCACAGATGTGGCCATAGGAGCCCCGATGGAGGATGAAAATCAGGGGGCCATTTATATCTTCCTGGGTGAAACAGACCGACTGAAGGAAGTGCACAGCCAGGTAAGTCCAAATGTCAAAAATAAAGAAGGTAACTAAAGCTTCTCTGCCTGGGTTGATGTGCTCCAGTCTTAATGAACTGTTTTTTTACTTCCTTCTTCCCCGCAGCGGATTTCGGCCGCCTCTGTTTCTCCCAGGCTCCAGTTTTTTGGACAATCCATCCAGGGAAGGATGGATTTGAGCAAGGATGATCTGACTGACTTAGCCATTGGAGCTCTTGGAAGTGCAGTGGTGCTTCGGTAGGGATGGGTGGGGTGGAAATGGGCATGGACCAGACCTGGCCATTTTATGGCCCCCAGGCCACATCCAACCCTTTGGCTGTCCCTGTCTGACCCCCAGAAATTGGTTTTATTTTGAAGGTGATTGCTAATTTTTTCCCCAGTTTATCTATGTGCATGTGTGTATGCCTAAGCACTTTCACAGCCCTATTGGTTCAACCGTCTACAACAGTCCCAGTTTCTCATGTGGCCCCTTGTGAATATTAGTAAATGCATTAAGCATCATGGTATAGGATGTGTGTGCAAAGTGCACTAATAATAATAGGATAGGATAGGATAGGATAGGATAGGATAGAATAGAATAGAATAGAATAGAATAGAATAGAATAGAATAGAATAGAATAGAATAGAATAGAATAGAATAGGTCCTGATTGACTCACTACACAGCCCTGCTCACAACCAGACAACAGTAACAGGAGGGAAGAAGGAAGACACTGGAATGTAAGGGAGGTTTGAGAGGGAACTCTGGAACACAAGTGCACTGCCTGGATTGTGTGAGACAGACCCAAACCCCGAGGTCATTGACTGGGAATGTCCGAGGCAGACAGGCCATTTCCAAAATAAAGCAAGTGCAACTGGACTGGTGGACAATGGGACATGGGAGGTGTGGGAAGGAAAAGACTTTCTATACTATTGACGTGCGAAAATGTCAGAACTGACTTATCCACTTCTGTACCCATATGGCTTTTCAGAAAAGTTATATATACTCTTGGAGAAAAAATGTCCCAGGAGTTTCTTTTGCTGTCTAATGCAGTGGGATGCTTGGCAAGAATAAAATATTCTTTATTGTGTGGTTGGATTTAATAAAATATCCATCAGTTTAGGACAGTTTTTCTCTCTCATCCATCCATCCAACCATCCACCCACCTACCTACCTACCTAACTACTTACCTAGCTACCTATACTTGTGGATGCTTGTGGGTGTGTACACCTTATGTAAAATGATCTGAGAGTGGGATAAAATCAATAAAAGTAATTTAAAAATACTTCTGGGAGCATGGCTTGGCCTGTGGCACAGTGGTAGTTTCACACTGACTTGGAACCTACAGTGTGAGCTGAGTTGGTTATTATGTCCAATTGTTGGTTGTGGAATCACAGCAGCTGACAGCTTCTAGTCAATGTTGTCTGGTTTAGGAAAATAAGCAAGGCTGGGTATTAATTGTATGGGAAACCACCAGAATAGATACCAAGGCTATAGAGTAGACAACGTAGGAGGAGGCAGTGGCAAATCACTTCCTGCTGCCAAAAAAACTACAACATGAATGAGTCCACAAAATCACCAGAAGCTAAATGTGACTCAAAAGAGACTTCACTCTTGTTAATGGTAAAAGAGGAATTGTGCTGCATATTGCATTGAGATACATGGGGATTGTGAAATGACACTTCTCCCATGCTAAGACTAGGCCTTATCAGAGATCTTTGTATTTTGGAAGGCAGTTGGGTAGGAAAAATCATAACACCTTTCTTCTGCTTTCCAGTTCCCGGCCTGTTTTCACTATCCTCACTTCATTGAGTTTCTCCCCTGATTTGATCCCTCTGGATGATCCAGAGTGTGGAAGCAAGAAGATTTCAAGAATTGATTCTCGTGGGCAAGTCAGTCTTTGCTTCACCTTAACTCTTCTCAGCACGAAATGGAGCTCTGGTAACATCTCAGCACGACTGTTCTTTTGCTTAATAATCTTAATGTTTTAGGTTTTAGGACTCTCCTCTTTCCCTCATGTCTTAAATGTTGATAATTTACTTTGCAACTACTCTTTTCATTTGCCAACTTCTGTTTCTCATCAACTGATTTTATTATTTGTATAAATAACTCAAGGTGGCAAACACACCTATCGTGTTTCTCCGAAAATAAGACCCAACTGGAAAATAGGCCCTAGCATGATTTTTCAGGATGCTCGTAATATAAGCCGTACTCCAAAAATAAGCTCCAGTTGAGATCGTCAATCAGGCAGACACATTTTAGTACCATATTTCCCCCAAAATAAACCCTAATGCATCTTTTGGAGCACAAATTAATATAAGACCCGGCCTTATTTTCGGGGAAAACACAGTTAATACTCCTTTTGTAAGCCATAGCCATCACGTCCTACTACTAATTTCCCCACCACAACCTTGTGAGGTGGGTTGGGCTGAGAGAAAGTGATTGGCCCAACCCCCCTTAGCTTGCTTTGTGTCTGAAGAAGGATTCAAACTCAGAGTTTCCATAATACAATATAAGATATTGGCATTAATATTTAAAGTCCTTCATGGTTAGGGCCTGGCTAGTTAAGGGACTGCCTGTCTTATTTTGTACTCATCTAGCTGTTAAGATTAACAGGAAAGGCCCATTTGAAAATTGCCCCTTGGTTCAAAAACCATCTTCCTGGTATGTGGGAGCAGGCCCTAAGTTTTGTTTCATAGCTGTCCTTGCTATGAATTTTTCTCTGGATGCTAACTCATTCATTAACTTGTTCTCTTAGTCAATGCTCATTTGATTCAGGGTTTTTTTTTCTGTCTTCCCCTTTCACTCTTTTTTTAACAAGCTTCTTTGAGAGCCACAATCAACTTCAGCCTCCAAGTTGATGTTAAACGGACCTCACCACGCCTGATGCTAGAGAATGAGACACCCAGTTTTTCAGATTCTCTCCAACTTGGAGTTATGCCCATTTGCATCAACAAGACTCTGTGGGCTCAGGTAGGTACAATTATGCCCTTATCCAAACTGCCCAGAAGGGAATAGTTGGGTCCAGAGGTGGTATTCAGCAGGTTCTGAGCAGTTCTGGAGAACCTGTAATGGAAATTTTGAGTAATTCAGAGAACCGGCAAATACCACCGCTGACTGGCCCCGCCCTCATCTATTCTCTGCTTCCTGAGTCCCAGCTGATTGGGAGGAAATGGGAATTTTGCAGTAACCTTCCCCTGGAGTGGGGAGGGAATGAAAATTTTACAATATCCTTCCCCTGCCATGCCCACCATGCCATGCCATGCCCACAGAACCAGTAATAAATAAAATTGAATCCTATCACTGGTTAGGTCCCTTAAGAAGGCAGCATCAAGGATATCACAAATTACATTCCGGTAATTTTAACTTTCTGGCTTCTTTGGACAAATCACAGAACTTGTGATGTTAGTCCTGAGCTCCTCCCCCCACTGTTAATGATTGACAGATACTGTTAATCTTTCCTTTTTAAAAATAAAAATAAAAATAAATTCATAGAGTAAATTACAAGAAAAAAAGGACATACAAAAAAACTATTCAGGTGACCTTGAGGACACAAATAAATCTTCAAGTGGCCTCAACGACTCTCTTAAAAAAATGCAAATGGCCATCTGTCTGCAAGGAATATAAATCCTTCCATTCCCCACCATCCTGTCAGAGCTGAAGAAGCTTTTGGATGAAAAGCGAAATGTCTTCAAAGAAAAAAACAGAAAGTTCAGTTACCTCTTGAAAAAGCACCTTTGGGACAACTGTCTTGCTTATCAACAGAAATTTTGGGTTCAATTGTGGTTGTAAATTGAGAACTGCCTGTATAATGTAGTTATACATTATAAGGTAGTTATAATCTTATGTTCCCTCTTCCCTCTTAGATATTATGCAAATCTCTTTAGCCCCTGGTTGAGGAAGCTTTTGCACTGATTCACATGAAATCAGCTGTTTTGAGGAGTGAAGCCCATTGATTTCTGGCCTTCTACCAACTTATTGGAATTTATTTTTATTGGAATTGCTTCAGTTCTGATGACCTTACAGACAGCCCATTTTCCCTGTGGCAAAATTTTCTGCCTACAGGTAGTCCTCAACTTACAACAGTTCACTTAGTGACCATTTGAAGTTACAAAGGCATTGAAAAAGTGACTTATGACCATTTTTCACACTTACAACCATTGCAGCATCCCCGGGATCATATGATTTACATTCGGCTGCTTGACAACTGATTCACATTTACAACAGTTGCAGTGTCCGGGGTCATGTGATTCCCCTTTTGCGACCTTCTGACCAGCAAAGTCAATGGGGAAACCAGATTCACTTAACAACCGTGTTACAAATTTCCCAACTGCAGTGATTCACTTAACAGCTGTGGCAATGAAAGTTGTAAAATGGGACAAAACTCACTTAACACATGTTTTACTTAGCAACATAAATTCTGGGCTCAATTGCGGTCATAGCTCGAGGACATACAGGGAGCCCTTGATTTACAACTGGAATTGATCCTGGAATTGTGGTCCAAGTTGTGCCAGTCATTAAGTGGATCACCATGTGACTGCACCAATTTGATGAGTTTTTTTGTGGCAGCTGTTAAGCAAATCCATTCTCTGCAATGGGCGGTCTTTGCTACAAATCAGAAGTAAATGCCGGTTTCTGGCATTAGTAGTAATAAAATGTGTTTATGTACTACTGGACACTGCAAGTGATCATAAATGTGAGCTAGTTGCTGAGCACTGGAAATGCAATCACATGACTTTGGGGAAGAGCTGGCAGTCAGAACTTTGAATCTGAGTCCAAGTAGCCCTGGAGAGGTCCACTGAAACTTTGACCAGATCACTAAGTGACTGGTCATAAATCAAGGACCATCTGTATGTTCCTTCTCTTCTCTGGCAACTGCAGAAATCTGCAGCTTTGATTGCAGCTATTAGGACAAGATCATGGTTGCAGAAATGCTAAGCATGCAATCGTTTCAGCTTTATAGCTTGAAGGGACTTTTAAATGCAGTAGAGGAATGGCAGCAATACAGCTGGTAAACTTCCCCTCCTAGCAAGAACTCAGAAGTTTTCACAGAAATGAATACATTATGTACTAAACCTGTAGGTAGGGAGGTGATGCTAGAAATTTATTTGATTTCCACTTTGGGATCTAATTTGATTTCCAGTTTGGGACTAATGGGAATGAAGAGGATTTTGTTGCTCTGGGATCAGATGGTCGCATGATGAAATGAAGGTTTCTTGGTGCTTTTTAACTGATTATCTGGAGAGAGCATGAATTTGTTCGTGGTGTTTTTAGCATGTTTTCAGCATTTCAGAGTGATTAGATGTCAAGATAGGTTGGCTTCAAACGGTTTGGTGAGAAATTGGGGAATGGATCAGTGGTGGGTTTCAAATTTTTTTACTACCAGTTCTGTGGGCTTGGTGGGAGTGGCTTGGTGGACATAGCAGGGGAAGGATACTGTAAAATCTTCATTCCTACCCCACTCCAGGGGAAGATTACTGCAAAATCCCAATTTCCTCCCGATCAGCTGGGACTTGAGAGGCAGAGAATAGATGGGGACAGGGCCAGCCAGAAGTGGCATTTACCGGTTCTCCGAACTATTCAAAATTTCTGCTACTGGTTCTCCAGAGATCCTGCTGGGAGGAGTGTAGCTATAAGAATTATTATAACACTGAATGGAGAAATGTACTGATCTGGATAGAAATGTCTGATCTCCAGAATCTTTTTCTTAATTGGCCCCAGGTCTGCCTTGATGACTCCTTCTCTCCAGTTGTGCTGCGGACAAAGTTCTCAGTTCAGGAGCAACTAGATAACAGGAATCTGCAACCCATCCTTCACCCTGAGACAAAAACCTCCATTGACATTGAGGTATTTTTCTGTAGTCTGTCTTAGCACTTCCTTTATCTAGAACAGGTTTCCCCAACCTGTGGGCCACGACCCTTTACTGGGCATGAGCTAATTGCCACTGGGCCGCGTGACTCGCCAGCCAGTATGTGCACTGCTGCATGCGCACACAACTTCACTCATGCGAGCTTGTGTTGCCAAGTCCCACAGAGATTGCTAAATTGAGGAAACAACAACAGATATCACCAAGGAATTTTCAGTGGGGTCTCAGATAAATACAGAATCTTGGAAACTATAGTAGGATGCCCCCAGTCTCATTTATAGAGTTCACTAATACGGAGACTCTAAAATGCTTTCTATTAAATCTCTCTCCACCTGAGTTGAGTTATTGACTGTAAGGTAATCTGTCAGCTGACGTACTTTGCCCCCAAACTCTCACAGGCATGTTAGTTATGAAGGGATTTCACGAGTGTGAAAGGTTTTGGTATGTTATAACCTGGCTAAATTGAAATCAGTCACTGGTTATGATTGTGTGATCGAATGGATTCCCCTTGGGTCCATAAAACAGTGTTTCTCAATTTTGACAACTTTAATTTGACAACTTTAAGATGGGCAGATATCAACTCCCAGAATTCCACAGCCAGCATCTTAAAGTTGCCAAGGGTGAAAAATGCTGACATAAAAGAGAGCTGTCATACAGATTTCATAATGAGAAAACTGGAAAACCCATCCTAAAGAATTAGACCAGAGGTCTGCAACCTTAAACACTCAAAGAGCCATTTGGACCTGTTTCCCACAGAAAAGAAAACACAGCCACAAAACCTGGGTGGGCGTGGCCAACTCGATGTCACTCACTTCCACCAGTCACATTACCCCCTAGCCATGCCTACCCAGCCGGTCATTAGGGCAGAGAACCAGTTGTTAAAAAACACTGGGAACCACAAAATCCTTTTGACATATCTCTCTCTCCCCTCCCTCCCTCCCTCCCTCCCTCCCTCTCTCCCCGCTTTCTCTCTGTATCTCTCTATGTCTTTCTCTCTCCCCCCTCCCTCTGTATCTCTCGTCTCTGCCCCGGCCGCTTCTCCATCATCCACCATCGCCCTTACCTTCTCAGGCCAGGCGAGGAGTGACTGGGAGGGGAGGGCGAGGAGGGGCCAGCCAGTGGTGGGATCACCTGACAGGGAGCTACAGCAGAGGGCCCAAAGAGCCGCATGTGGCTCCAGAGCCACAGGTTGCTGACCCCTGAACTAGACAATCCTGTGACCCATTGGGTCATCCTGTGTGTGAAAGGTGATGTGACCAGAATGAACATTCAATTTTAAGACGACCAAATCCCCCCCCCCATAACGATGGTTACTCCATGATTATCTAAGAAGACTAAACCTCATCACTAGAAAAATAATTGTAATGATAAACAAACTTCAACAATAAGTCAATATTTACTTACCTAAACAGGAAGATTACAGGTAGGCACAAAAAAACAGAGGGAGTGGAAGCAACTTCTGACTTCTTGCTATCTTCCCCATTTACTTTTCTTGTAGGAAGCTGGTCAAAATTTGCAATCATATAACCACAGGGACGCTACAAAAAACATAGCTTTGCAATTCAAGCTGATCTGAACATCGTGGACATTTCAATTATGCAGGAGTCATGGATAATTGGGTTCTTTTAAGTTAGCAAGTTTACCCAGTAAAGTTAGCAAGGTACTCACTTCAAACATTGTGGCATTATAATGCAACTGAAGAGTATAAAAGAGACATGAGAGCTTTAGTATATAGATGCTTGAGGAACTCGTAAACATATTATCCCGTGAAAGATATATGATTCTATCCATCTGTACATTTAATTTATGCCTTTGCCTGCTTCATCTATGCCCTCCTTAAGAAAGTCCATGTTGCTCATCCCATTGCTGTTTCTCTCATATTTTGTCAGGTTCCCTTCCAGAAAGACTGCGGTCAGGATGGAATTTGTGTGCCTGATCTTTCCATATCTTTTAACTTCTCAGGGTGAGTAACATATGGTGTCCATGGACTTTAATTCTGTCCTTTGCTATTGTTCTGATCTGGGCTTCCCCAAAAGCACGAAGCCGAGTCCTCATCCCGATAAACCCCTTTTATTTAATTTACAGTGAATTCCTCTCCAGCAAAATCTTTCCTCTCTCACAGTCTTTCAAAATAGTTCACAATTACCGACCTTTACCAGGCTTGGAGAGTGGCCAGGCCGATATCTTTCAGACGCCGCAATACTTGGCAAGAATGCAGTAATGAACTAATTGTCTCCTGCAAACTCCACTCCCCCTTTGCTCCTATTTTATTCCCTCTAGGAGGGGCCATTCATCGTCCACCTGTGGCCTTACTCCTAAATCGACCTTTGTTCTTTAGCTGTTCCCTTTGTCTGGCAACTCTGTGCATGCGCACACTGGGAACAGGCTCCAGTTGTTCATCTGCCTCACTGATGTCTGACTCCAAAGGCAGCTGATAACTGTAATATGGCTCTAGCCCCCTCTCTGCCTCCGACGCAGAGCCCTCATCAGAGCCTTCCCCAGACTCCAGGACTGGCTCATTGAGAGAAATATGGATTATTCCTGTAAAGAGCATAACCTGAATAACGCCATTTTAAACACCATGTTTTACCTCATATAACCTGATTATATAACCGAGCAATAAGAACATGAAAAAGGGAATTGTGTTATTCCTGTGATGCTTGTTTTGCAGGATATATGATGCATATTTTTGAGGAAATAAATGTTCTGGTAAATTCCGAAATGGGCCTGTCTGGGGCCTGCCCATTCCAGAAGGGGAAGTCCACAAATAACACCAAGTATCAGGGGTATTTTTGTACAATATTTCTAATGGGAATAATGGGAATTTCCAGGGCGGAACATGTGCCAAATATGTTATATAAGACCTGAAACTAATACCCTAGGGAACGGTTTTTATCCTGTTGTATTGGACTTCCGTATCCTGAAAACTGTATTTAAACCATGTAATCGAAGTGGTCAGGGTTCTCTCTTTCATGGGAGAACCCTTTTGCAAAACCTTGAAATATATATATATAGCTTTATATATATATATATATATATATATATATATATATATATATATATATATATATATATATATTTAATAAATCTGCTGTTTTTTCTTTTCTTGATTTTTTGCATTTAACACTCATTTTCCTCCCCAACCTCCTCACTGTCCGAATCTGCTGCCAGATCCACTGGCTGCTGGTGGGCCACAACACCATGGAAATACGTGATATCATGCAAGAGCCAGGAGATACACCTCAACCATCCACTAGGAAGTGCTATCTCTGGTTGATAGGAAGCTGTGCACGAGCTGAGAGTTAAACCCAAGATTTATGATAAGATCATGTACAAAATACAAGAGCCTGTGAAAGTTGTTTCTTCCACAATCCCCTTTATATAATGGGTCTGAGACAGGGGTGAAATACTCCCAGTTTGGACCGGATCGCCTGATCCGGTAGTGATGGCGGCAGGTGGTTCGGAGAACCGGTAGCAAAAATCCCTGCCTCCCCCCCAATGCCCAGCTGAGCCGCGCAATCATCAGAAGCTTTTTAAAATTATTTTTAAAAGCATTTTTTCTTCAACCTCTTTGGCCAAAAAATGCTTTTAAAAGTAAAAAAAAAAAAAGCCTCTGATGATCCCACTGCTCACCTGGGATCATCAGAGGCTTTTAAAAGCATTTTTTACAACCTCTTTGGCCAAATAGGTTGTAGAAAAAAATAGGTTTTAAAAGTTTTTTTTTAAAAAAAGTTGGCCACGCCCACCCAGTCACATTACCCCCGCCAACAAGCCACGCCCACAAAACCAGTAGTAACAAATTTTACATTTCACTACTGGTCTGAGATGCATCACTTGGATTGTGTCCTGTAGCCGTTTCTGTCAGTTCTCTTGTGCTGGAGATGGGCAGTTTAGTGGTTTGCAATAAAGGTCAGCCCAACTGCTTTTGTGCGCTGCTAATATTGGCCATTGGATAGAAGGTGTTGCATTCATTTCCTTGTAATTCCTGTAATAGATTTAGTGACCATTTCTATTTTCTAGATGTAGGGAAGTGGAGACAAGGAGATAGGAAGAGTCACTAGGGGTCCTTGGCACTGAAGAAATATTGTCCATTGTTGTATTTCAGATCTAAAGGACTGAAGCTGAGCCCAAATTTCATACTGAACTTAACAGTGAAACTAGAAAATCTGGGAGAATTGGCGTATGAGCCGGCCATTTCTTTTTATTACTCTTCTGTTTTATCTTTCCAGGGAGCTTCAGTTCTTCAAGTGAGTTTGATGAATTTTTTGGGGTGGGGGTGGGGGTTATAGTGGGAAGGAAAAGAGTAGGGGAATTAAGATGGAGATGCTGGACTTTTGTAGTTCAGAATTCAGGTGTCACCATCAGGGTTACCTGGCAGGTATGGTCTTGCTGAGTTGGCAGATCTAGAAAAAGATCAGCCATTGTACGTTCAGCATAGAAGATCAGCTAGCAGGAAAAATATACAACTACTGTATATAAAGAGGGAGTAAACTCCACACTTACCAGCACTGATGATGTTACCTAGTTGGGTAATGAAATGTCTGCAAACAAACAGCCAAGCTCAGAGACCACCAAGTACTCCACAATCTAGAAAAAGCCAAGCAACATCAAAGCAGCTTAGAACTTACATAGATGGGAGACTATTAGGAAACCCCAGAGATCTAGTTTAGACTAAGAAATCTGGAAGAAATTCATCCCAGAAGAAGGCAAGCTCCTTGCACATAAGTCTGTAGCTGCTCCCTTGTAAAGTAATCTGAAGCTAACAGAAATCTAAGCAATCAATCTATGCAACTGTATATTATTTTCCCCTTAATTATCGGGGAAAAGGAAACACCAACCGACTTTGTCTGCCAGCAGACAAATAACAGGGATGGGATTAGCTAGATTTAATGAGTTGGGTAGAGGATTAACAGAATAACAGAGTTGGAAGGGACCTTGGAGATCTTCTAGTCCAACCCCCTGCTTAGGCAGGCATACCATTTCAGACAAGTAGTTGTCCAGTGTCTTAAAAACTCCAATATTGGAACACCCATAACTTCTGGAGGCAAGTTGTTCCACTGATTAATTGTTCTGTCAGGGAATTTCTCTTAGTTCTAGATTACTTCTCTCCTTCATTAGTTTCCACCCATTGCTTCTTGTCCTGCCCTCAAGTGCTTTTTCTTTGTGGCAACCCCTGAGATATTGGAACACTGCTATCATGTCCGTCCTTCTTCTCATTAAACCAGACATACCCAATTCCTACAACCATTCTTCATATGTTTTAGTTCCATAGCTTGGAAATATTACCGAAGAAGGCCTATGCTTGCATTCCCATTAAATGTACTTTGGCAAAGGTATAACTGACAGTATGTATATTGAAATTCTTGGTGCCTGGACAAGCTTGCAAAAGGCAAATAGTTCTTGTATATCGCTTTCCTTTATATTCCCTGGTCATGATCTGATATTTTTTTTAAAAAAAAAATTCTCTTTCTGCTTCAAGTCGAACTGGCCTCTGTTCCCGGCTTGTCAGATGCATGGATTGCCAGGAAATGCCTCCGTACGCCATAGCTCCTGCCATTTCAGGCCGCCCGCTCTCAAGGCAGGCACTCGGGTAAGACGTGGGAAATTATTATCAAGCACAGAAGCAAAGCACAGCCGCGAGAACAAAAGTGTGTGAAAGCAAAATGTGAAAAATAAAATGTTCCTGTGTGCAAGATGCCAATATAAGCCAGGCTAGCTATGTGTCCCAGTTCTGTACAATTACTGTGCAAAGAAGAGATAGAATTCAGCGTTCTCTTGTTTTCCAAAGAAAAGATTTCTACTCTGTACGTTTATTAATGTAATCATGATGGGAATGCAACTTTAAAAAACCAGCAGGAGAAAAGCGGAAAAGGGATTGAGAGTCAGGGCACGGATGACAATGTTCATTTATTTATTAAATGTATATGCCACCCATCTCACTGTCCAAAGTGGCATATAATTTATAAATAAGCAAGTTCCATTCCTCGTTCTTCCCAGTGATTGATGGAAACAGAATCAATTCCATAACCAAAAGAGAAACAGGCAAATACATAACATTTCTACAAACTAGGCTCTCTGAGTTCCCCCCACAACCAACAACGTAGGGTGGTGAGGTTTTGGAGTCAATGGGAACCGGCATCCAAAATACAGGTAGTCCTCAAGTTATAACAGTTCATTTAGTGACTGTTCGAAGTTTGCAACAGCACGTCAAGGACTACCTGTATTTGGGATGCTGCAGCTGGGAGGGTGGTGGTGGTGGGGTAAGCTGTTTTAGCTGAAGGAGGGACTGACAAAAAGAAAATAGGGTTGAAAAGGAAAACAGACGTTCTTATAGGCTTTGCCATCTCTGATGTTTCTTCTTAAAGGCCTTTCTCCGGGTTTCCTTCCGCTCCTCCAAAGGTGATACCTGGCCGGACAAGTTCGTTTACTTCACCATCCGTGCACACAGGTAAGGACCCCATAAGAGTGTCTGCCCCCCCTGCAAGTTTCTCATTGGTTTCTCCTAACTGCATTCTCCTTTTTGGTCTCTTCCAGTTTGAATGAGAGCAATGTGCAGGAGAACAATGAGGCTACTGGACGACTACCTGTTTTGCATCCCGTCAACATCATAGTGAAAGAGTAATTCTCTCCTTTTTTTTTTTTTTTTTGTGGCTTCCTTCCCCAATAGCCGACTTCCCAGGAATAACCCTGGTTTCTGGTAAAAATGTTGAAGAAGGAGCTGGAAAACTAAGATGCTAGTTCATTCTCAGCCACAGAAGCTCCCTGGTTGACTTTGGTCTAGATCCACCTTCACAACCCAAGAACCAGGGTAGTGTGAGGGTGAAAGTTTGTTCTCCAAGCTTCTGGGTTGGTTTCCGAACGTTTCATTACCAGGCTAGTAACATCTTCAGCGGAGTTTAGGGGATATCAGTGTCTGTATTCCTCTGTTTTACAGCGATGGAGTGGCTCAGTGGCTAAGACGCTGAGCTTGTCGATCGAAAGGTCGGCAGTTCAGCGGTTCGAATCCCTAATGCCACGTAACGGAATGAGCGAGGGGAACTTTTACCTTTACCTTTATTCCTCTGTTTGTAAGGGCTTCAGGTGTGGGTGTGTCAAGTGAGGGTCAGCTATGAGTCATGGGTGAGTCTTGTGATGGGTCTTGAGTCTGTTGATGGAATTGCTTGCGGTGTGCCAGGCTTCAATGAACTCACGAGTATGGCGAGTGGTAGCAGGGCCAATGATTTTTGTATTGCTCCAATCAAACTGGTGCTGTTGATGTGGGTAGAGATTAAGGGTTTGTGATCGTGGTGATTGACTGCCAGCCGGTGTTTGAGGATCCTGGTTTTTAACTGATGTGGTGTTTGTCCCACGGGGAATGAACCTTCACCCTCATCCTACATCTAAGCTACAGATATTCGCCACTATTGCAAAGCAGGGCAGTCCTGGATTATCAGCAGGGACTTCATAGTCTAAAAACCTACTGTGGCTTGGGCCCAGTCATGGTCTCTCAGCTCAGCCTACTTCACAGGGTTGTTGTTGAGGGAAGAAGTAAGACTCTGCCTCTTTCATGATCCCAATGGAGGCCTCTCCTTTCCTTTCTAGGCTTCAATCCACTGCATATCTCAACTTCTCTACTCAGGACCCAGGGAAGAAAATACTTACACATAGCTATGAGGTAATGGACTTATTTTTTTCTGTTGATTAATAAATAATTAAACTCATATCTTTTTTATCCAAATTGATTCCATCCATCTGCTCTGGTCTTCTCAAGCAGGCTTGCTAAGGGTCCATCCTGCTCATAAAGTTTGAGGGACTTGGATGAAGCAGGAGGCCCCATATTATGGAATAGGCTTCAAACAAACTGTGTCCTCACATTCCAGAAGAGTGTTAAAACTTCTTGTTTTAGTGCATTCAGCTCCATTTGTATAGGTCAAGGTTGCCTTTGACTTATGACCAGTTGTTTAGTGACCACTGAAGTAGCCAGCTTCAAAAAGGAGAACTTAAGATCCAGATCTGAAGTTCTGATGGTCGACCACCTCCTAACCCCATGGTCATGTGACCTCACTTCAGGCATTTGGCAACACAGTGTTATTTATAGCGGTTTGCAGCACCCTGTAGTCACATGACCATGTTTTACGCTGGTTTTGCTGAAAACTGGCACTTTCTTCTAATTTTCAGTAAATCCACTCCATAGCAAACAACGGGTTTATTTAAGAACCCCAGCATTCCCTTGACCGTGATGTTTGCTTTACAACCACTGTATTTGCTTAATGACTGTCACAAAAAGGTCCTAAAAGGGGCGGTGGTGGCTCATGTGGTAAGACGCTGAGCCTGCACTCCGCTGAGGTCCGTAGCTCAGCAGCTTGATTCCCGTGAGCAAATAAACCACGTAGGGACAGGAAAGGAGCCTCCCACGAATGCCTACTGGCATTCAGGTGTCCTGCGGGTAAGATAACACTGCCTGAAAAAATTCCTTTCACAGAGGCAGCCAGCCACCTCGGTGATCCCTGGCTAATAGGTGCCATATTCTTAAAAAAAAAAAGGTCATAAAATCGGGTCAGTCATGTGACCAACTGTTTTATGAACCCTTAGGAATTACGCCATTAATAGGTCTCCATTAATAGGCAGTCTCCATTATGCTTGCAACTCAAGTACTAGCATTTATTTGTATATTTGTATATTGTTTTGTGATCTTATTTTTCCACCATGTTTCTGCTTTACTGCTTACCACCCAGAACAGTGTGATTATAGAGTGGGTCACAAATGCAGTTTAAAAAGTGAGTAAGTAAATGTGCATGTACTCCAGAGGTGAAATTCACTTACATTCCCTACCGGTTCGCAAATGTACTCGCGCCGTACACCACAAAGCCTTGTGCACATGCACAGAGGCTGAAAATTGTTGCAAAAAAGGGACATCATGACGTCCGCGTGGGTGGGTGGGGCTTCATGCAGTCGGCCCTACTGTATCACATGATACGGTAGGAAACCGCTGAATTTCACCCCTGAGGTACTCCTTTATTCAACCCATCCACCATTCCAGTTATCCATCTCTCTTTGCATATGTACCTACCAGGGTTGGGTTCTACTTACCTTTACTACCGGTTCGCATCGCGGCCGCATGCGTTCTCTTCTGCACATGCACAGGTCATCTATGATGACGTCTGGGTCAGTGGGCCTCCCACCAGTTTTACTACTGGTTCTTGCGAACTGGTCCGAACTGGGGGCAACCCACCACTGGTACCTACAATAAACAGTCTCTCTGGGGTCTTTATGAGAGATCTTTTTTTTTTTAATGGACAGAGAATTTCTCTCTCTCTCTGAAAAAAAAAATTGATTTAAAAAAAAACTGAATGCAATCCCTCAAGCATATTGAAATCTGTCAGGAATAATGGGGCAACGTATTGACTCTGCAATTTTTGGTTACACACGGTATGCTCCTAGGACTTCTTGATCTCTTGACACATTCATTCTGCCAACATCTTCTTCTCCACCTGATTCCATTTCTTCCAAATTTATTCAATTTCCGTTTTTTGTTCTGGCAGGTGAGGAATTTGGACTCAAACGCCACTGCAGTCAATGTAACATTTGAGCTTCCTCTGAAGACAAAGCAGGGATTCTTTTGGAATATAACGCCATCCTACAGTGATGTGGTAAGAAGAAAACTGCTGGTTGATTAGAGTGCCTGCAAGGGAGAACATTTGAATAATATTTGTTTGGAGAAAGATTGTAAACTTGGAAGAAATATTTAGTATTGAAAGTGTACAGATAGTCCTCAACCAGCAGCCATTTATTTAGTAACTGTTCAAAATTAAAAAGGCTCTGAAAAAAGTGACTTACAACCAGTGGTGGGCTACAAACAGTTTAACAACTGGTTCTGTGTGTGTGTATGTTCCTAATGCGCAGCCATGTGGGCGCCTAATGCGCTTGTGTGCGGTGTTCAAAATACAGCAATTTAAAGCTCAGCTGCTTACCTTCTAAGGCAGTCCCTGTAAGTAGAACAGCAGAGGCACGGAAATCAGCTGCGCCATGCGAATCAGCTGAGCCTAAAGAAGGAAATAGGACAGGATAGGGCGGGTGGAGGGTGGGCGGGGCCAGCTGATCATCGGAACTACCGGTTCGCCTGAACCACTCCGAACCGGCAGCAGCCTACCACTGCTTACAACCAATGCTCACACTTAAAACAGTTGCAGCCTCCTCACAGTCATGGGATCAAAATTCGGCCTCTTGGCAGTTGATAGGTATTTATGGTGTTTGCAGCGTCCTGGGTCATGTGATCACTGTTTGCAATCTTCTCAGGTGGCTTCTGACAAGCAAAGTGAATAGAGGAAACCAGATTTGCTTAATGATTCACTTAACAACCATGGCAAAAAAAGATGGTAAAATCAGGCGTGACTCGTTTAAAAACCGCCTTGCTTAGAGGTGGAAATTCTATTTCCAGCTGTGGTTGAAAGTTGAGGCCTGCCTGTATTATATATACCTGTAGCAAATTTATTCCATGCATGCATGTTTGTTTTTGTGTGATTGAAACAACACTTGAATGAGAATGGTGTCCAGTTTGAGGAAGCCCATGCTTGCAGAAATATTTTGGAGGGGCTTTTCAATGGGTAGGAAGCTCAGTTGGGACAGAATAACCGATTAGTTGTTGTCAGAGAGACAGAAGACAGGCCTGTCAAAATCTTAAACATTGATAACTGTCACTTTTTCTAATACAGGTAGTTCTCGACTTGGAACCACAACTAAGCCCAAAATCTCCATTGCTAAGTGAGATATTTGTTTTGTCCCATTTTACAACCTTTTTTGCCACTGTTGTTAAATGAAACGCTGTAGTTGGGAAGTTGGTAACAAGGTGGTTAAATGAATCTGGCTTCCCTATTGACTTTGCTTGTCAGAAGTCATAAATATGAATGAGTCAGTCGCCAAGCATCTGAATTTTAATCACATGACCCTGGCGATGCTGCAACGGTCATGAGTGTGGAAATCGGTCGTAAGTAACTTTTTTCAGTGCCGATGTAACTTCGAACAGTCACTAAATGAACTGTTGTAAGTCGAGGACTACCTGTATCCAGAAAGAATGGTATGAATCTCATAAGTTAGAGTTATTGTCAAAAGGATAATGGGCTAATATATAGATTTTTTTGAAATAAACCGTAGCACATATTAATTAGTAAATTCAATTTAGGCAGCATCTGTAAGAGTTTGAACCTCTTTTCCCCACATGCAAGAAAGGACTAATCATAGAACTATTTATTGTTTTTCCAGATAAGATTGTCCTTGAAACAGCCATTAACTTGTTGACATTAATGTTTTGTGATACTCCTGTTTCTTTCATAGCATCACTTGGTACATTTTCTTGTTAAGTTCCACTTGTGCAAAATTGTTTTTCCTTTTTTCCCCTAGAAAAATCACTTTTCCTGCACACCGTTGTTTACCCTCAGAACAGGAATCAGCAGGAAGAATGTCACAAAACGCCTCACGGTAAGAATTTGGTATAGGTAGTCCTTGACTTATGACCACAGTAGAAAGCAGAATTTCCATTGCAAAGCAAGATGGCTTTTAAGCAAGTCAAGTCCAAATCTGTGACCTTCTTTGTCATGGTTGTTAAGGGAATCACTGCAGTTGGAAGTCCTTAAGTGAATCCAGCTTCCCTCGTTGACTTTGCTTGTTGTAAACCAGCTGGAAAGGTTGAAAAAGGCAACCAAGTGACTCCAGGATGTTTCAACCGTTATAAATACATTTGCCAGGCAGCCAAATTTTGATCATATGTCTGTAGGGATGTGTGACTGTCATAAATGTGAGGACTGGTTGTAAGTCACTTTTTCAGTGCAGTTTTAATTTTGAACAGTCACTAAATGAATGGTTGTAAGTCAAGGACTACCTCTATGCACCTTCCTTTGGGTTAATATCTCTTTATGAGAAGAACTACCTCAACTGAAGCCGAGATGCATTTTTGTCTGAGATACCAGTACCAATTCTCACAAATGAAGACAAATATATGTGTCCCAGGATAACATTGCAGGATCCAATCAGGGCCGGTCACCGGGACCAGAGCTTTAGTCTTCAAAGCTTTTGGACTCGTACTGGAGCCCATCCTCAGGGAACTTCTCTCTTTCAGAATATGTGCTATGGGCTATTCTATGTGTCATATTTATGTGATGCTTGGTTGTGGGTATGCAGTGAACAAAAACATACAATCTATTTCGCAGCTGCTAAGATTGTTGGCTGAGTAGCTACAAAAATAGCCAGGGAAATGATTGAAGCCTAGGATACAGGTCCCTTGTCAGTGAACTGGAGCTTATCGGATACTTAGGAGCTGAAGCCATACACAACCATGCACCACATAAATACTATGCATAGAATAGTCCAAAAAACACATTTTGATAGAAATTCCCTGAGGGAGGCCTCCAGCATAAGTCTGAAAACTTGGAAGACTAAACCTTTACTTCTGGTGATGGACCCAGATGGAACCTGCAATACCAATTCTCTTCTCTTCTTTTGACAGAGAGGCTGTCTGGGGGCTGTTGCTTGCCCCAAAGTTTACTGCTTTATCAACAGTCTTGCTAAGGGAGAATGGATCAGGTTCAATTTTTCTGGAGATTTTTACAGAGAAGATAAGTCTCCCAAAGTAAGTGGCACCTCTGTCTGATAATAGGGTTATTATATTATTCTGCTTGGAAGGTATATTTCTGCTAAATACCTTGGGCAAAGAAAGCATTTTAAAGAATTTCCTATTCATCAATAATCCCTATAAGGGAAATGCTTACGACAGCCACCACACCCACCTTCGGTGTTTGATTTGGGATTCATATGTGGAAAATAAGAAAAAGGAACTATCTTTTTTTAGTCAATTGATTGGTGAGTTAAGCAAAAGGGAAGGAGGAGAGAAATATAAAAATGTAAAATCATAGGCTGGAAAGGACCATAGAGGTCTTCTAGTCCAATCTGATTATTAAATCAATTATTAGGAAATAATGGAGGTGTGTGGAGGCTTCCATGGAAAGATTGCCTAAGCCTAAGCCAGTCGCTCTGCATATGCTCAGGAGCGCCCTTGCCCCACCTCCAAGACCAATATTATATTGACCTCTTTCATTGACCTTTCATTGACCAAACTATATTGATCTCTTTCATTTGCTTATCACTTCTAAAGCTGAAGTCCGAAACGTTCCATGTTGGCAGCGAAGCATCCATAAGGGTGGATGAGACCAGATTTTTCCTAAATGAAGCAGAGGATTTCAGCCAGGTAATTGTGCCAGGATTGGATTGGTTGATTAAAGAGTTAATGATTGAGCAGTAGAAATGCAAGGAAGGAGTCATAGAATCAATTAGGGATTGATAGGGACAGAAGGGACCTTGGAGTTCTGTCCAATCTTTTCTTGAAGATGTCCAGCAATAGTGCACCCATAACTCCATGAAGCAGGCTGTTCCATTGATTAATTGTTCTTACTGTTAGGAAGTTTCTCCTTAATTCCAGATTGGATCTCTCTTTAATAAGCTTCCACTCATTGCTCTAACTAAATACTAAAATGCAGAGACATCACCCTGCCAACAAAAGTGCATATAGTCAAGGCTATGGTGTTCCCAGTTGCAATGTATGGCTATGAAAGTTGGACCATAAGAAAGGCTGAGTGCCAAAGAATTGAACCCTTTGAACTATGGTGCTGGAGAAGACTCCTGCGAGTCCCTTGGACTGCAAGGTGATCAAACCGATCAGTCCTAGAAGAGATCAACTCTGACTGCTCTTTAGAAGGCCAGATCCTGAAGATGAAACTCAAATACTTTGGCTACCTAATGAGAAGGAAGGACAGAGAACGAGGTGGCTGGATGAAGTCACTGAAGCAGTAGGCATGAGCTTAAATGGACTCCAGAGGATGGTAGAGGACAGGAAGGCCTGGAGGAAGATTGTCCATGGGGTCGCGATGGGTCGGATATGACTTCACAACTAACAACAACAACAACAACAACAACAACAACAACAACAACAATAACATTGCTCCTATCCTGCCCTCAAGTTCTTTGGAAAGCTCTCTTAGTCCATGCTGCAACTGAGTCATGGAAGCTGGTAGCATCTTCAAGATTAACCAACTTTCTTAGGTCAAAACCTTTCCATCAGATGCCCAGAAAGGATTTGTTGTTATAGACGTGAAACACAGGGAATGGAAGGAGCAACAGAGAAGAACCAGGCGGAAAGCTAATGGACTTGGCTTCCCGCCATCATATGTGGTCTATCGTGATGAGTGGATCTTTATTGAAAGGAACAGAAGTGGCTGGTAGTAAAAAAAAAAAAAAAAAACATGCATCTGCCGATTTTGTAATGTGGAAATGAGGGCTGGGTTTGTCAGGAGAAATGCAATAATAAGCTGAACTTGGGAGAATGAAGAAAGAGAGTCAAGAATGAATGGGTACTGAACGAAGGTGACCTGAATGCAAAACCAAGTGACTAGAACAAAAGTACATGGTGGTAATTCTGTCATGGAGAAAGGATGAAGGAAGACTGAAGCACAAAACATATGAAGGAAGAATGAATGATTGAGAAGAAAGGGAAGACTGAGAAGGTCATGGTTGGTCAAATCTAATGAAAGAGTTGAGAAGTTTAAAGCAGGGGTCCCCCAGCTCCCAGGCTGCGGCCTACTACCAGGCCTTGAGCCTTTCATAACCGGGCCGCAGAAGTGGTGGGAAGCCCACGCATCCCCATTTGTGCGAGTGTGTGCATGAGTGATGGGCATGCATGCCCGCCACTCACACAAATGGAGCTGTACATGGACACACACTTGCCCACCACTTGCATGGAACCATTCCCCCACCCATTGCAAAGTCAGAAAGGTTGAGAAACCCAGGCTTAAAGAACACATTAAGCAGTTCAGGGACAGGGGACAAGCCAGAATAGTGAGTTATGTAGAGTTGTGCCAAATGGTATTGTGCAAACTTGATTCATCCATCTTTCATTTTCTTATCTCATATCTTTCATCTGCCTACCAACAGAAGATAATACAGTATTTGTAAATCAGGGTTGAACTGTGGAGTCCTTGGAGCTCTCTGAGCTTGGCTGTTTTCTTTGTGGATGTTTCATTACTGATTACTAGGTAAAATTTTAATTGTTAGACCAATCCCACTGCCTTCTGGCACTGATGACGTTACCTAGATGGGTAATGAAATGTCCACAAGAAAACAACCAAGTTTTTTTTTTTTTTTAAATTTGATTTATATGCCGCCCTTCTCCGGAGACTCAGGGCGGCTTACAATGTGCTCAGCAATAGCCTTCATCCTTTTGTATATTTATACAAAGTCAGCTTATTGCCCCCACAACTAGGTCCTCAATTTACCTACCTTAGAAAGGATGGAAGGCTGAGTCAACCTTGAGCCTTGGCGAGATTCGAACCCTGCAGTAATTGCAGGCAGCTGGTCTTAATAACCAGCTTAATAACAGGGTGCCTTAAACCCCTGTACTACCAAGGCTCTAGTTCAGAGAACATCCAACAATTCCGTTGCCTATTGTTCTTCCCCCTTTTTTAGCATATTGTATAAGAATGTTTACACCAAAGAGGAATAACAAAATGAGTGTGCAGCAACGCAGTAGTGAAATCTAAAATTTGTTACTACCGGTTCTGTGGACGTGGCTTGGTGGTGGGGGGTAATGTGACTGGGTAGGCATGGCCAATTTTTTTTTTTTAACTTTTAAAAGCATTTTTTTCTACAACCTCTTCGGTGAAGAGGTTGTTAAAAAATGCTTTCAAAAGGCTCTGACAATCCCAGCTGAGTTGCCTGATTGGCAGAGGCTTTTTTAAAAAGCCTCTGCTGATCAGGCAACTCAGCTGGGATCATCAGAGGCATTTAAAAGAAAAAAAGTTTTTTTTCTTTTAAAAGCCTTTGACGATCCTAGCTGAGCTGCGCTATCATCAGAGGCTTTTTTTTTTTTACTTTTAAAAACATTTTTTTGGCCGAAGAGGTTGTAGAAAATATGCTTTTAAAAGTAAAAAAAAAGCCTCTGATGATTGTGCAGCTTAGCTGGGCATGAGGGGGGGGCAGGGATTTTTGCTACCGGTTCTCCGAACCACCCGCCTCCATCGCTACCGGATCAGGTGATCCGGTCCGAACCGGGAGCATTTCACTCCTGCAGCAAAGGCTAATTTCTCCTAGTCTCTTACGCTGTCTTATTGGTAGTTTTGCAATTGAATCTAGCAAGCAAGTTTCTGGGTAAACCGATTCCTAAAATTGAAACCAATTGTGGGAACAGGGCTTCAGTTTCCTATTGCTTTCCTTTTCAGATCACCACAGAAATTGAGTTAATTTCACCGTTCAATCCTGTCCCCATCATCATTGGCAGCACCATTGGAGGCATCGTGCTTTTAGCCATTATAGTGGCTGTCTTATATAAGGTCTGTGCAGACGGTTTGGGCTGTCAGTCAGTTTGATGTGGGTCTTGCTAGGGTCTGGGCTTATAGGACATTATTCCCATCTCTCCTTTAAATCAACCCCAGAACCAAGATTAGTTTCAGTGGAGACTTTCTCTCTATCTGATTGCAAAGAAGGGCAGCTGATTTTTTTTAGCAGGAACTTCAGATAGAAATAAAGTATGTACACAGGCTGTATTCTCTGTATGCTGTAAAATGCAACAGTATTATTATTCCATGAGATAGTTTTTGATAATTCACATTCTACGCCTCAGCTTCTTATAGCTCAGAATCTGGCAGGAAGAACCAAAAAAGAACTTAGGACCTAGTGCCCATTTGAAATTATTTGAAAATTGCATTTTGGGTGCTTGGCAACTGGCCCGCATTTATAGCCATTTGCAGACCAAGATTTACGATGGTTTTAAACCAGCCCATAGCAAACAATGGGTTCACTTAACAGCCACCTTAAAAAAGGTTGTAATATTGGATCTGGTCATGTGGTGACCTGCTTTACAACTGTCACAACTTACACCCATAATTGCCAGGCTCAAATCAAGGACTACCTCTACATTCATATACATTGAGTGTTTCTCAATCTTGGCAACTTCCCCAGCCAAATTAACTTCATCTGTCCTGTGCACTTTTTTTTTTTTTTAATTTGATTTATATGCCGCCCTTCTCCGGAGACTCAGGGCGGCTTACAATGCGTTAAGCAATAGCCTTCATACTTTTGTATATTTTATACAAAGTCAGCTTATTGCCCCCACAAACTGGGTCCTCATTTCACCTACCTTAGAAAGGATGGAAGGCTGAGTCAACCTTGAGCCTTTGATTCTTGAGTTATCTCTGATCTGCTAGATATGCATGGCAGGCTGGGGAATTCTGGGAGTTGAAGTCCGCACATCTTAAAGTTCCCAAAATTGAAAAACGCTGCATTAGCTCACTAAATTGTACGTTCTGGATTTTTTCAGGACCTAGGATAAAACAGATGTAAGAAACAGGTTGTCTGTTAGTTACTCTTTGCAGCTATCCTGTTGCCCTCCAAATAAGACATAATAAGCCCAATCGGGCTTTTGAGCGCATGGCAATAAGGCCAAGCGCTTATTTCAGGGTTCAGAAAAATATAAGACAGGGTCTTATTTTCAGGGGGAAATGGTATTTTCACATTTTAGAAAAGAGATTAGAAGATCTTCATATTACCTGTCTATTATTTTAGTACTGTTGACAGATGCATTGCAATTTCTCCTTCACCTTAAATCTGTTTCTCTCCCTTCCCTATCCCCGCCCCTATCATCTCTCCAGTTTGGATTCTTTAAACGCAATCGTGCACCCCAAATGGATGCAGATGCAGCAGGACCAGCTGCTCCCAGTGACCAAGCTCCTTCAACTTCAGCTGCTTCCTAAGGGAGAAGGGGATTTTGGGTCTGGATGCAACTTGGAAGCCGGGATTCCCGCCTTGTCTGGAGTAGGAAGAACACAGCCAGTCAAACAGGGCCGAAAAACGGAGAGGCAGGACCTCTAGATCTCTAGGAAAGGAATGGGAGGGATGGGGAGGGATTGAGAGACGAGAGGGATAGAAGCTAAGTAGAATTAACTAATTTAAAATTCAAATAAATTTTATATTTAAAAAAAACAAAAGTATGGTGGCAGTTTTTTTGCCCACAAAAATGGTTTGAACAAACTGATGTCACCGGGAAATAAAATGACACACAGGAGAGTCATCCAAGAATGCTCTCACTTTGGAATCGAAGTTGGGGAATACTTCTGCAGGAATTCAAAGCATGCTGCTTATGGCATAGTAGAAATGCAGGAGAGCACTCCTTGCTGCATGCTTTTTTGGGTGCCTGCAAATTCCTGACTCCAAAGAGAAGATTTTAGATTTCAGATCATTAAACTTATATGCATTGCCCATCCTTCTGGTCGACTTGATGGCAAAGAGAAGAATTTTGCCATAGTCATTTCTGAGTGACTGTGTGTCTTTTTTCTTTCTTATGAAATTGCTCTGTGTTCCTCATTTAACAGTCCAACAGTGGCTACGCTTGCCTAATGTACTATGTTTACACATACTGTAGTAGGTTTGCACAACACATTAATTTAGCTGTGGTTTGCTAAGTTGATTTCCAGGATTTATACAACTTTCTGAATCATAAACTACTAGATAGTAGTGGTAATTTGTGGTTCAGGGTATCATGCATAAGATTTTATTCTCCTTATGTACACTGAGAGCATATGCACTAAAGATAAATTCCTTGTGTGTCCAATCACACTTGGCCAATAAAGATAGTCCTTGCTTAATGAGTGGTTGTTTTATAACTGTTTTGAAGTTATGACAGTGACAGAAGAGGTGCTTTATGACCCTAAAGCACTCCTGGCCATTTAAATTGTTGCACTGCCCCCCCCCATGGTCACATGATTGCATATTGGACAGTCATCTTTATAACCAGTCATGGCATCCCATGGCCACGTGACTGATTCGTGATATTTCCAGCAAAAACGCTCACTCAAGTGAATGGCTTCACTTAATGACTGTGACATTCACTTAACAACTGTGGTGTTCACTTAATAATCATGATAAAAACCAAAAGGTTACTTCCAGTCACGTGGGTGCTTCTACTTATGACTGCAATGACTTAGGACTGTAATTCCAGCTTCAACTTTGGTCGTAAATTGAGGACTACCTGTAATCCACATACGGACTGGGTGAGTCTTCATCTTCCAAGTCAAGTGGGTGCTTTGGAGCACCTGGGTTCATGAGGTAGATCTTCTGCACCTACTCAATCCCCACCAGAGCCTCCGTGCTTGCAAATATATCTCAAAGGACCAGAACTTGGCATGTTGAGGTCAGCGGAGGTTGAGTCCCTCCTTGTGAAGTGGGGTCATGGGGTGCAGATGGGCCTGCTGATCACGTACCTGGCTCCTTGCCATGTGGCAGCAGCCCTGCCTGAGCTGCTCGACGTAATAGCCGGGGTGGCGGTGGAGACCCCCAGACTTATGGTCATGGGGGATTTCAACCTGCCATCCGTCGGTGAAACGTCGGAAGCAGCTCAGGAGTTCATGGCTTTCATGATGGCCATGGATCTGATCCAGTTAGTTCATGACCCCACTCATATCGGGGGACATACACTAGACTTGATTTTTGCTTCTGGTCAGTGGCTGAACTTGATTTAGGGGGGTTAGTCATTAATCCCTTGTCATGGATGGATCATTCGCTCCTTCGGATAGACTTTTGGGCCGCTTCCCTTCATCGCAGGGAGACGGAACCGACCAGGTGGTTCCGTCCCAGGCGCCTGATGTACCCGAACAGGTTCCTGATGGAGCTTGGACCATTCCCAGACGCTCTGGCTCACGACTTGGCTGAAGAACTGGTAGCCGCCTGGGACAGGGCGGCTGCCAGAGCTTTGGACCACGTCGTGCCTTTGCGGCCTCTGACCCGGTGCCGATCTCAATTACCTCCTTGGTTCTCTGAGGAGCTGAGAGAGATTAAGCGCTGGAAAAGACACCTAGAGAGTGATTGGAGGGCCAGCCGCACCGAATCTGACCGGACACTGGTGAGGTCTTATATCAAGACCTACCTAGTGGCAATAAGAGTGGTGAAATCTAATCATCTTTCCACTCTTATTGCATCTGCAGAGAATCGCCCAGCCGCCCTGTTTAGGGTGACCCGCTCTCTACTGCAGGTGGGAGCGTGGGATGATCCCTTGCAGGGTAGAGCTGAGGATTTTGTGCAATATCTGCATGATAAAATTGCTCAGATTCAGGATGGCCTGGACTCTGATTGGGTAGCCTTGGATGGGATGATAGGGACGGATCTTGAGAGTGTTATCTGGGAGGAGTTTGACCCTGTGGCTCCCGAGGATGTGGCCAGGATTTTGGGGAGACGTAATGCTACCACATGTTTATTGGACCCGTGTCCCTCCTGGTTGGTGCTGGCCTCCCGGGAGGTTACACGAGGCTGGTTTCAGGGGATTATAAATGCTTCTCTGAGTGAGAGTGTCTTCCCAGCCGCCTTGAAAGAGGTGGTGGTGAGGCCGCTCCTCAAGAAGACTTCCCTGGACCCGGCTGTATTAGCTAATTACTGTCCAGTCTCCAACCTTCGCTTCGCGGCGAAGGTTGTTGAGACTGTGGTGGTGCGACAGCTCCTTCAATACCTGGATGAAGCTGTCTATCTAGATCCGTGCCAGTCAGGCTTCAGGGCGGGATACAGCACGGAAACGGCATTGATCGCATTGGTTGATGATCTCTGAAGGGCTCGGGACAGGGGTTGTTCCTTGTTGTGTTTGGATTATAGTCATTAACTGAGGCGAGGATGTCAACGTAACATCGGTTTATTTCAGGCAACAGCAAAACATTAGAACACTGAACTGTCAGTCTATCTGACAGCTCGCCTTTTTTATACCATTTGGAGGTCCAACTCCTTCCTTGCGAGCAGCCTCCTTTGAAGTCGGATGTCCCTGATGCCACAAACTAACTGTTCTACAAGGGCATCATCCAAGTCCCTGAACTCGCAGTCTAAAGCTGCCGTTCGGAGGCGAGCCATGTATTGGTTTATGGACTCCCCTTCCCCTTGCACTATCTGTCTCGGGTTAAAATGGCAGGCTATACGGGAGGGAACTGGCGAGTAATGATTCCTCAGTTTCTCTCGTAACACCTCCCAGGGAGCCATGTGTACTTGAAGAGGAGTGACTAATGCCCTTGCCATTGCGAATACTTCTGGCCCACAAGCATTTAGAAAATGAGCGCACTTTCGGCTGCTTGAGAGTTCAGTGAATTCATTCGCTTCTAAGTTACACTCGAATCTTTCCTCATACTCCTGCCACGTCTCTGCAGTTGTGTTAAATGGGGCGAACATAGGAGAGGCCATATTCCTGTCAGGTTTGTTTGTATTTTACTTTACCTCAGTGCGGCCGCTCAGAATAACATTCACTTCGCCTCAAAATCCCACCCTCGTCACCGCTTGTTGTGTTTGGATTATAGTCATTAACTGAGGCGAGGATGTCAACGTAACATCGGTTTATTTCAGGCAACAGCAAAACATTAGAACACTGAACTATCAGTCTATCTGACAGCTCGCCTTTTTATACTTTGCAAACACAACAGGATTAACCAATCAGGAAACGAGTAACCTCCTGCACTTCGCATAACCCCATCCCAACCAATCAGGTGCAGGCATTTCCATCGCTATGGTAACACGCCAACACAACATTCCTCAGTCCTGGTCCTCCTCGATCTCTCAGCGGCCTGTGGTATCATTGATCATGGTATCATGCTGCATCGGTTGGGGGGACTGGGAGTGGGAGGCACTGTGATGTGGTGGTTCTCCTCCTTTCTCTCTGACCGTATGCAGTCTGTGTTGATGGGGGGACAGAGGTTGACTTCGAGGCACCTGACTTGTGGGGTGCCGCAAGGGTCAGTCCTCTCACCCCTCCTGTTCAACATTTATGTGAAGCCGCTGGGTGAGATCATCCGTGGTTTTGGGGTGAAGTGTCAACTGTATGCAGATGATACACAGCTGTACGCACCAGGCCACGGCATGCCAGCAACCAGGCCGAGCAAACAAGCAAAGCCCTATCCATGGGGTGCAGGAACCACGAAACCATGCCCCCTCCAATCTGTGAAAAAAAACTTCCTCCATGGAACCAGTTCATGGTGTCCAAAAAGTTGGGGGCTTCTGCTCTAAATGCTCTCTTTCCATCCGAATTGAAAGCAAAATGGCTTTCACATTTAATGGCTTCTTTCTTGATGGATAAGAGCAGCCTGCCTCCTTTTTTTCTTCCCCTAAAAGGCAGGGCTGAGGGGTTGGGAAAGAGATAATGGACGAGTAGCAAGAGTATTTAGAAACCTCTTAACCTTCTGTACCAATACATTTCAGAGCTGCTGTTTTGAAACGAAGGAAGTTAAAAGTGAATTTAACAGGACCTTCCCATAAGCTCACAGGGGTATTTCAATTTTCTGTTGACATCTTCCTGGGCTCTGCACGATTTACATCAAACCGCTACATTTAAGGTTTTCTTGAATTGTGTGGAAACCCATATTTTACTTCCTGTGCACCAAATTAGGAAATATTTCTTCAAGTACACATTTTGAACAATTCCTGGCCTTAATGAAACCCATTCCCTTTTAAAGTCATTATTTTGGAAATGCAAAGTCCCCCTCCCATGCTTTCCTAGCTTCCCATGAGCCTTTGCAGGAGAGGACCAGCAAATGTCTTCCTCATTAGGTAGATAGGCAACAACTGTACGAGTTGTGTTTTATGAAATCCAGGATGGTACATCTTGATTGTTCTGTTCCTTCTTCAAGGAGGGCAAAATATGCAGAACAGATTGACTAGGGGTGGTTTAGAATTAGTTCAATTTAGCTACCTTTTGATTTGTGTCTATACTGATTAGGTAGACAGAATGAATCAGGTAGAATTACCATATTTTTCAGAGTATAAAACGCACCTGTATCCTCAGAGGCAGAGGGAGATTTCTTTTTCATCTTTTCCTCACCAAAAAAAGATAGGTGCATCTTATAGTCTAGTGCGTCTTATACGCCGAAAAATATGGTACTTGGACACAACCAGATTTAAGATTTAGGGAAGTTACTCTTAGGTTGTCCACTGCAGAGATGTCAAATCACAAGAGCATG